ACTCTTTTGGCTATAACTCCTTTTCTACTCATCCAAATAGGCCGTTCCAGTTGCGTTGGAAAGTTAACTCAATCAGAGCACGCAGGGAACTGGTCTTGATGAAATCCATTGAGTAGATCTTTTTCTAGCTCCATCCAAAGTTGATGCAGGGGCATTGAACTGGTTTAGAGTCCAAATCTCCTGTTTTGCTCCATAATGCACCTTTTTACCTAAAATGACTCTTTGCACTATAAATCCATAAAAACTACCTTTTAACACAAGAATCCACTAGAAAACCATTAGAAAACCATAGTAAAATAGCATAAAAAGTAGGTAAAATAGAGGTATATCAAGAGTGTCAAAAGCCTTTTCAGTTATAAGAAATTGTTTTTCCTGTAAGAGATTTGTTAAAAAAAAAAAAAAAACTAAAAAAGCTGATGTGACACTCTCTTGGAGTGCTGACGTGTCGAAGGCTGGAGAGAGTGTCCTAGAGCTTTCAGTTATGTAAATTGGGTTGGAGCAAAAATTATGGGAAAATAGCATATATGTCATATTTAACATGGGGTTGGAGATGCTCTAACAACACCTTTAGTATACACAGTGCAACAAATGTTGGAACGACGAAGAGCTCTTTTATGTGGTCTCACTTTACTACCATCTCAAATGCCTCAAACTTTCCTTCTTTTTTTAACTACATTTTCACTAAACGATTTTGTAAAAACTCCCATAATTGAAAAATAAATTTTATTTTGGTTAAAATGGTTTAACATCTTACAACACACTGAACTGAACCATTAACAGTTTCCACTAAAACTTTGTATATCAATCAACAAAACACCCATTAAACTATATATACAAAAGATATAAACTGAGTTATATCAATGACTTTTATATTAATACTCATATAAAAACAATTAATTCAAAATGTTAGTGACATTTTTTACTTTTTTGACGTCATTGATAGTGAAAAATAAACACTATTACAACATAGCGAAGATCAATCTTCATAGAAGAATACATTAGGAAAGACATAAGATATTAAGGAGAAGAGTGATAGTGAAAAATAAACACAGTTACAACATAGAGAAAATCCAACTACGATATCTTCATACAAGAATACATTAGGAAAGACATCAGTTATTATTACGATTTATTAGAGAAGGAAATAAGACATACTCGGTTTCTTCACTTTGCCTAAGTGGTGTAGTGCAGTTACAGGGCGAGTGGGCGTTACTAGTAAATTCTATGAATGCTGGAGAATCAATAAATTTTTCTATAACCAATCAAACTTTGTTTTCATTTTTTAAGTTCAGAACCATAATTTTAAATATGAAAATATTTTGGCTCAAAAGACTAGATTTTTCATAGCACAAATTTAAATTCTCTCTATTTTCATTCCTTAATCTCACCCTCTATATTCATTTTTTTTAATTTTCTTTCCTATATTTCTTTTATTTATTTTTAATACTACATTTTTATAATATTTTATAAGAAATTATTTATAATAAAATTTTTACATCACTATAATCTGAGTGATGACTTTTTGAATTATGTTTACAAAAAGAGGGATTTTAGATATAGGTGGACTTTTTTTTGTCTTTTTGTGCCTTAGAAATTTCTACTATACCCTTAATGAAAACTGGAAGTGAAAAAATATTACCTTTCCTTTGAGCTGCTGTGTTATTTTTTCCGGCGTTGTTCGAGACATCGGAGTTTAAGGAATCTGTTTAATTTTGGTCTGTGATAATTGATTTACATGATGATAATTCAATTTGTTTCCGGTGATAACGAAAAGCTAATACTCCGCAAAATCAGTATTTCCATGTCGGTGGAAAACTATTTCAATCTGAATGTTCAATCTATTATGCATAATTAACGATATATGGATCCATCTCCAAAGCTCGACTTTGTGTTTTTTTTTTCTAATTTTTGCGAGAATGGATTTTGGGTGGTGGTGTGGTGGTGGACTTTTTTTGGGTGGACAGTTTTGTGCAATTTCTGTATCGTAGTAACCAGGGAATTTGGCGCAATCATGGATCTGTTAGTTGTTTGGTTTCGGAGGTCGACGAGGAGAAAATGTGTCGGTGGTTAACAGAGAAGCACCTTCAGTTTTGAATTCTGTTTTGGGTTCGCTGACAATTGGAAATTTGGAGAATTTTGGTTTTACTAGGAAATTAATGGTTTGCTTAAACTTCTCTGTAATTTTTGGACAACACTGGCATGCAATGACCATTGGCATTGAGCTCTGCTTCATCTTCATCCTCTTATGGCTCTTCTCACTTTGTAACTGCTATGACATGAGATGAACACACATATTTATAGATGGACGGTTCTCAAAGACGATATTGGTGTTTGGATGACTGGCTGTTGGACGTTTTAGTATTTCCTCTCAACCCGATTATTTGTTTGGATGACTGAGCTTTTGGACGGTTTAGTTAACGACACAGAATCCAAGTCCTTTTGAAACTCTCTGCAACCTGCTCCACAAAACAGAGAAAGAAGAAAAACATCCACACAAAACTATCACATTTATAGTGATAATGGATATCTTAATATGCTTGTGTACAAAAATATATAGAGAAATTGAAGCATGAGTCGAGTTTAGAGAATGTTAAAATCGGACTCCACATCGCACCATCCATGTTCTTGATTTTTAATTCAGTAAAAGATGATTTCATGTCCACAGACATAGTTCAAATTCATCCAAATAAACTTGTCCATGTGTAAGTGTCCACCAAAAACCATCCACGAAAGAAAATGAAAGTTACCATATGTTCTGCAACAAGCTTGATTCTTTGGGAACCATTCGTTGTTGAAAGTCTTAACCTTTAATGGTTGTAACTCATTAGCATAGCGAGAAGATTAGTGGAAGATTAGTTCCATCTTGGAATATGAGAAACTGAACTTAAGAAGTTACTAGTTAGTATGGAATCTCAAACTTCATCAAGAGGAATCTTTGGCTGCCTGTTATTAATAATGTTTAGTAGCACCCAAATGATTTTGCATATGAATGGAAGACGTAAAGTGCTTCTCTTTTTAGCATCTGAAGTTGTGTTGTAGTCATGAGCTACTGAAATGGTCTGCATACGTCAGTTAAGGCTAAGAGAGAGATCAATTTGCTATTTGGCTCCGTAATCAGAAACAAGGCTACTACTTTTCAAAGTTCAAAACTTGTACTAATAGATAACAAAAATCAAACCAACATACAATGAGATATTTTTAATTAAAGAAACTTTGCTATACATGAGTTCGGAGCCAAAAATGGGAATGAAGTTTCTAGAGATGAACATTAGAAGAGGGAGTTGGATTGATGTCAACTTAGAGATGGTAGAAGGTAAACTTATGTTCATCGGTCCATGCTGCTGCTACTCCCACCGGTTGATTCTAAAGCTCGGGAAGTTTGGAGAACCATTTGAGCATGGAGTTGGAGACATGACAAAGCCATCGGTACTGTTTTGACCAACTAAATTCAAACCTAAACCAAAGAACACCGTGAGGCATACTAAAATCAGGAAGCATAAACTATCCACATGTAAACTATCCACGCAGAAAAACCTCCTCTAAAACATGTTTGGAACTATCAAGAGGAAGAAAATATCATTTCACTAATAAGATATCCATCGAAATGAATCTTTTAAACTAAAATGCCTTTCACATTAATTTTCTCCTACACAAAAAGAACCAGTAGAACAATCCACAAGCATAAGCATTTTGAAAGCAATGGAGGATAATTATATCCACAAAATGTGTCGGCAGATAAAGATATGGACATTAACAAGCGGAAACAAAAACACAGAGGCGTTTTAAAGAAAACTGGGAATAAAAAACATGAACAAAGAAAAACGAAGAGATTCATGACTTAGGGGTTCCAAAAGAGATACCTTCCATATCCCGAGAAACTGAAGCCTGAATTCGCGAAATCAGGGATTGGCGACTGATTAAATTGAGATACAAAAAGAAGTTAGGGCTTTGGTTGAGAAATTAAGGAATTGTAACAGATTTCTTCTTCATTGAGCAGAAACAAAACAATCAAAGAGAAAGGTTTTCCTATAAAACTCGACGGAATCGGAAGGTTGAGACTTGACGGAACGACGCAGGTAGGAAGGTGAGACTCGCCGGACTCGGAGAGGCGACGGTGAAAGGATTTTCGTGGAAGGATTTCTCCGGTGTCTGGGTGTTTGTCGGAAGAGAAAGGTAAGAATTTGATGATGCGTCGGCGGTGAAAATGGTGATCTTCCGTCGGTGGTGAAGGTAAGAGGCTATATGTTTTTAACGGAGAGCATAATTGTCACGAAGGTAAAAGAAAAAAAGAAGAAGAGGGCCAATGTGTAATTTCGTTTAGGCAAAGTCCAACACTTTCACAAAGTTCCTCTAAATGTAAAGAGTAAGTCTAAAAGTGTACTTGAGTGTGATTGTCTCTAATCTGAGTGATTTACACTATGGGTGACTATAATCTACAGCTATAGAAAAAATCTACAGCCTAAATTTCTAAATTTTACAGCAAAAAAAATCGAGTCATATACACAAACCACCAGGCCCACTAGAAACCATTTTTCCATTTGGAGGCCTCAACAGCTCAAGTTTGCAAATTTCTAGCTGGGAGTAGGAGTAGTGAGAGTAGGGAAGGAAGCTCACTTTGACTCTTACTTCAAAAATTTGTACTAATTTAAATAGAAAATTGAATATTTTCCATAAAATAACATGACACAATAAAAGGAGATAGTAGGCAAATTTACCAATGAAAATGTATAAGACAACAAAGCACTTAGCAGAATGCAATGCTTACATTAAATAATTTGACAATTAAATCTAAAACGAAAAATACACATAGTTGACTTTACAATCTATTAAAATACATCTTTTAGGAAAAATGGCACGGCCCTGGGTGCGTTGCGTCGCTTTGTACAACTTCCACCGCGGTAAATAGCCACAACATACTTATACTATCAGAGAAACCTGTAAGAATGCGAAGGTAACCACATTTACATACAGTCTTGATTGCTGCTGCCTATGGTTTCATTTTAAGCGCAAACGGCTTCCACCGCCAGTTTCTTCATCACATTTGGGCACGGATCTCCACCAAACATCGCTGGTGCCACTGTTACAGAACACCAGTTCTGCCCAACACAAAGCTGCAATAGAAAAAGAAACAAACAGCAGCTTTGAGAAACATTTCAAGACACAAAACAGAACTTAGAAAGAAATATCCTTTTTTTTTTAGGAAACTTACTCTGTTGAAAGCATCATAGGAGTGATGAGCATGACAGCTTCCTTGACGGTAGCTACCACAAGTCCCTTCAGGTGTCCCAAAGCTAGCAAACTTCACGGTGGTGATCTTCTGTCCAGGCCCACATTGCAAATGCACTTTGGGGTGCAGCGGTTTGTTAACTTTTCCAGAAGCATGCAATTGGTAATTCACCAGCGTTGATTGCCATTCATAGATATCCGCACAAACAGTGTCCACTTCCCTTCTCACCAACGAGATTCCGTTTGGATCTCCTCCCCATTCCTCAAACACAACCAAAAGATTGCCACTTGGTTTCAGCCACGACCTTGGGACATGGTACCTACAAAATCAATATCAGAAAACATTCATCAGTTATCTTTATCAAGAATCTCAGCTTCAAACGGAGAAAGATGGAATATTTCACAGCTTTTTTTTACCATCTCTGAGAAGCCTCTCCACAGTTTCTTAAGCACTTGTTCTCGTTGAAAGTTCCGGTATAAGAACACTCGCTGCAAGAGCCAACTGCTTTATATGCAGGCCAGTGACGTCCCAAGCTCTGACCATTAATCCATATCTGACCTTTTCCCATGCTTCCCATGTCTACAGCCAACGGAGAATCTCCAGCTGGAGCAGAGAATGTCGTCTAAAACAAGCCAATGGAGAGACATGTCAAACCGCCAGAAACTAATTTTGATGTCCAGAACAATATTGTATTACCGAAGATAAACTCGAGATGTTACCTTGTACCAAGTAAGGGGCTGCTTTTGTGCCACAAATGCACCTTCTGCCCACTCCACCGATGAGCTACCACTGAGTGAATGAAGACTTAGACTCTCTCCTTTGAGACCAACCTGAAAGAGATGTACCAAAATTGGATAACCGATAAATCAGTAGAGTGACACAAACACATATTAGGCAACAGAGGACTATATCTTTGTTTAAGTACCTTATAAGTCCATTTCTGCCAGGACAGATCTCTCCGTCCCCCACTGAGACCGTTCAATGAAACTGGACCCAGAACTCCAGCATTCCATGTCTCAAAATGTGGACCCACATTCTGCATTGTATCAGAACACATAGGTTAATAACATCTCTAGGACAAACTTAGTGGTTTGCAAAAGGATCAATTAGATAAGAGTTTGGTGCTAGGGAAATTGAGGACTAACCGGGAGACCAACAGCGATGCTTAGTATCGCAATTTTGTTGAAACCAGCTCTTAGATTCACACCTTTACGAAATGTTAGCTTAGGAGAGTCTAAGCTGCCATAAGAAGATCCTGGACAAGAGAAAACAAAATGTCAAAATGAGGCAAGAAAATGTCACCAGCGGATTATTCTTTGTGATGGTAACCAAAGCAATTACCAGATAATTGGCCATTGATGAACACATGCATAGCATGTCCAGCTGATAGAACGGTAAGAGTCGGCAAGTCCCCAGTCCTCAAAAACCCTTCGTTGGAGTCAACTTTAACACTGTAAAACAAAAAGAAATAGACAGTTTGTAAAGAAGTCCAATGCATTCAGAGAAATTCTTCCACATTCATTCGGTGTTGATAGATTATGCAAAGGTCTATGGATATTGGATACTTACTCAGTCATGTACCACAGGTAATCCGAACTGTCTCGTGTAGTGTTGATCTGCTCCACTAATCCGACCATTGTGAATGACTCATCAACGTAAGTTGATGGGTCTTCATTGTATGCTTGCCAAGATAATCCACCATGAACAGGAACCCGAACCATTTTCATCCTTGAAGTTTGAGCACCAACCTACAGTCCAAAACCAGCATAATCATTGTCAGTACTCAGAGAAAACCATGAAGAGAAAGATGAAACGTTATATCTAGTTGAAGCATATCAATCGTTCTTCTTACTCTGGCTGTGTTGTAGACTGTGTTTTTGCAGTCTGGGAGAATACTAATAGACCACGGAGGCAAATTGTAGTGGTTGCTCCCAAAAGAAACTTTGGCGTAAGATTTTTGATTGTAATTTGCTAAGAATGCAGAACAATCCCCAGACTTCGATTTGTACACATGAGCCTTCACATTCACAAATGCACAGAAGTTTAACAAGTTGACCAAAGCAAAAACAATAATTTTGAAAAATGAAGAAAAGAAGCTTTGAGTTGAGACCTCTTGATAGTTTCCAAGGGGCATTCTCGTGGGCTCTCCTGATACTAATGCTGGCTCGCATAGCTTTATTGCTCTATGCAAATCTTTCAAGTGCCCCCACTTAGGCTGCCTTTCAAGTCCTGTTTGAGAACAGTTGACAGTAATTATTAACATGACAACAATTGTTATCGATAGTAAGTAGAAAAATCGAAATTTAGACTGAGCAAGCTTACCATATTCGTCAAGAGGAGCGTCATAGTCATAGCTGGTTGCAATAAACGGGCCACCAGCAGTTCGGCCAAAATTTGTTCCACCATGATACTGAGCATGAGAAATGGAAAAGCTCAAAACAGGAATTTGATTTACTTAGTGAACATGGTAGAGAAAAAAAAAGAGAAGACAGCAACTTTAGCTTTACCATATAGTAATTGATGAAAGATCCACCCTTCTGGAGAAACCTTGCAACGGAAAAGGCCATATCTTCAGCTGGACGATAAGGAACTGGGCCTCCAAACTTTGTAAACCTGTAAAAACTAAGTGAATCACCGGGGAAAAAATCACAGAAACATATTTCACTTTGAGTTTCTGCTTACCATCCAGTCCAGGCTTCAGTCCACATTTTGGGTTTGTAGGCCTTGTTCGGAGAGAAATAATCGCAGTAGAAGCCATTGCAAGCGTTAATCTAGCAGAGAGCAATCACAGATTCAACAAGTTAACAGACTGTAAGTAAAAGAGAGAGAATGAACATATAAATGATCCACATGGGTTGTTGTTGACCTCAAAAACGTAAGACAACAAAGAATTGCTTAAATGATTGAATATTAATTGTAGAGACAGAAGGAAGGATAAATAATCAAAGAAAAGTAAAAGATCATGGAAAGAAGCAACACCAAAGCATGTGCGGTTTAAATGAATACTAATATTTAATTAATGAACTGGTTTCATCAGAAAGAATGTAAAAAGACAAACGCATACAGCTAATGAAGAAAAGATGTCGCAACAACGAGACAAAAGAACTCACAATGGGGTCAGGAGCATCGTCTTGCTTGCACATGACCCAAGGGACACCAGTGCCTAGCCCCACAGCCATTTTAGCTGCCCAGTTGGAGTAAGACCGTCCCGGTGCGCCGATCTCATATTCCATTGGTCCATATTCATTTTCAATCTGTCACATAAACATTTGATTTGATTCAGAAAACAAGTCTTAGTTAAGTCTCACTCTCACAACAATTCACATGAAAGTGTTTTTACCTGAGAGAGGATTATAGGACCGCCTTGGGATTCATACAGCCTCTCTGCTTTCATCATGTTAACAATCTTCGTGGTGAATCTTTGCATTTGAGCCTTCAGAAGAAGAAAAAAAAGTCAATATTTTTGAATTAAGTGATCATCTCAGGGAGTCAAGCATGGACAATGAGCAAGTGTGAATTTTGATAGCTTCAAAATGAAGATAAGCTTAGTTTATGATCAACATGTCTAACCTTGAAAGGACCATTATCTGTTCTGAAGCTAATCCCTGGAATATACTTAAGCCAAACAGGAAATCCACTGAGAAATTTAAACAGAAACAAACAATCGCATTAAAATTTCTGAGAAAAAAGTTCTCTCATTTGTAAAAAGTTTCTATTTTTAGTTCAAGATACAAGAGATTAGCTATGAATAAAATAATTACCCAAAGTTCCATTCTGCACAGACATAAGGACCAATCCTTAGATGAAGATAGAGTCCAGACTGTTGGACCAACTTGACAAATTTAACCAAATCATAGTTCCCTTCGAAATAATACTGCAGATGGAGCCAAAACACACATAAAAGTGGAATCCAATGAAATCAGTAACTTTAATTTAAATCCGATTGATGACAAAAGAGATAATGAAGATGAGAATTTTCTTACTTTTCCAGGCGAAGGCTCGTGACCATTCCAAAACACATAAGTCTGAATCACATCTAAGCCTCCTTCTTTTGCTTTCCTTATTAGATCTGGCCACATCTACACACAACCAAACAAATTCCAGATCAAGAAACGAAACCCTTTACTCTGAAATTACTCGAATTAGGTACACAATGTGGGGTTTGTGGATTCATAAAATGACCAAAGCTTCAGACTTTGGAATTTAATAACTACATTGCAGCTCAGATAAGAAGAGAGAATCAAATAAGAAAAGAAAAACAAACCTCAGGAGTGCTTCTTGGGTAATGAATAGATCCAGAGATAAGGATTCTTCTTTTGCCATTGATGGTAATGGCTCTGCTATCGTAGGAGACAGACGCAGAAATGGAAGAGACGAGAAACCCTAGAAGAAACAGAGCAGAAGCTGCCGCCATAGCCACATTCTTCATGGCATTAGGTTTAAGACCCATCCCAAAGACTGTTGAGAGCAAAAGCAGATATCTTCAATTTTCTGTTCAAAGCTACTTTCTTTTTTTCTACTTGAAGTTGGTTTACCACTTTATTCTATTCTTCCTTAGCTGAGCCAGAGGATAAAAGAAAAGAAAGAAATGGTGAGAAGAGAAAGCTTGAAGCTTTCGGGTTTTTTTGTTTTCCGGGGAAAAAGGGGAAAGAGAGAAGATTATAGGAGGAAATTATATTCTTGAGTGTAAAAAGAAGAAAACTTGGTTTTTGTTCGGATGCCAAAATCGAGTTGCTTTGCAGCTGCTTTTAAGCACTCAGCAGCAATGGAGGGTATCTCGTGGGACCCACCTTTGAAAGACCTTACTGGGACCCACCCTGTTTTTGGCCTTTCTCATTGTTTAAATAATTAAAATGCCCTAAGGTTTTAATTTAAAATACATTTTTCAAGAATTTCCGGATGTATTAATGTAAAAAAGGTTCATTTATGACTGAATGTCCTTAAGTAATAATAATGTTATCTTATCGCCAGCACTAGATACGAAGTCTCATACTTTTTGTAAATGTTAGATTCTTTAAGAAGAAAATTTACTACAAAACTAGAATTTAGTCTACTATTTTTCCAACAGAAAATGTTACGTATTGTTGGATTGATAAAAATAAAAAGAACGATTTGGGTTCATTTTAGTATATGACTCTCACATTTTACCAAAAAAAGTAGTATATGACTAAGTTGGAGGAGGATTGGAGCTTTGGTTTCTTCAATTTATGTTGGTTTAAAATACTTACTACAAGAGCCATGATTTTGTTTTTCAAAATCTATTCCGTTTCAAGTTTTGGTTTTCGGGTTTAAATAAAGTAATCACACAAATCGACTATCAGATTTGACTAGTTATAATAATCAGATTGTTTTAGTTTGATAAGCTTAATTCGGTACGAGATTAAACACCGTAGTTCACTAGTTCTCCTCCATAATCACGAGACTCACGAGATTTGTCTCTTTCCTAAAATGCTACGTGCTCTTCACGCGCGTGGTAGTAATGGCCCAATACCTTACGAGAGTGTCACGGGTTAAGTTTTCAGCCACCACAAATTCTTAGACATTTACAAGACAAAGACGAGTAACAACAACAACAAAAATTATTTACATTTTCTTCGGCGTTTAACCTTACATGAATTTGGCAAAAAAGAATATCCATGGACTAGTTTGTTTTTGTCAATGGCTTGAGATTTAGATCGAATTTCATTTACGGCGAAAACAAAATTTGTTGGCCAAAAATCCTTGCATGAAAATAAAACCATTGTTCATTTCCCCCACTACTGATTCGCCCACTTGGCTATCTAGATTATTTTGGAAGTTTACATAGTATTCCTTTTTTTGTTATTAAATTATTTTCGAATTCTATTAGTATTCATAATTGAGATTTTCTGGTTAGCAAATTGTAGGTTTATGTAAGAGGGGTCGTTAGACGACATTAAACATTTAAACCAATAATTATCTCAACCACTGGACACATGCAATCTTTTGAAATTTTGGATTGTCTTTCGATTTCTCTACCTAAAAGTATACATATTTAAGTCCCCAAAGCTCATCTTGTTTTCTTATGAAAGGATTATTAAATTATTCCATTATCAAAACAGATGGATTTATTGTTAATTTTGAACAGCTATTAGTTATTACATGACCATTTAAATAAATGATTAAGTTGATTTGTAGTAAACATTGATTGATCCTATTGTTTTCAATTGCTGAGCTATCCAAGAAATCGAGATTCGACGGTGCAACCTATATATGGCTGGCTGTGTCTATATACAGTTTCATAAATTTCGTTGATATGTCGTATTCATATTAATTGGGGGGAGAAACTAAAATAAATTTTTTTTTAGCAAACATAAAGAAACTATAATTTCATTATAAATAAATTTTTCAAACGAGAATTAAACATATGCACACTAAAGACACGCAAACATACACAATAATTGTTCTAGTCGAAGAGATAAGGTGTCAAAAAGGGAGATATCGTGTTTGTAAAGCATCATTAAAGTGAAAACGCAATCAATTACATTGAACAAATTCCATTCTTTGTCGTCGTCAAATATACAATTACAAATGTTATGAATAGTACTCCGTAGTACTCAAGCAAAAAATATGATTCGTACAACAAAAAAAGAACAGAGTTTATGTTGTAAATTAATCAATTTTTGTTACTCACGATGGGGTATTGATTTTTAAATTTAGTTTGAATTTAGTGACTGGAAAAGGTCACAGACAGGTGAACAACTCTTTTCAAATCAATAATATGTTGTATGTTGCCCAAATATAACTTACATGTTATAAGGCAACTGATCAATCTGAAATTTGTTATCTAGATCCGTTTTATGCTCTTAAATCTTTAACATTGCCTTTATTACATGTTTAATTTTGTTTTTACTCAGACTTTGAGTTGCATGGGGAAAATTAAACTGAAAACAACAAGGAACAAAGTAAATAAATAAAAACTAAAAACAGAAAATAAATGAGTCATCAAAGCGAGTAAGCGACCAAACCCGTTAACTGCGACGACAGCAACAGTTTCCGCGTTCCGAGTTTCTGCTTTCTCTTCTTCGTTGCTTTATATTCCTTTCCCACTCAAAATTTCATATATCATTCACGCTTGGCGCGTGAAGATACATTACATAGTTGATAGTTATATTCTACTGCATTGGTTTGACATTTTGCTCCGGATCTTGCGGCGGGTATAGGAAATCAGAAATGTGTAGTGGATGTGTATATTTAATCTAATGGGTTCTTAATCCACATTCTTATCCTAATTGCTTCTGTTAGTGTAGAGAAGCTAACGCGAAGGTCATGTGTTTCTGTACTTCTTTTATGGTAGATTTAGATCCAACCTGTTGTCCATAATTCTGTATCACACTAAAGTCAACAATAAGAATGCTATGATATTTCAGAACCTTTCCCCAAGAATTTATTGTACCTGCAAACCTTTTTCTCTTTTTGCTAGTTCTTTCAACATGTGAAGGTACGTTTGATCCATTGACTCATGTGATCCAAACAGAAATCAGACGCAATGCTGCTTTTATATCAATCATAGTTCATTAGAGAAAATTCATGGACCTATAGTGGGCTGTATCTGACCTAAATTCACGGTACGTTAAATATATCATTGATGAAACACCTAGAGTATGTAAGAAAAATCTTAGTCTGTAAACCTAATGGTATGGGCTAATAACTTAGAAGATTTTACCAAAAAAAAAAGTTTAGAAGAGTCACTAAAGGTCCATCACTTGGGGTTTTCCATTTCTTTTTTGTTTTGTTTCTTCATTCCATAAAGTCAACGGAACATATAGAAACCACGTGTGCTCTTGGTGATTAGAACGTGAATGAAATTTTTAATTTCATCGCCACTAACAAAGTCAATCACAAGGAATTCGAGTTTATTTTCCTAAGAATTTTCCAATAAAGTATAATACCTGCATATGTTATTAACCAGTTGATCAATTACACAATGTTATGACTGAATTAGTGAATCATGACTTCATGAGCTCACAGGTCACCCACTTGCCAAGATATTTTTATTTGACTGATGACGACATATTCATAACTAAGTAATATATTTTTGCTAAGCGGACCCGGCATGCATGCATGTTGCAGCTTAGTGATAATTATCTAAATGAGAATTCCAATTATTCCTCCATAGAAAAATCATTGAGATTTTATGTTTTCGATCTACAAATTAATATTATATTCTTAAATATGAATTCCAACGTTGTAATACATACGAAAACGTAAAATCATCTTTTTTTATTGCACACCACCACACTCAAGTTTGCAGCTGAATTTATCGACGACCATTTCCATTAGTGCATACAATATAACTGTAATTGTTTTTAACGACGACCATTTATTTTCTTGTGCGCTGTGTAAAAAGAAGAAGATAATAACAATAGATTTTTGTAGACCCGGTTCCAAATTTAAGCGTCACACTTTGTTAATTCATATGTACAATATATTTATGGTACCTTTCACAATCGAAATCTGTCGACAGAAACTACATCAAGCTTATCCATATAGAACGAGGAGAGGTTTCTACATACATTTCGACGGCTTAATTAAATATGTAGATTGTTTTGGCTAGCTTTTGCTTTCCTTTTCAGCGACTGCCTTATCTTCTTATCTTATATGAAAGGTCTCGTTTCTTCTTCACTTTCTCAACACATCCTATTTTGTTAAGCACATTTCTCTTAGATATATATAAATACGTAAATTAATAGTTATCCAGCAAGGATACAAATATTTATCCAAAAACAAAACAATACGAGGTAATCCATTTACGCTTTTACAAGAAATCATGCATTAAATCACCGATTTTATTCATTTCTTAGATAAGGATAGTTAAAGATATAATCCTAAAAGGAAATTATTAATAATTGACGAAGGTTTGAAAATCCTTTTAATGTTTTATATACATGGCAGAGACAACATTTTGAGTCTCATCGGAATGGTACTTGCTCTGTTATCGCAATGGCGATGAACCAAACGAGGGATTAGGATGACATGTAAGCAAGAAAACTACATAGGCTCCACAAGAACTGTGGCACGATATGATGACACGTCAACTTTGTCGTGTGGGACCAAACGATCATCTACTAGATAATGTGCATGTTATAGGGCAAGAACGCATCGACGTTACAAATAAAATGGGTGGCTACTTAAGAGTATAAGATAGGAGCTACAAAAATGTGATGTGTCTTATCTTCTTTCTATTTTTGTTCCAAATATTTTATTTTATCTTATTCACACGAGAAAAATAAAATCCGATGAGACTGCCACATATTCAATTTAAAACCATTCAGTGCATTCATATCATATCGATATTTTATCTTTTTGGCGGTCCCAAGGGACACATCCGATACAAAATAATATTTTTGCTACAACCTACGAAAATGAGAAGGTTATTGTGGTTGATAGTTTTGGAAAATGTCTTTACTTTAAGGAATCTTAGCCGGAAAAATAAACACAATTGATGATAAGAGTCGAGAGATCGATATGAAATCTGTATAACGAGTTCTTATCTAAAATGGATTTATTATTTTTGATCCACCATTTTCGCTTGCGTGCTGTCTCTGCAAGTGCCGTCTAATTTTGGTATTACAAAGCAAATACCTACCTTTCATAGTAAAGAAGAGAGAGAGAAATTTGGTGATAGGTTTTCATACGAATCTCTAACATTGATTGATTTGGTCGGTCCATTGTAATCCATTGCAACAGTAATAGGTTTTCGCTGGACGTTTATGGGGCCGATAGTTTTAAAATGGCTCTAAATCATAAAGAAAAGTCACAAATGACAACCGAATCTAATTTTGTGTCGCATTGAAATACTTTTGTCTATATTTTAACTTATAGACACTATACTAGATTGATACTATAGTCTTGCTTTTTTAATCTTTGGATAAGGATGTTGGCGAGCTGGATTAGATCATGTCATGAACGTCACACTTACAATTTATGAATAAAGATATGTAATAGTCGAGTATCAATGATTCAACTTGCTGAAAGTTCTTGAATCTTAATAAAATCATACATGTAAATGCAACTAGAAGTACATATCTTTGATCTTGTTCTTTCTAATATACTTGTTAGTAGACTTGCTAAAGATTAAACAACCATGAGGACAGAAGACAAAATTTGGCATTTTGATTTGACAAACCAGTCGGAATTGCACAATTCACCATATACAATACACGTCTTCTCCGGTTAAGCGAACACACATAGCGGCAATGCTAAACCGGCCTACTAAGGACACTTTGATCCTTGAGCTTTTCCATGATCCGAGAGAGTAACTACGACCTTCGCTACAACTATCATGACACTTGTTCATCTGCAAAATAACCAGGAAGGAGAAGATGGTTATGACTCATTGACTTGTGTGGCTTTACCGTAAACAACTACTAATTGAAGTTTAGAATTGAATTTTATGGAAGAGATTAGGTTTAACTCACTGAGAATAAAGGATGGGAGGTTGGATTCTGATAGTTTAGGTTTAGGCTTGGCTACTTCAATCACTATCGCAGTGGAAGAATCGCTTGAGAACCCTATCTTCTGCATTATTTTTTCTAATCTTTTCCCGTTTGTCAAATACAGATAACCAATCTGGAAATTCAACAGAGAAGAACTGGTTTAGTATTATCACACAAATCAAGTGACAACAAGTAAGATTTTAAATTCGCCTTCAAGCAGAACTAGAAGAAGACAGTGTTACATACTAGTGTCTCCAACGATGATGCCTTGTTATAAACCGCAACACCTGCACGCCTTCTTGTACGCGTTCTTGACGAACCTAGATTCTTTCCCCACCTGAGTACATCACTGTAGCAAATACAAATATAATTAGATGGATAAAATCTCACGAGATGTGAGTTTTTGTGTATCTCAACTCAATCACGGACAGTTATCACAGTGACAGCAGAGCATATTGAAGAAGATGGTGAAACAATGGGGTTCTGTGTACTGACCTCTCTTCCTTTGTCAGGAAATCATCATCCACGAGTTTCTTCAACAAGGCATACTGAACAAGATTTTGATAAAAAAAAAGTTAGCAGTTAACATGTTATCTTCAAACAACAACAAAATGATGACAACACAGCTCAAATGATATGTATGAAATGTCCTGAGATGACAAACAAAAAAGAAAACTATGATGGTTATGCTGATTCCAATATTCACAAGTGATGAATTATCTGGTGTAAATATAACTACTTAGCAAAATGAAGAAACAGAACAATCACAAATAATCTGCTTCTTCGAGAATACTGGTTTGAGAAAACATGAGTAGGTCAAACCTGTGCTTCACAGCGCACCACAGCTCTAACACGATCGTTGTAATCTTCGATACTAAGTGGAGGGAAAAGAAAATGCCTACGAGCATATAGCTGCAAAACCAAGAGAAACCATATTAATCAATCAAGTCTGAGATAGTAAAGATTCCGTCAAAGAGTAACACAATCTGCATTTCGTATATTGACAATTCAACAACACTAGAGTCTGATTCCCGGAAGAGATCAGGAGAAACTAATTCTAGATGAAACTTGGCACTCCATTGATCCAACAAGCATGAAGCATGAAGCATAAAGCTCAAGAGTGCAATGGAAGACAAACCTCATAAATGGAATCGCCGATAAAAGCTAAGGAAGCAGCATTGAAAACTGATCTTGGTTTCTCCAACTTTGGTGGAGTTGGAGACCATGTCTCGTATCCCATATACGTATCATCAATGTCATCAGTCACGTCTACATACAGAAACAAACTTAGTATCACGAATTGGAAATTTGACAGGTTTTCTACAATCCATCACCATTGAAGAAAAAACAGAAATGAGCTTCGATTAGTTTCAATCAAATGTATACAACAGAGACATCATCAAACTACCAAATTCCATTAAAAACCCTCGAATTTCCCAACCGGACATTGGAATTACATCAATTCCGAGTTTAAGCGTATACCTTTACTTGCGGGACGCTTGAGCAAATCGTCGACGGAGATGGTGATTCGCGGAGACGGTGGAGGAGGCGAAGGCGGAGGTAAGAAAGAACTGCTGTTAGGGTTTTTCTTCACTTTCCGAGGCGCATTAGGGTTGTATGGAAGTCTAGGTTGTGTATCTAAGGCAGCTCTCACGGTGGAGCTCGCCGATAAAATCACCATTTCTCTCACTGAAGCTACTCTCTTTTTTTTTCCGAGGGTTCTATTTCTTTTGAGACGATAAGGCGTTGACGTTTCATATTTTACACGTGGCATATTTCTATTTGTCCGTCAGCATTAAGATCAATAGGTACCGTTAACTTTTCATTGTTGTACAGCTTTATTGGGCCGGATATGGGGCTTTAAAAATAAGTTTCAGACGTTTGGGCCTTATTTCAGACAGACTCGGTGTGGGTTTCATCGGCCATTGAAACGTCTGAATCGCAAATAAATTTGATTCAAACATCTACCTTATTGATTCTTCAACTTGGAAGACTCGATTATGTGATTTGGACTCTTTGCTGATTGATGTTACGCAAAAAAAACAAGAATTATGAAGCAGATTATTTGTTTCATGCGACTTGGACATGAAAATCTTTTAGCTTATTTTCTAAATTAGGTTGGTAGCTAACGGTATTATAGAAGAGATAGGAAGCTAACGGTATTATAATGTTACGTTTTTTTGAGCTATGGTATTGTTTTATGTAAAAAAAGTGTTCTCATATTTTTCTCTTTCTAGTAATGTCATATATATTCGTCTTCTCAGTTTCCATACAATTACATATATATTCTTAAACATGTTGAACTATTGGTTTGAAATCATTACAAGTTATCTGGTAAGTGGTCTTTCTGAAACTTTTTGTTTGTTTATTCGTTCATAAGAGATCTTGATGAGATTCATAATTGATGAGTTATGACTATGAGAATCTCAGTTTGAAAAGATTATTAAGGACTCTCCAATCATGGCTATTCATTTATCTTTGATTCTGTTCTATCCATTCCATTCTGAGAGTTGCAAGACTCATATGGAAAAAAAATGAGAATCAACGATCTCATAAGGGTAGCTACTAGAATGAGACTCATTAGAAAATTTTGTTGCATTCAAAAATTAAATGATTCTCCATTGATTTAAGAGAATAATGGATAGTTTAAATTTCATCGAAGAGATCAATTATATAGTGGTTTTTCATCAATTTCATAAAGAGGACAAAGGATCATGTTCTTGGCTATCCAAAACCTTAAAGATATTTGTGAAATCAACTGGGACAAAAATATTCTCCAGATTTTAACTTTAAGTGGTTCTTCACATGGAGATATGGTCCAAGTGAAAACAACCCCACATTTCCCCCAAAATTATAAACAACATGCATTATTTGGCTCTTACTAATTTTGCTTTATTCATTTATTTCTGTCAATACTCAAATTTTTAGACCTTTTTGGCAACAAAATTTACAGAAACCTTTAAATACTTTATACAAAAAGTTAAAACCCTCTCGGATTTCCAAAGATGCACGACCTTAACTTAATGGAATCCATGCAATAATTAGATATGATCAAAGCACAAATTTGTATAGTATCTATCATAGTTTTCTTTAATCAAAATGTATATAGAATTAAAGTGCCGATCATAAGGTAATAAGATAGCTTCCGCGTTAGGTGTTGCTTGAATGAAAAGCTTATAAATGGCGTTTATAGATATAATAAAAGAATCATAGGCTTCCCAAAAGAATTAATATTTTTGAGAAAACTATTGTAAATTGAATAAAAAGATAATGGCAAAGTTTATAGTTTGGCATTAGTCAAAGGGTAGATGTTAAATTACAGTTTAAGGATTAGCTTTTTTAGGCTCAAAGTTTGTATAATCAACAATAATCAAAGTATTTAAGCGGCTAAAGAATCTCACTTCCTTAGATTCTAATATATTATACCACTCATAGTCTTACATACACAACTTCTGTTTGCGTATATTTATATTGGTTACAACTTACATGTATACGTTTATAGTTTATATGAAAGTGGGAAGGTGCGCATGTGGTCTAATCATGAGGAAACTGAATTGGCCTTAAATAAATGTAGCATACTTTTCTTGTAGAGCTTCGTTTCATGTACGTATAATGTATCCCAAGATTTTAATAAACATATATTAGAATGCTAGCCTGGTTTTAGTACTCTACTATAGACAAAGCTTTGGAACTTAATATCCAGAATGTACAAAAATATAAATCGGTTCTGCAGATCTTATCTCTCATGCTAACCAGATAAAGCAAACGATATTTTTTTCAAAGTCTCCACAAACCGTTCTGATCCCGCGTACTTTGGTTCCTTCGCAGACTATACTCTTTTGAGTATAGATAATTGGCTGCGCTGCTCATATATTAGATGCTACATATATATCTAGATCGTCTTTAAAATGTCATGAGTCGCCTTCTTATAAAAATAGTACAACTGATCAAATGAAATTCACAAAACTACCCACGTATTGACATATATATGTACACACACATACAGTACTATACCGTATACGTGTATTATCAGGTATATCTTTGCACATACATACATGATAGATATGGGGATGCATGTATCTAGCGTGATCATGACAAAAGACGTGTAAATATATGTGAAATAAGAAAGGTGGCCTAATGGAATTTCGCACGAACGCGCACCCAAAATACCCCACAAGCCAAAAGACAATTAGCACACTTTTCTTCTAAATATTCGTTCTCTATTCTCTCTATAAAAAAGAGAGTTCCTTATACAACCTTCTTTAAATAATTAAAACAACAACATTCAGTGACATTTTGTTTGGCTCAAATAATTGATATACATGTGCTAGCTTGATCAAAACGATGTATTTCTTTCTCTTCTCTTCTCCTTTTGTTTTGTATGCTCTAGATCATAGTTTGATAGATAGTAAATTTTATGTTATGTTTTTATACTTTAAAAAAAAATAAGAATATAAAACTACTGGATATTTGATTTATCACACCAAAAATAATACATATAAAAAGATATGTTCTCTATACAGAAGTTTTCGAGGTTTCCAAAAGTTTTTTAAATTAATGAGAACATATTTTCGTCATTTTTCCTTTAAAAACTTTTTTTGAAATATAAAGACTCCACAATATACTATCAATGGATATTGTCTTAAATTCTACTGAAAGTAAGACGAAAGATTTGAAACCAAAGGTAATGTCGTAGTGACGTAATAGCATACCAAATCTAGTTTAAATTATCACATGTATAATATTTTATTATATAAAGCTGGATGCGCGCGACGTGGTTGCGACACATAGGATTTTTATAAAATATAGGATCATGACATGTGTCACTTTTAAGGTTAGGTCCGTTAAGATCGTGACACGTGTCTTAGGAAAAAAGAAAACTTTTTTTAAAGGGAAAATTTTAATATTTTATAATAAAAACGAAAATTTATAAATAAATTGAAAATAATGCTATAAAAAATTTCTATTAATACATCGAATATGTATATAAACTAAATATCCTAAAACGGTATGGAATAGGTTACATAAACCCATGTTTAAAAAAATTCTATTAGTACATGGAATATGTATGTAAACTAAATATCCTAAAACTGTATGGAATAGGTTACATGAACCCCCTATAAAAAGAGAGCTATTGTAATCTCTTTTTCTCATTCACAGACTCATCAAAGCAAATTCAGCAAATCTCTTTGATTCTCTTTCTCTAATTTTAAAATTATGTCTTTGAAAGTTCAAAAGAACAGTGGAGATTATTTGACTCTAGGTCAATTGGATCGAAATCGAAATTATCGCCGTACTATAGTACGTGTTATTCGAAAGTGGGAAGCTAGAAATCCTAAAGAAAACAATATTCTTATGGGAGTTGACCTTCTATTACTTGATGAAAAAGTTAGTAACATTTTATATTTATATCTTATTATATAAATATGAAAGTTAGATATCAATGAAGAATATTTAATTTTAGATCAGTTGGATCAAAATTGAATTTATTGTCGCAACATGTGTCTAATAATTGATCAGGTGATGAGTTGTGTTAACACAAGAACATTGGAAAAATGTATTAACAGAAAAAAGAAAAGTAACATTGTAAAAAACCTAATTGATATTGGAAAGGGAAATTAATAATGGAGAGAGGCTAAAAAAATATTGAAAAAGAAACAATATAAATAGAAAACAGACAGAATAATTATCAAGCAACTAACTAATATTAAAAAGAAAAATTTATAATAGACCCATTTTATAATTTTTAATAAGATAATTTTCAAGTTTTAAATCGAATAATCAAAAATTTACGAATTAATTAATTGATCAAATTTAGACACATGTAATTCTTTCTAATATTAGATAAAAAAAATCATTTTTTATATTATGAATTCAGAAACAAAATGTGAGTTATAATTAAAATGTAAAAGGATTACCAATTTTATTTAATTTAGATATTTATTATTGATTTCTAATACTATTTTATTTACCAAAATGATCCGATTTTTTTTGATATTTTTGTGATTAATTTTATAAATTTTAAAATAAACCCGCGTGTATACGCGGGACTTAATCTAGTAATTGATATAAGTATCAATTTAAAGAACAATATTCAAAAAGAAAATAAGAGATATACCAGCCACATGATTGTTGCCACACCGCACCATGATTAAAGTTATATAAGGAGATACCAAGACAGATTCAAAGTGAAAGAAAGTCCCAAAAACAAAAAACCAAATTTAAAAAAAACACAAACCCATTCGTGTGCGTGCGGCTAAGTTAAAATACTCATGGACACTATTTCCTCACTGTTCCTCTTCTCCTTCTTCCTCTTTGTCACCACCATCATCTTCGATAAGATCAAAGGTCTTAGACCATCCTCAGCTTCAAAGAAGAAATTTACTGATCATCATGTTATTACTGATCACAGTCACAGACCAAAATTTCCACAAGGAAGCTTGGGATGGCCTGTCCTCGGAGAAACCATCGAGTTCGTCTCTTCTGCTTACTCAGACCATCCCGAGAGTTTCATGGACAAGCGTCGACTCATGTAAGAATTCTTCTCTCTCTCTATACACTTTAATTAATATAATGTAATCCATAGAGAAAAATAAGCCTCATTCATATACATATTAAAAAAAAAAATGGGAAAGAAAAGTATCCAAATCTATGCATATACGCCACTTGATAACCATGAGATTCCGTGCCCTAACCTAGATTTTAATATCTGGAACATGTGGTGACTGGTGAAATACTGATATTCTCACCATTTAAGGACGTTATTATTACCATTCTAAATATGTGTTTATGTTGTAAAGGTACGGAAGAGTGTTTAAGTCGCATATATTTGGAACGGCGACGATTGTGTCAACGGACGCTGAAGTGAACAAAGCCGTTTTACAGAGCGACTCGACGACGTTCGTGCCGTTTTACCCTAAAACGGTTAGGGAGCTTATGGGAAAATCGTCGATACTTCTGATAAACGGGAGTTTACACAGAAGGTTCCATGGATTAGTCGGTTCGTTCTTAAAGTCACCACTTCTCAAAGCTCAAATCGTTAGAGACATGCACAAATATTTGTCGGAATCCATGGATCTATGGTCCGAGGACCAACCTGTTTTCCTCCAAGATGTATCCAAAACTGTTAGTATACTCTTCCCTTAGTGAATACTTTATTTTATTAACTCTTTTTTTTGTTTAATATGATATCGTCCATGCTTTGATTGAGAAATTAAAAGGGACAATCATAATGATGTTACCATGGAACATTAATTTATTTTAAAGCACATGGTTGCAATTATTACATCTGATAGTAATGATTACAAGTTTAATTATTGCCCTTTTAGTTATGTTTTCACATGTAACAATTTATTTTATTTTAATTGGTAGGTTGCATTCAAAGTGCTTGCAAAGGCATTGATAAGTGTAGAGAAAGGGGAAGAGTTAGAAGAGTTAAAGGAAGAATTTGAAAAATTCATCTCAGGACTCATGTCATTACCAATTAACTTCCCTGGAACCCAACTCCATAGATCTCTCCAAGCTAAAAAGAAGATGGTGAAGCAAGTTGAAAAGATAATAGAAGGCAAAATTAAGGGAGCAGAGGACAAAGAGAAAGATGGAGTTATAGCAAAAGATGTTGTGGATGTGTTGCTTAAGGACTCAAGTGAAAATTTAACTCACAATTTGATTGCTAGCAATATGATTGACATGATGATTCCTGGCCATGATTCAGTCCCTGTCCTCATCACCCTCGCCGTCAAATTTCTCTCCGATTCTCCAAGTGCTCTTCATTTTTTAACGGTAATTAACTTAAACCATAATCAATTGATGAGAGTTAGATAATTTTTCTTCAAAGTAAAGCTAAATTTTGATTTTCAAACTATATTCTAATTTTGTGGATATATGATTACCACGAAAAAATTATAAGCTTTTCTTACTTTAGAACATTTCGATTTACCAGGAAGAAAACATGGAGCTGAAAAGATTGAAGGAATTGACAGGGGAGCCACTATATTGGAATGACTATTTGTCGTTACCTTTTACACAAAAGGTATTTATATTCTCCTTGTCCCTGAGATAAGTTAATTATTATATGAATAGTTCTCTTGTGAAAAGGTGATTAAAATCATTAAATACATTTTTAATTACCAATTTATCATCAGGTCATAACAGAGACACTGAGAATGGGAAATGTTATAACTGGAGTGATGCGAAAAGCATTGAAAGATGTTGAAATAAAAGGATACGTGATACCAAAAGGATGGTGCTTCTTCGCTTATCTCAGATCAGTCCATCTTGATAAACTTTATTATGACTCTCCCTACAAATTCAATCCCTGGAGATGGCAAGTAAGAAAACTCGAATATTTTTATACTCCTTATAATCATATATGTAAGACGAATTATATAGTTAATTAAATATGTGTTATTTTATACAATAGGAAAAGGACATGAACACGAGTAGTTTCAGTCCTTTTGGAGGTGGTCAGAGACTGTGCCCTGGTCTCGATTTGGCCCGTCTTGAAGCTTCAATTTTCCTTCACCATCTTGTCACTCGTTTCAGGTAATCGATTAATTACATTATATTCTTATAAAGTTGTTCATATTTATTGTAAATATTGAAATTTGATAGCAAAAAATAGGGTGTGGCAAGTGCTAGCTAGACAAAATGGTACGTTAGGACCAAAAAAGTTATAAGTCTCACCTCTTTTTGACAAGTTGGACTCAACTCTTAAAAGACACAAGTGGACATATATTTCTTGAGGAAACTTGTAGCTAGTAATTAACATCCGAACGAATTAGTAATCTAAATCAAACTTATTCAAGTGTAGCAAACTTTGTATAACTATACTGTACTATTTCTAGTTAGGCATCCGAAAATAACAATTATCGGGATTTTTCAAATAATTACTTGTCAAATAATACGCCGATGTTTAATTCTAAAATTTTGATGGTGATTGTAATATGCAGATGGATTGCAGAAGAAGATACAATTATAAATTTTCCTACAGTGCATATGAAGAACAAATTACCCATTCGGATCAAAAGAAGATAATCGTTTGTTCAACCTAAGTGGAAAATGAATAATCAATTTTTGCATTATTCAACATCTAAAAGGTTAAAGAAGTCACACGAATGTTTGTAAGCGTGAGTGAATGAAACTTATGAAAGTGATAGTGAGACAGAAAAGACAACATGAGGGAGTGTAGAGACAGACAAAAAGGAGTCGCACGTGTCGAGTATTTGTCGTTTTCCGTCAAAAGGCAAATAAAGACAAAATCACAAAACCTTCGGTTTGTTGTGTCGGCTCCACGTGGACCCAACTGCTTATTTCTTTTGTTGACCGTAGAATTTACCGTTTTTTAGTAAAAGGTGTAAGATATGTAAATCCTAATTTCCTCCCCTTCATATATCATTATACTAAAAAAAATCAATATAGAAACTATAATGAAATGTCCGACTCAACCATTCATTTGATATCATTTTTCGAAATTAACTATGAAATTGATTTCTATGTTATATTCTAACTCAATATTTATTATTTTTATCAGTAGTTTGTAGTTATTATTGATTGTAATTTCATTATCGATCTAAACCAACGAGGTGTGACTTATGAGTTATGGTCTAAAGGTCAGAACCGGATAAGGATTTGAAGTGTGGTTAAAAAGGTGGTTAGAGATTTTGTGGATAACCTTTTTTGGATCCAATAATTATGTGTTATGTAATAATGACTTGGGAAGTGATATTCCTGATCCTCCAATCAGATGTAACTAATATAACAACCCACTGAAATTAATTTAAATGTAACAAAGACAAAAACGGTTGTTATTCGCTAAAAAACAATAACAGCCAATATCATCACTCCATCACCAACCAATAATTTAGTTGAACATTTTCTAAAATTGCGACTACGAGTTAATTTTCATTTTTCACCTTAGAAATCACATTAACCTTCGCGATTTGAATTGGATAATGAAACACAAGACGAGGAAAATGTAAAGGCCCAAATCGCGCCCCATAACTAAATTCATCATTTTGTAAAGGCCCAAATCGATGAAATTGTACAGAAAACAAACGTTTGGGCCTGAATTGATGTATTATGACGAAATTGTGAAAATATGAAGTACGAGGGATTAAAGTTGTAAATATTTACTCACGTAATATTGCCGACACGACACGTGGAGATAGAGAAACTACATGCTAGAGACTCCTCTGGAATGGGACCACGTGTAACCTGTAGGACAATTCAATAATGTCATTTCACTCGGTGACTTTTCGTCTGTCACCGTTACTTTAACAAATTCGCTATTACATCTATTAATCTTCAAATTAACTAAACAGTCCTTCAACATGTACTAAATTTAAATGAAGTTGCTGTTAGTGTTACCCAAATCTTAAAAATCCAAACTTTTTATAATTTTCATACATTGACCAAATAGTGATTCAAATCCTCACGCTACACTATTATACTACTCTTTTTTTAGTGGTTAAACTCTCTCTTTTTTAGTAGTTAAGAACAATTACGATCTAATCTAATTAATCTTGTTTTATTATCCAATAAGATTACAATCTAATTAAAAACGCAAATATGCGAATGTGTAACACCTAACTATATAACACTGTCCATTTTTATTATTGACAACAGTCTTTCATAATTTTCCATTTCGTCCTCTATTCAATAAATAATCAAATAATGACTAACTACGGCGCGATCCCGACGTCGTCTGGTGCTTCGCCGCCGGAGGATCTCGATTCGATCTCACGCGCCAAGCAACGTCTCAAAGCCGGACTCGCCACGCGCCGCCCATGGAGAGTGATGTTCGATTACCACTCCGTGGGGCTCCCTCGCGGCGTCTCCGCCGCCTTCTCCAGAATCAAGACGAACATCGCCTACTTCCAGACGAATTACGCGATCGTCGTCTTGATCGTCCTCTTCCTCAGCCTTATCCAGCACCCGATCTCGCTCATCGTCTTCACCGTGTTGATTTTCGTCTGGGTCTTCCTCTATTTCCTCCGCGACGAGCCTCTCAAGGTGTTCAGTTATCAGATCGACGATCGGACGATCCTCGCTGTTTTATCGGTGATTACCGTCGTTCTACTGTTCTTGACCGGCGCGACGTTCAACATCATCGGGGCGTTGTTGGTCGGAGCTGTGCTGGTTTTGATCCATGCGGCGTTTAGGACGACGGAGGATCTCTTCTTGGATGAAGAGGCGGCGGCGAGTGAGACTTCAGGGCTGACGTCATACCCGTCGTCTTAAATCGGTTGATTGATTGATGACGCACGTTTTTATGTATCCATTTATTGTTTTTCATTTAATGTGTAATAAATTTAAAATCTTATTGGTGTGAGTTTGGTTTGAGAGACTCTCTTTTGTTTACGAGTTTGATGTTTGAACCATTCAAAATAGTTGCAACTTTTGTAAGTATATAATCAAATCGAAGACTCAGGAGTCGTTTCTTGTGGTGATTTAACTCTGATAGATTTTAAACTAAATATAGTAATCATCATTTGGATTCATTCACTGAACCGAACATAAACCATCTTAATTACCAAGTTCTAGAATTATAGCTCAATAATGTAAAGTCTTCGCTTTCTGTTTTTGTTCCTTTTTCTTTGGCAGGCTCTTACAGTTATCGCCTTTTTGTCGTGTAATCTGTAGGACTGACTAATCAATGATGTCATTATCTCTCACTCGGCGACTCCGTGTTTCTCTTGTTACTTTATCAAACTCGTTATTGACCTTTTCTTTAATCATTCAAAGTAGACCAAAATAAGAAAATGGAAAGGTTCACAAAGTTATATACTTGTAATAAAATTCGAACTTAACAGCTTTTTGGTTTATGTCATTATATAACATCGTATTATTATTGTTACTACTATGTGTGTACAAAATTTTGTGTTTATAGTTAATGCAAGAATGTGTGGCAGTTTTTCATGCTCTATGAAAGAATTAGCCAGCATTCATAGGATTAACTAAAATCGTCCTTCAGCATGCAATCAACACTACTATATGCCCGTATATATTGTCAAAATCTTTTAAATCTAAATTTAGAATTTCAGAGTCATAAACCAAAGCCTCACGCTACTTTTTGTGAAGAACAATCACACGACCGAATCTACTAATTTCTCTTGTTTTATTCCATAAACGTAGAGTCAGTTGAATATGCATCCATATATGACAGTGTCCAATCTTATAAAGTAGACTAGTCTTTTATTTTCCACTTAATCCTCTATTCAAACCTTTACGCGTTAACAATAATAATAACGAATAATGACGAACTACGGCGCGATTCCGACGTCGTCTCATGCATCGCCGGAGTTGGATCTCGAGTCTATCTCACAAGAAAACCAATGTAAGCCAGCCACGCGGCGCCCTTGGAGAGTGATGTTCGATTTCCACTCCATGGGGCTTCCTCGCGGTGTCTCCGATGTTTTCTCAAGATACGATAAGAATGTTGAGTACTTCCGGTTGAACTACGTGATCGTGGTCTCGATCATCATATCGATCGCCGTCTTCGTTAATCTTATAAAATATCCGATCGCGCTCATCGTCTACACCGTATGGATCTTCCTCTGGATATGCTATTTCCTCCGCGACGAGCCTAACAAGTTGTTCGGTTACGCGATCAACGATCGTGGGGTCAGCATTTGTTTAGGTTTGATAGGCGTGCCTCTCGTCAAGTTGACCAACGATATGTACAGCATATGTTTGCCGTTGTTTACCGGGAGTGTGCTCGTTTTGATCCATTCGGTGGTTAGGAAGACGGAAGATCTCTTCTTGGACTTGGATCAAGAGGAGGCGACGACTGAGACTTCTTCTTAGGATCACAGGACTCTGTCTTTTGTTTTTGAGGGTTGTTTAGGCCTAGGGTGAGGGACGTTATGAGTTTATTAGAGTTTGAGTTTTTACCATTTGTAAAAAGCATAGGTGTGTTTGGCATTGAACAAATATAAATTCATCTTTCTCCTTTTTATATTTTTGTTACATGATATTTCCATTACCTTTCACATTGTAACTATATATATTTTAGTTCGTATTGTTGTTCTAAAACTAAAATAACATATATGATTGATTTATTTTCTAGAATGAATTCCCTATGGTTTTGTATTATTATTTTATCATCTTTTTGTCGTGTGACCTTTAGAACAAGTCAATATTGTCATCTCTCGCTTGGCATAACAATAACAATATTTATATAATGAAGAACTACGTCGCGATTCCGGCGTCATCTCATGCATCGCCGGTGGTGGATCTCGAGTCCATAATACGCGACGACCAACGTATCAAAGCCGGAATCGCTCCCATTCGCCCTTGGAATGTGATGTTCGATTTCCACTCCACGGAGCTTCCTCGCGGCGTCTCCGAGGCTTTCTCAAGAATCAAAACGAATCTCGGATACTTCCGTAGGAACTACGTGATCGTAGTCTTGATGGTCGTCTTGATCTTCAACTTCATCGCCACCTTCGACAGCCTTATCAAGTATCCGATCTCCTTCATCGGCTTCACCGTATTGATTTTTCTCTGGATCTTCTATTTACTCCGCGACGAGCCTATCAAGTTGTTCCGCTATCATATCGACGATCTGATTGTCAGAAGTTGTTTAACGTTGATAACCGTCGCTCTCCTCCTTTTGACCAATGCGACGATCAACATCAGTTGGCCTTTGTTGATCGGAGTTGTGCTTGTTTTGATCCATTCGGTGGTTAGGAAGACGGATGATCTCTTCTTGGATGAACATTAGCCACTCTCTCTCTCACTCGGTCTCTTTTGTTTTGAGTTTTGTTTAGGGCAAGGAACGTTACGAGTTTAGAGTTTCAATTGTTAATGTGAGAATTTCCATGCTTTATTTCCTCAACGTAACACTCTTGAGTTTCATTGCAAACTGACAATTTCATTGCAAGCCGTCAATACACAGATTATATTCTTTACACAGATAGATAAAAGTTTCAATTGTACCTTTAAGGTTTTCGATTGAATACCAGAGAGGTATTTACGGATCTGTGAAGACTTTGATCCCCTGAATGCATTGATTATCTTTTCCTAGTCTGGAGATCGATTGACAGAGATTGGGTTTTATCTTCCCTGCCAACAAGTTTAAAACTGTAGACTTCCCTATCTTCCTCTTGACCATAGGTATGCACAGGAACTGAGGCGGACCTGCTCTCTGCATCTGATTCATCCTTCCCATTTTTTGCATCTGAACTTTTACTTTCTCCACTCAAAGAACCAATTTGAAACGAAGATAGAGATAAAGATGAATCACAGGTCAGAGATTCTGATGAAGTTGAGTACCAAAAATTACAAGGTTTAGGACATATATGTAACTATGATTAGTTGATCTTAATCTCCAAAATTAGCGATTATAAAAAAGATGCCTAAGCTAAAAGCTTTTAATAATATGTTTTCACTAGTCTACATTTGATTTGTTACCCTGTTTTTGTACTTTTGGTTCCTTTTTTTCAAATTAATCACCTTTTTCTGTTACACATTAGTTAATTTGAAGATTTTAGAGCTCAGAATGCCATTTACAAATTCCAAAGTATCACATATTTCCATGATGCAATACATATCGCATATGCAAACGCCTCAACAAAATAGATATAGAAACCACTTTTTCCATATTTCTTTTTAACAATTTATAGTTTTATACCATAAATTTATTATTTTTCTATTGGTGCCCCATACAAATACTTCTTCTATATCCGCCCCTGAATTCGCATCAAACCCAAAATAACATCTATGATCTATGATTGATTTCTTTTCCAATAATGAATCCCTATGATTGAATTTTGTTGTTTTTATAATTTGGTTATCTTTTTGTCGTGTAACCTGTAGAACAAGTCAATAATGTCATCTCTCGCTTGGCAACTACGTGCCTCTCTGTTACTTTATAGAACTCGTTATCCTTCACTAATAAATACCATTTGTTAATCCTTGAAAGATCAAACTAGAGTAAAAATAAGAAAATGTAAAGGTACACAAAAGTCATCATTTAAATAATATGTCATTCGAATTTGATGGTTGATGTAATTTAGTAATTATAAGTTATAACATCGTAATGTTAATTGTTACCATGAGTTTATAACATTTCTTATAAAATTGAATTGAATTATTTTTTTTTATAACTAACGCAAGAATATGTGGCAGTTCTTCATGCACTAACGTAGCAAAATAATTAGCCATGATTAACTAAAAATGTCATTCAGCATTTTCAAATACGTACCTATAACTATAAGCTGGTATTGCCCAAATTCTTGAAAATCTAAATCTAGGGTTTTTAGACATTGACCTAATAGTCATGAATCAAGTGCGATGTGAAAATGTGCATCACCTAACTCAAAAGGACTTCCATATATAACAGTGTCTCTTTTCATTATTTTCCATTTAGTCCTCTATTCAAAACTTTCACGCCATAACAATAATAATATTAAATAATGAAGAACTACGTCGCGATTACGGCGTCATCTCATGCATCGCCGGTGGTGGACGCGACGACCGACGTATCAAAGCCGGAATCACCCCCCATCCGCCCTTGGAATGTGATGTTCGATTTCCACTCCACGGGGCTTCCTCGCGGCGTCTCCGATGCTTTCTCAAGAATCAAAACGAATCTCGGGTACTTCCGGAGGAACTACGTGATCGCTGTATTGATCGTCGTCTTGATCTTCAACTTTATCATCATCTTCCACAGTCTTATCAAGTATCCGATCTCCCTCATCGGCTTCACCGTATTGATCTTTCTCTGGATCTTCTATTTGCTCCGCGACGAGCCTATCAAGTTGTTCCGTTATCATATCAACGATCTGATTGTCAGAAGTTGTTTAACTTTGATAACCGTCGCTCTCCTCCTTTTGACCAACGCGACGTTCAACATTAGTCGGCCGTTGTTGATCGGATATGTGCTGGTTTTGATCCATTCGGTCGTTAGGAAGACGGATGATCTCTTCTTGGATGAAGAGGCGGCGACGACTGATGAGACTTCTTGGTGAAGAGAAAGCATGTTCTATGCACCGGCGAGTTGGCATATTCGCCACCCATAACTTTGTGTAGGTCGTGTTTGTTAGTTGTGATCCTTGTGGAGTATTTAATTATTTAAAGCCTCGAATTAAAGTTCGAAAAATAAACATACTTAGAGAGTTCATGAACGAAACTCTCTTGTATCCTCTCTGGATTTGAGTGCACGACATCATTCTTATAGTTCATATTTTCTCTGTGCTACTAGTTACGTACAGAGACAGATACTGTTTTTTTTTTAAGTTTATCTGTTACCTATTGTTTAGTTTAGGGATAACTCTAGCTTTATTGAATCAAAACATTTTACATATACACAAACACAAGGTAACGTTACGGAAAATATAAATCGTATAGACTTATGTTTGGAGATCTAACCTATGATATGACTTTATATCACCGTGAGCTACCTGCTTTTTAATGAAAATAAATTGTTCCTTCGTCAAAAGATCTCGACTTATACATTCTGGAATAAAGGATCTATCAAGATAAAAGTGAAACGAATAAACAATGATCTAAACGATAGATGATGTGAAAAACCGGTTGAAAAAAGCATACACTAATATAATTAGCATTGTATATATACTTGTTCAAGTCTTGTTCCTTGTTAGAATCGGCCACTCTCTCACTCGCTCTCTTTTGTATTTAGGGTGAGGAACGTTAGAGTTACGAGTTACGAGTGTTATCATTTGTATAAAAAATATTGATACAATTTGAAACAAAAACATCCAACTGTATATTGAATATGTCTGGGCCTTTTATTAGGCCCAAATAACCTCACAAGGACGCTATATTTGTTTTAGGGAGTTTTGAGACTGTGACACATCTATTTACACGTCAGCTCACTTTGCCGGCGCGTATTACTACCGTCGAACTCGCCGCCGGCCAGAGGGAAAATGGCGTATCACCAACCGTACGATCCTTACTACGTCTACAATCCTCATTCTCTTCCGCCGCAGCTGCCACAGTTCGCCGACGAACCTGGGGCGATTAACACTCTCTTTGTCTCTGGCTTGCCTAACGACGTTAAGGCTCGTGAGATCCACAATCTTTTCCGGCGCCGTCTCGGATTCGAGTCTTGCCAGCTCAAGTACACCGGACGCGGCGACCAGGTTCGTAATTTCTCCAGTTTCGTAACAAATTGGTGGAATTGTTGATTTCCATTTTTGGAAATGCTGTATAATTCTTTAAGCTTCTGAAAAATGTCAGGTCGTTGCATTTGCAACGTTCTCAAGTCATCGATTCGCTATGGCTGCAATGAATGAGCTCAATGTAAAGCTTCAATCTTTTTTTTCACTTTGATCGAATTGGTGACTCATTAGTGATACTGATACATCATTTTCTGAAAGTTTCTCGTGTGTAGATAAGATTATACTGTGTTTGATTGGTGCTGAAAATCTTATATCAGGGTGTGAAATTTGATCCGCAAACAGGATCAACACTACATATAGAAGTAGCTAGATCAAACTCTAGAAGAACAGAAAGGCCAGGTTACTAGACTTTTACTCTCTTCTTCTGGCTAATTGAGTTAGTTTGATAGAGAAATGGATGAGTTTAATAAACTGTTTGTGTGTGTGGAGTGGATAGGAAGTGGGCCTTATGTTGTAATCGATAACAGAAACAAGAAACCCTCTAAATCTCAGGACGACCAGAGTGAAGAAGGTATATTCATGTTCTAGTTACCTTTGTGAAATTCCTAATTTCTTGAATGTATATTCATGTTTCTGCTTGATCTTTGATACATGTAGGGGAAAGTGATACAGATGAGGCGCATGAATCTGGAAATGGCGATTCTCCAAAGGAAAACGATGATACCAAAAGGTTGAGATGGGCATGTAGAAGTTTGATTTTGTCGTCTTATATGTCACAAAAGCAGAAGACTAATGTATACTTATTTCTTTGCTAATTTACAGTGAAGCCGACTCTGATCCAGATAGTAAACCACCATCTGATAGTGTAAGTACTCAGTACAAAGCCAAATCTAACCGATAAAATAAGTTGCTATGTTTGTTTGTGTTTTAATAGCGTATTGACACATTTCTACAGGGGCACTTGGGAAAAGGATTTGAAGGAGGTTCAGGGGCTAGACCATGTTCGACCTTGTTTATAGCTAATCTAGGGCCTAACTGTACAGAAGATGAGCTTAAACAACTCCTGTCTAGGTAACAACATTCTGCATTGCTTTGGATGTTCAAGCCCTATTTCTTGACGTGTCATTGTTTTGCCTTTCTGATCGGCTGATATGTGATCCATTTGCTTACAGATATCCTGGATTCAACATCTTAAGAATCCGAGCAAGAGGTGGAATGCCAGTTGCATTTGCTGATTTTGAGGTATAGGTTTTTTTGAATAAATGCTTATGATTTTGACTTTTGTAGTCTATATATATATATATATATATATATATATATATATATATATATATACTTACTCTCACAAGTAAACAGGAAACTGAACAAGCTACTCATGTGATGAATGATCTTCAAGGGAACCTCTTATCATCTTCAGACCGAGGCGGCATGCATATAGAGTAAGAGTAGTTTTTCTTTTCACATTTTTCCAGTTAACAGTTATATTTCACATTTTACGCTCATGGGGTTTATCACAGTTAACCTAATGTCACTCTCTGAATTCTTGTTTCTTCCAGATATGCAAGATCGAAGATGAGGAAACAGTAGAAGATTTCTCATAACCACAAAGCCTCGCTTCTCTTCTGATAACGGGATTTAGAGATTATAAGCAAATGAGAGAGAGCTGTATTTCTTATGTATTGTCATGAAATATGTGTATATATATTATGCAAGACTCCAAGATGCTAAAATAAACAGTACTATTAACATCTATAAAAATTTATGTTCGATATTTATATGCGCGCAGAGGATTGTAGATAGAAGTGATCAACTTCTCGATTTTGTCATGATCCAGTGAACAAAATTTGACTAAAAGTCATTTCATCACTACCCCCACCAAAGTCCTCGCCATTTTTGGGCGTTTCTTGTGCGAATACACATTTTATATTTGTTCAAATTGAGAAAAACTGTAAATTGGTGATGCTGATAAGTAGAAACGATGCCCAGGCAGGACCCAATGCATCATCACTGTGTTGACAGGCAAGTCAGATTCACACCTGACTTCTCTCTCTCTCTGACGCATCATTATTGCAGTTGCAGATGACATGAGAGTAAGGAAAGCCCTCGTTTTGTTTTGTCCTCTTCCTCTTCCTCTCTCTCTCTCTCTCCACTCTGCAAAACAATTCTTTGGACTACTCTCCAAAACCAAATAATTCAAATTTCAAAAGAAGAAAAGGCCTCTTTGATTTGCACTATTAATAAATCCTTTTCGCAAAACCAATTTAAAATTCCTTGATAAACATATTTTAGCAACTGTCTTTGCATCCCTCTTACCCGCTATACAAAACAAAAACAAAAAAGCTTTCTTGCCAGCTTTAGACCACATTACCAAAAAACAGGGAGCTTTAACTAAAAACCCTATCAACTAAACTTTTTTCACAAGACGTAGTTATGTGAATCTTTTAACTCGGCGCTTCTTAACCATTTAGTAATGCTACTTGTGGTTTGGTTCCAGTCTCTGACCTCTTTCCCTCTCCCGTAAAGCTAGTCTTGGCGTTGTTTCAATAGACAGCCTCTCACTGAACCTATCTGACCCATCATTCGTTATCTGACCACTGTAATGATCCGCCCAGAACCGCCCGCTTCTGTTGCCTGCCTCTGAACCTGGCGTAGACCCGTAGTTCCCATCCATTATCATATCCCCTTCCAGTATACGCAACACCTTCATTATATCACAAGACGTTTTAGTATATCATCACAAAGTACGAACGAGACTGAGACTGAGACTGGAGAGTTATTTTCAGGAGTTTCTTTTGATTACCTGAGACATGCGTGGCCTCAAATGTGGGTCTCTGCGTATGCACAACGAAGCTGCATGAAGCATACAAATGACCTCACTTTCTACAAATCGGTTCCCAAGCCTCGGATCGATAAGTTCTTCCACCGCATATTCTTCCAGTAACGGACGTGCCTGAGATCACAACCGAGACCATAACAAGCATCAGTTCTAATGTTCTATTACTTCACTGGAAAATGAAGATATGATGAAGTCATTACCCATTCAGTGAGGCATTGCTGGCCTTTCGGCATTGTGATATCAATGGCTTTGCGGCCAGTGACTAGCTCAACTAGAACAACCCCGAACGAGTAGACATCAGCTTTTTCTGTGATTTGTCCGCTTTGAGCATACTCTGGAGCTAAATAGCTGCACACAAAACAAAGCACTTTCCTTTAGCAACAGAAACATTGTTTCAAGTTTCAGGAAGAGAAATTATAGCTTTAGTTGATGTCTCACCCGAACGTTCCTATCACTCGTGTCTCTACACCCAGTTCCCCATCAGGCTGCCACCTCGCTAAACCAAAATCTCCAACCTGATAGAATACAAAAGCCTGACTTAACACCAAAATGCATACGAAATAACATGTGTTGTTACAATGGACGAGGAAAGGTGATGTTTATTATATATATACCAGTGGCTCATTATCATGAGTGATGAGGATGTTGTTAGGACGCATGTCTCTGTGGACAATACATCCAACTCTGCACTCTTCGTGAAGATACCGAAGACCTCTTGCAGCTCCAACAGCAATCTTTTGCCGTGCTGGCCATTCCAGAGTTTCCCTTTGCCGACCTGGATAAACAAAACTTGATACTAAGCAAACATTCTCCACCACAAAGAAGCTCAAATGAAAATCTTATGCAGAGAAAGATTACCGTAGAGATGGGAGTCAAGTGAACCATTGCATATGTATTCATAGACCAAGAGCCGTCTGCTGTCTTCAATGCAGAAACCAATTAGCATAACGACGTTTCTGTGCTGAGCACAGCTGAGAACTTCCACTTCCGAGCAAAACTCTACATCTCCTTGAGAACTGGCTAGTTTGTGTTGCTTAACTGCAACTACTTGTCCTTCCGGTAGTACACCACGATGAACAGATCCATATCCTCCCTCAGCCAAGAAGTTAGCCTGTGAAAACCCACCTGTTGCAAGCTCTAACTCAGCGTACGAAAACAGCCTTGGCGGTTTCCCAAACACCGGCGCCTTGTGCTGGCAGATAGAACAGAGAGGAGGTGGACCAGGAGGAGCGTTCCGAGAGAGTGATATTGCATCTCTTACGTTCCCACTAAACTCCAGATCCATCCTTCGACTAGACGACAAGCCAGCTTCTACATCAAGTTTAGAGAACTTCTCAAGCAAAGCCTTTGTAGTAGAAATCTGAGCCCTATCATCATTCTTCCATAAACTGTCCTCTGCCTCCTGGGATGACTGGCGATGAGCGCCGATATATTCTGATATCCACGGCTGGAATCTCGTACTCGTCGACGCTAATGATTGGCTCTCGCTCTCAGTTTCAGAGCCGGAATCATCATTCTCCTTGATGACCAATGCTCCATCCTTCTTCATGTATCCGTTCATTCCCAATGGGAAGAAAGGTGATGTTCCCAAGTCAGAGCTAGACACTGATGAAGTCCCAGCTTCTGTGCTTGTGAACGGTGTCCCCAGCTCAGGGCTGCTAGTGGGAGTTACAGGTAGTCCTCTATCAGACTCTAACGCTCCTTTTGTGTTCTTTGCGTGTTTGTCAGCTTCTACTTCCGGTCCCGTTGGTAGAGGAGAGTTTTTCTCAGCATCCTTCCTCGGTGATCCAACCAAGTTTAACCGCAGAACTTTTGCCTGAGAACGCTTCATCACCACAATGTTGCACTGCAATTCATCCATACACCGCTTCTCTTCTTGCTTCAGGTGTCTGTAAATTAGTGATATAAAAAAAAATTAATTATTCAACCCATCATTAAGAAATGTAACACATAGAATGTTCACAAAACTAAAGGAAAGAGGATTATTACTTGTCTAGTACCACCCAGTTTGCTTGCGCTTTCTTTGACTCAGCAGCAACTGCTCCGCAGGGTGATCCAGAAACAATCTTGATCTTGACATTTATCTTCAAAACATTCACAAACAACAAGAAGAAGAAATAGCATGAGAAACATGTGATGCTTTTTTACGGAATCATCATTAGCTAAACATGCCAGCGCAGAGAGCCAACCTTGTTTGGATCATAGACATCATGAAGCTGGAGAATCATTTGGGAACAAGTGTCAGTGAGATCACTCTTAATCTCTGGTAATGCTTCAGAGTGTGATTTCCGGTGACCACTTGCACAATCCCCAGCAAACATAGGGAAACTCTTAGTGAAACCCCAAAGTTTCCGTCCTACATACACATTCACAAGAAAGTAAACGAGATGAGCAAATACTAAAAACATCATAAGACAACCACAAGTTTTGATACAAGGAGAAGAAGCTTGACAAGTACTGTACCGGAGTTGTGAGAAGGGACAACAACAATGAGCGTGATGCAATCCCCAGGCTGAACAACATGAGTCAAAGCCCAAATCAATGCCGTCTTTGGAATCTCCCTAGACGCTTTAACAGCCACAATAACCTTCTCAGCCCCATCAGATACAGGCTTCTCTTGCTTCCCTCGCTTCTGTAGTCTACTCATTGAAGATCCCAAATACCAGAATGCAAGAAAAGTTTTTCCTGACCCTCTTTTTGATTCACTTTATTGGAGAGAAAGAGAGCTCACAAGATTCTGGAAGAAGAGACCAGGGTTTGGTTTTTGCTCTGCATTATTTTAGCTGCCCCCACCAAGTTGGAATCGAGACAAGAACCAAAGACTTTCCTCCTTGATTTGTCTGTCACTCCTGTAAAGGACTTTGCAGATGAATACAAAAAAACTCACAGACCTTGACAAGACCTTCTCTCTGCGTTTCTCCCCCTTTCTTCAATGAATCAATCACATGAAACTTCAAAGAACACAGTACACAATCCCAACACCAAGAAGATTCTAATTCAACTCCAAGATCTCCCAAATCTCAAAATTTTCAAAGAATAGGAGCTAATAAAGCGACCAAATAGAGTTATACCAAGAACCTTTGTCCCCAACTTTAAGTTTATCTTCTTCCGCTTGTCAAATCAGTGAGTCAAAGCTTTCACAGCCTCTTGATTTCTGGATCTGACACCCCACAAACAGACAGAACAGAGCGAAGTCCTCTCAACAAAAGATGTCCCAACTTCGAAATTTCACCTGCAATACACAAAGAGGAAACGATATTGAAACGGAAGATTGTGTGATTGAAGAAGCAAAATGAGACGCAGAAGGAAAAAAAAAACTTAATGGAGGAAGATTAATAAAACCTCAAGAGATCCTTCGTGAAATACTGAAACAAGAAGAAACAAACAAAAAAACGTTTGATTGGAGATTTAAAAAACCGATTTCATGAGAATAAAAAGGAATTTTCCCAGCGAATTCTGCAATAAACCAATAAGAACGGTTGATAGATAGACACATACACAGACACACATAGATACATATATAAAATTATTTATCACAAACCGCCAGAGAACGAAGATTATATAATATAATTACGAAGGAAATTTCACCAGCTCACACAGCCTCTCTCATGAATTTCACCGCCATGAATAGATAGAGAGGCGATGGGGTGAGAGACTGAGACGAGACGGGGAGAGAAGAAGGCAACAAATTTAGGGAAAATGAAATTACCAGAAGCATTGATTTCGTTTCTGTCTTGAAGCTTCTTCTCCTTTCACATCAGAGCACGGCTTCCAGAGAATGCAGAAAATCCAATTGCTGCTTCAGATAGAAACAACCGCGAAAAATAAAATGTGAAACAGCTTTTTTAGGGTTTTTGGTTTTTCCTTTTTCCTCTCTCTCTACTAGTCTGTAGTCTCTCTACTTATGTTGAGTGTGTGTGGTTTGTAGTAACAACAAAATTACTATCTTTCTTCTACTGCTAATAATGAAGCTCTGCGTCTTATTTGTCCAATGTGTCTTTTCCAATGCTGCTCCTTTTTTCGTGATTTCATTAATCTTATAATAATACTATAATAGGTTATGTTTTCCCCTTTTCAAATAAATAATTGATTGTATCTAGTTTGAAACTTTGAAATGATTTCAACTAAAAGTTCTAATCTAAACACTGGTTACGATATCCAAGTGTGTAGTCAAAGAAAAATACTTTAGCTTTATCAGTTACTAATTTTAGCAAAGTGTTGCTTTTGGAGAATTTAAAATTTTGAGCTTCAAGAGAATAAATGATTACTAATCTCAAACTTAAACAAAAAACACACGCATACACTTTGGAATTTGAAACTTGGCAATTGTTTCAGACAATGTTGGTTATGATTTTCGATTACATATTCATTCAGCTGGTTAAATGATTTGTTCCTTTAATTCAATTGGTTAGAGATTAGTACTCTTTTAGTCTTTTAGTTTGGAGAGAATTGGTCCCAGTTAGTTTAGCTTTTTGGGAAGCCATTAATTCAATTGGTTAGAGATTAGTACTCTTTTAGTCTTTTAGACCTTTACAAGTCCCAATTTGAAATATGGGACTATAATCAGAAAAGTGAGAACTCAAATTTTGTGGAGAAAAGTCCACATATGATAAACCAAATTTGTTTTACTTGCAGAGAACTAGAGAATTGTTGGAGTGATTTGAAATTGATTAAATATCATAAGAAGAGGAGAGTATTGTTAAATATAAAAAATGCAATCGCTATTAGTTGGCGTGATTTGTTTATTATATATCCAATCTGCTGCTAATAACAAGAATTTGAAATTGCTTAGCTCCAAAATTGCTTGAACTGAAAGGTAACTATTTTTGTTCTTTATCCTTTTCTCCTTTATCGGTAGTTAGTAATTTAGTATATGCATAAGAAACTCTTATAGTTTGAATTTTAAATTTTGTAGCTTTGTGACAAAAAAATTTCCAAGTTGACCACCATCGTTTGTTTACCTCGGGAAAGGGAAGCGATGTCGTTTTAGGCGACAAATTTGAATCAAACCCAGTCTCTATCTATAAACGTAATTTTCTAAGCAAGTACGTAGTCACAGCCGACACCTCTTATTTAATTTTAATTTTTTTGTATCGAAAAGAAAAACTAGAATGAAGTTGATCTTAAGATACATAATTTGAATTCTAAGCAAGCCCTTGTTGCTGTAAATTGCAATATATTATTACTGTATTTAAAAAACCATACAAAACGAAACGAGGCAACATTTTTTATAAAAATGAAACGAGGAGGTTCTTCTTTTTGAAATTCACAAATTCCTCCAAAAAAGGAGTGGTTGGGCTTTGCATGAATTAAAACAAAGAGGGATAAATGGGATCGGATTATATAGAAAATATGGAAGTTAATTAAAATTCATACTAATGTCTGTGTAAGAGACAAAATTAAAAAGGAAATGGTCCAAAATGTGTAAGTATAGAACAGAGCACAATCACAGGTAGTTCAGGCTCGGTGTCATGTAGTAAACCACCGTGGGTCCGTCCAACCCCAACACCATCCCTCTAATCATTATCTCTCTAATTTCACTTTTACTCTTTTCGTAATTACAAAAAAAAATAGAATTGAATTAAATATTAAGATCATGTGGTCCTCTATAACAATTTTCCACGACGCATGATCCCACGATATCTATGAATATATAAAAAAAAAGATTTAAAATCTACTGTTCGACATGTATTTGATATGGGATCATGTTAAATACATACCCTTTGAACTCCAAATAGTTTTTGCGGACACATTCTTTCATTGTTTAGTTTGTTTTTTCTAATTTGATTAGGGTTTTTTAGAGGATTAGTTTCGCGAAGGGTTAATTATTTCACTTTCTTTAAAGGGGTCCCAGACGTCCTTTGCCGTAAAGCTCTGTCACCGTCATGGAACACATCATCAACGGCGGCCAATGCCGCCACAGCTCAATCAGTCTCCTCCTGGCTTCTGTCACACTAACCACCCACACATTAACTATAGTCTCTCTCTTTCGTTCTCTTTTTCCGTCAACAACTATAAAAAAAATTATTCATGAATTCAGAATTCTTTGAAAATATTATACTTGAGAAAAAAAAAGTCTTTACAGAAACATTTAGTGACGGTTTTTAAGCTCGGGGTAGGTGCCGGCATGAGCAATGCATGATGTTCGAAAAGATAATTAGATTAAACAATCTTATGTTAATTAATTTCTGTTTTTAAACCATCATTTATCAAACCGTCGTGATTCTTGTGACTTGTGAATAGTGAATGAATACCTGGCTAAGGTAAAGAACCAAAAAGTTATCCTTCTAGGTTTCGTTTAAATCGAAGCTTCGTTTGCATTTTGATACGGAACAAAGTCTGTTTAGCCCACTTTTCAAAGCGTCCCGTTGTCCCCTGTTCTCGAGCCCTCGACCTCATTATTAATAATTGAAAAAGGATCTGTCCTTTCTAAACCGAATTGAAAAATATGCATTTCTTTAAAATATACAATTTCTTAGCAACTAGAATGCCACTGTAAACTTCGTACAACAACAAGTCATCCTTTGTTTGGAAAAATTGGATAGAAAAGTTTTCTATTGACCATTGCATAATTAATACACAAACACGATATCACAACGTTGACATAATAATAATTCGTATAGATTATGAGCTAAAGCTAACAAGAAATTTCTTAATAGACCATTAACAAGTTGAATTGTATGTTCGCAAGCCAGAGAAACACTCAAGCAAAGTGGGTTCTGTAAATGTTATGGAGTAACTTCCAAGTATGTGTTTCATAATAACACTCAACTCAACAATGAATTGTCTATTCCGTCATTAATAATGGTTTTTTTGTTTGTTTTCTTTCCGAGGTTGCGTATTAATGTAGCTAATGGGTTCTTCAATTCCGAGGGAAAAAAATTGCATTAAATCTCTCCCGAACGGTAACATACATTTATCATTTTGAGTAAAATCATAGATAAATCATAAATGTAAGTGTAATTGAATAATGTACCAGGTACTTCCACAATAAATTTCCCGGTCGTTATAAACTAAGGGCAACGAAACTAAATCTAGGTAACAGAAAAAAACTACTCAACTTATATATAAAAAAAAGTAAAATATGAAACAACAAATATTTTCACAATGGTTCAATCCACGTCGCGATAAGCCGATAAATATATACACCCACACACGTTATTCGTTAACGTGGCTATATATGTATAGATCATGATGTAAAACTACTGTCCGAACAATGAAAATGGGGGTCCACTACATGCCATTTTCGAGCTTCTACTTGCTGCAGCTATAATTTTCTTACCCCATGCAAGTCCAAAGTGTACACCTTAGCATCAAAAAGGTATCTAACTTCAACCATCATGACAATTATACTTTTAACTTCCGCACATTATAATAATTACACTTTATACAGGTGCCTGCATAGACACACCTGGACATATATGTAGAAAGTAGAAATAGTCCAATCATCATGTATATGATCTATGTCATTGTATGCTCATGAACACGCATTATAAGAAATTTGGTAATTCGACAAATTTAATATAGACTTTAGTCTTATTACTTTGTGTACGTTATATCAAAACATAGAAAGAGATTCACCGTATACACGGATAAGGTTTAAGATATTTATGTCTGAGTGATCCCAGAATTTGGATCACAAAAATAAATGACATGTGAGTGGAGAGATGTGGAAAGGCCATGTGACTTGTGTGAGAGATATATGTATGATATGAATCGGGGCGATATGTCAATTTCGTTTTTTTCACAATGTGATGAAGAGAAGAGACAATGACCCTACACTATTTAATTTACATGTTCTCTTTATCTTCAACATTGTGCTACATCACTTTGTTGTATGGGCCGCTTTGGTTATGTCAATATTGACATGTAACTATACATCTTCATCCTCAAATTCCTTTTCTTATCTCTCTCTAATTCTCTATACACATCATTCCACAATCTGTAACACAAGTCACGTGTATATATATCACTTAATAGGCCCAATGGGCCTAAATATTTTATACTGTTAGGCCATAACCGTTCTCATTTTTCCCCGCAAGCACGCCGACGCGGGATCGAATAGCGACTGAGGATCGGAGAAAGCGAGCTCAAGAATCCCCTTCCGTTCTGAAAGATTTTCCGATCAATTTTGCTGCTATGAACTAATCGGAGATAGACGAGACTCGATTGCTGCTGCGTTTGTTGATTTTGAACTCGGGGTGTGAAACGATGATGTGATTAGGGTTAATGTTATTCTAGGAAAGTGAAGCGGAGTTGATTTTGGTGAAGAATTGGCCGGAAATGGAGAATCCGTCGTCGGATGGAACGGCTCCAAGGAGGACGTTGAGGAGAAAAGCGAGCCGGAAAAACTACGACGAGAATGCGATGGATGAATTGATCGAGGAGCATTTAGGCGGAAGTTTGAAGAAAAAGTTCAGGACGAAGCAACAACTGGAGAAAGAAACCGAGACGGAGGCTCTGATAGCCTTATCCGTCGGCTTCCCAATCGACGAATTGCTCGAGGAGGAGATCCAAGCCGGCGTGGTGAGAGAATTGGGCGGGAAAGAGCAGAACGATTACATCGTAGTTCGAAACCACATAGTCGCTAGGTGGAGGAGCAATGTTCGTCTATGGCTGCTCAAAGATCAGATCAGAGAAACAGTGAGTAGCGACTGTGAGCATTTGATTTCAGCTGCTTACGATTTCCTCTCCGTTAACGGATACATCAATTTCGGTGTCTCTCCATTGTTTGCGCCTTATATTCCTGAAGATGGCACTGAAGGATCAATCATAGTTGTTGGTGCTGGGCTTGCTGGTTTAGCTGCCGCGAGACAACTCGTTTCATTTGGATTCAAGGTTCTTGTTTTAGAAGCTAGGAGTCGTCCCGGTGGAAGAGTCTACACGCATAAGATGGGAGGTAAGGATAGATTTGCAGCCGTTGAGCTCGGTGGCAGTGTAATCACGGGTCTCCATGCGAACCCGCTTGGAGTTCTTGCGAGACAGCTTTCGATTCCTCTCCACAAGGTTAGAGACAACTGTCCTCTGTATAACACCGATGGAGGGGTTGTTGATAAGGTGGCTGACTCCAATGTGGAGTTTGGGTTTAACAAACTGCTGGATAAGGTGACTGAAGTGAGGGAGATGATGGACGGTGCAGCTAGTAAGATCTCTTTGGGTGAAGTGTTAGAGACTCTCAGGGTGCTTTACGGTGTAGCTAAAGCTCCAGAGGAGAGGAAGCTTTTTGACTGGCATCTTGCTAACTTGGAATATGCAAACGCTGGGTGTCTTTCGAATCTTTCAGCTGCGTACTGGGATCAGGATGATCCATACGAGATGGGTGGGGATCATTGTTTTCTCGCCGGTGGAAACTGGAGACTGATCAATGCGTTAGCTGAAGGGTTACCTATTCTGTATGGGAAGAAAGTTGACAGTATCAAGTATGGAGACGGAGGAGTTGAAGTTGTTTCCGGTGGCCAGATATTTCAAGCTGATATGATACTTTGCACGGTGCCGCTTGGGGTGTTGAAGAAGAGATGTATCAGGTTTGAGCCAGAGTTGCCTAGAAGAAAGCAAGCAGCGATTGAGAGGTTGGGGTTTGGGCTTCTGAACAAAGTGGCGATGCTTTTCCCGTCTGTGTTTTGGGGTGACGATTTGGACACGTTTGGTTGCCTCAGCGATAGCAGCATCGACCGAGGAGAGTTTTTTCTGTTCTACGCATACCATACAGTCTCTGGTGGCCCTGCCTTGGTTGCCTTAGTTGCTGGAGAAGCTGCTCAAAGATTTGAGTGCACTGAACCATCTGCTTTACTTCACCGTGTCTTGAAAAAACTCAAAGGTAATATATATGACAATGTCAAACAATCCACCTTGCAAATTCTCAGCTATAACAATGTTTCTTGACTGACATTTTGGCAGGCATATACGGTCCTAAAGGTGTTGTGGTGCCAGACCCAATACAGACGATATGCACTCGATGGGGAAGTGATCCTTTGTCGTATGGGTCGTATTCTCATGTAAGGGTTGGATCATCTGGCTTGGACTACGACATTCTTGGTGAAAGTGTGAGTAACAGACTATTCTTTGCCGGCGAGGCCACGACAAGGCAACATCCAGCCACGATGCACGGTGCCTACTTGAGCGGTCTAAGAGAAGCGGCGCGGATTCTACAGGTCGCAAATGTTTTTAACAGCAATACGAAGAAACCTGTCCAACGGTACAGTGGAGTTAACATGGATGTTCTTGAAGATCTGTTCAAAAGGCCTGACATTGCAGCTGGGAAGCTGTCGTTTGTCTTCAACTCAGTAACCGAGGATCTGAAATTAATTGGATTGGGGAGAGTTTGTTTTGACGATCCAGCCAACCATCTTCAGCTTTACACTATTGTTTCGTGGGAGCAAGCTCAGAAGCTTCAAGAGTTGGGAGAAAGCAAAATGGAGTATCTGATCAATGGTCTTGGATTGAAGCTTATGGGTGCCAACTCAGTACTAGACGTAGGTGGTTCGTTGATCAGTAGCATAGCTAACGCACGCAAAGGCAGAAGCAGGACCCGTGTCGTTACAAAGCAATAATTTAACCACATGACTGTTTCAGTTTGCTTTGCCGTTTTCTTTTTTTCATACTGTCATTTTTTGGGTATTTTTTGTTCTTTCTTCTCAGGTTTATACAAACAATGAAATAGAAAATCAATGATCCAAGCATAAAACATGTTGCTCTTCTTTGTTTGACTATGTTATCGAACTTTGGTTGAACCTTTGATATCTCGAGACAATGACGTTTTTAAGACATAATATTTTATTGCAATGTTTTTTTTTCCTTTTTTGTTGATGTTGATAATATTGAAACTACATATATGTAAAAGATTAAAAGACATTTGTTAAAATAATTTTGAAAATCATTTTAGAGAAGGCATATTTGATTAAAAAACAAGGTAATTCATAGTCTGGCTTATAAATCACCATGTATTGGTAACTTAATATTAATTCTCATTGTTGTGTGTGTTCCCATGTTTGAAAATGTTTGATTTTGTTACGGTTTCAGCTTTCATAACTCAATTATTCTTTAGAACATCATACCACTTCTTTATGTCCATGATGTGTTTTTTTTTGTCTGATTAGATTGATTCATTCATGAATTTTGATGTAGCCTTCTATTCATAGTTTATGTTTGATGCACCAAGAGTTCAGATTGGAACTAAATTTTCCAGGCTTTTTACCCTTTGAGATGTATCTAAGATAAAACACATTCTTTTCTGAACCACCAGATGTTTTCTTCTATTATCACTACAAGAAATCGTGTGAGTTGTATCATTTATTTTTATTGTTTACATCATTTCTTGATTGATGTAAATGAATTTGCATCACTTATATAAGTGATTCTGAGAGTAGCGACTCTAATAGTTTGCGTCACTTCTTAAAGATTGATGCAACTATTTTCATCATTTAATATAAGTGACACATTTTGTTAAATTAACCTTTATTATTATATTACCTTGATTGTTGATATATGCAGCTTTGGCAAGTGTCAAATAATTCACTGGAGGCGCCAACACAAGTACGAATGTGTTCTGAAGACCTCTTAGGGTTAATCTTTGTGTGGTTCTCAGACAGTTTAATTTTTGAGTGGCACATCTTTGGACTTCCCGATCCCTCTCTTGGAGATGTTGTCGGAATTCTTGACAAAAGTCAGACTGGGAAATCTAAGGTCTTCGACTTGTTGGCAGGGAATATTAAACCGATTCTTGACATGTATGTTTAAATTCATACTTTCATACTAACACACATTTCTATCCGGACATGTATGTATTTGTCGCATATCATGATGATGAGCTCATTGACAACTTGTCCGAAAAAAGATTACCAGGGCATCCGAATTAATTTGGGCACATTAAGAAAGGTAAAATCTCTGGTCTAACTTGACACCGATAAATTCGCTCTTAGCATTTAGCCAACCTCGTTGAAGGTAAATTAATAATTTTTAATTGATGTTCTTTTGGATTTTCTAACTAGTAACTAATGAATCTAAATCAATTTATTGATAAATGCTGACTTCAGAAAGGATAATACTTAATTCAAATAGTGCGCAAATAGTGTACACATTAAGTGTAGATAAAATGAAAGTATATTTAGTTTTTAGCTTATGCAAATAAATTATGTTTTAAAAAATATACAAAATAGGGAAAGATAGTTTTGTCTTCTAAATTTTGGAGTTTAAGAACAGTTAATATACTTTGCCTTTAGAAATAAAGAAAAACACTTTATGCCTAATGGAGATTTGCAAAGCTTTAGGATTGGAGGATTCAGTCTTAGGACAGTTTACAACTGAATTGGAAGATGGAGATCTCCAGTTGATCACAATTGCAACTACTGCTATGAAGAAATCTCATGTGTACATATTTGACGAGCCTTCAACCTATCTCACGGTGAAGCAAAAGATGGGAGCTGCCAAAGTCATCAGGAGCCTTGTCAAATCGGAAAGGTAATATTTAATGTGATTGATATGGTATTTAATGTGGTTGATATGACACTAATGTAGGACTGATTGATATAAGTTACTATTTAATGTGATTGATATGGTAGTTAATGTGATTATATGACACTAATGTAGGACTGATTGATAAGCGTCATATTAGGTTATAATAGTTTCATAGTAACACATTTTTGCACATGTATGTTTTTGTGGTAGATGAGGATCCTGATCTCATTATGATAGAGAGGTGAAAGCTAGATAACGAAGTTACACTAAATTTGTGTATAATCGGATTTGAAATAAACGTAAAAGATCTACGTTTAGATTGATAGGTTGGGAATACTCTTCCCCGTGCTATGAAAGCTTGATAGAGGTTGGGAATACTCTTCCATGTGCTATGAAAAGCTCGTTTAGCTACAAAAGCTTAAGATTTATTCAATATCAAAGTTATGTTTACAAAGGTATAAAACATCCTATTTATACAATCGTAAGAAGATCTAAATCGTATCTTTCATCCTAATCTATAAGAAGTGCAGTTATCCTTAAATAAAAGAAATCTATCAACTAAATCTAAACATATACTTGCTTGACAAACATGTAAAACCCAATTGACGTGTTTATCGTTAAAAGCCCAAATGCATAGTAATCATCTATGCTAATCTGCTATTTGTTTTTGTTTTTGCTTTTCAGATGAGGATTTTTCGGACTCGCTCTTTGACGCGCAGATGCTTTTCCTCAGTTTCTCTTTTCCTCAAGAATATACTGGATTTTTTTGCTTTGCATTGTTTAGCTTCGTAATCAACCAAAGACTCTCTCCTTGATGAATACAAAAACTCACGGACTTGACAAGACCTTGTCTCTCTCCGGTTTCCCACTTCTTCAATGAAAAACATAGAACTTTAAAGAACACAGTACAAAATCTCCCAAGAACAACAAAAGGTTCCTCCAATATTCCGAGAGTAGGGGATCTATAGGAACTGTTTCTGGTAAAGAAAAAGCGACCAACAATATGCATATCCTATCTCATAATCCAATCCAATCCAATCTCTTCAGAGACCCTTTTCCCAGTCAAAGCTTTTACAGCCTCATAAGCTGTCCCAACTTCCAAAATTGCATAAAAAAGAGGACAATACAGTTGAAATATAAGTGTGGCGTGATTTAGTTGTTTATATCCAAGATATTGACATGGAATCTGTAGGACTGTTGCTAATAACATGAATTTGAACTGAAAGACGGCCATTTTTGTTTTTTTTTATCCTTGTCTCCCTTATCAGTAGTTAGTAAGTACACATATAACTCGTTAGTTCGAATTAGTAAGTACATATAGAACGATCTTTAGCTTTGTGGCTAAATATCTCCAAGCCATCGTCCGTCTCATCGGTAATTAGCGACATACTTTGAGGAAAGTGTAAGATCATCCAAGAGACAACAGCTGCAAGAAAAGTTACTGCAAGTAATGCATATACTCTTAACTTGTGACTATTATATTTGTGTTTTGTCGCAATCATGCGTGGCCCGGAAACATTCAGAGATTTGCATTGTTGTAAAAAAAGCAGATACCTATCCAACACTCATTTTCTTATTGCCTTATCCAGCTTGTTCAACCAACTTTCCAAGTCTTGCTTGGACATTTGAGATCTGGAGCACTTGAAAACTTCAAGGATGCTTTTGACAAGGCCTTGAATGCTGGAGAAGGGTTTTCATCCTCTGAGGACTCCTGCGCTCAGTCATGAGCAAGTTTTTCAACATCCCTGTTTCCACTTTCTCACCTGCTATTCATTTGATTTCAACTATAATCTCTCTGAAAATGGCAATGTTTCATCTGTGATCAAACAACAGCTACCTGGACTTCTTTCCTTGTCAACCAAACTCCTTCCAACGGTCATGAACCTCCTTAGAAAGCTGGCGGAAGAAGGACAAACGCCATCCAAAAACAGCAGCCAGACTTCGATGCACTCCTCAGCTCAGTCTGAGGTTACAACTAATGGAGAAAGCAGCAGCTCTGGTTCGTCTCCAGCCAAAAACGTTCCCATTGATACGAGTGCATAGAACGAAGAACTAGACAAGCTGAAGCTGTTGTGCTAGCCCCACGAACCTAGAAACTCAAATTTCGTTACCCTTTCAAAGAGGGTAGCTCTCATTTTTGGTAGAGGACGGTTGCGTAGGCTTCACGTTTTGGTCGTTCCGTCTCTGCTTCTATCTTCGTTAGGTCATACACTTTGTCTATACCTGTTTTATTTATTTATTATTACTAATGCAAAAAGTTAGACGACAAATCATCATGTTTAATAAAACATATGTAACTTTTTGTGATCAGAATATATGTATCATAATTCTAGACTTCATATTGATCAAGCTTTGAATACAAGTACTCTTAGTTGAACAAAAACATATACATAGGAGCTTGATATGTTTAGAATATAGATAACCACATGTATATGCTATCATGATTCATGCACTTATTAATTATGATATTGTTTTCTTAAACCACAACTCATCTAGCTAACTAACTTGATCTACCACAACCAATACGAATGCTTAATTATTTGTTGTTACTTAATTTTCCTAATTAGACTTTTCTCTGTGAATCTTGTCTTGAAGCTAGCTTGTATAACAATTTCCATTTGGTGGCTAGCAAAAGGACATACCTAAAACACAACCACTAACATATCATATCAAAGCCACGACAATCTCTATTAAGAAAAGTAACCGAACATATCGACTTGTTTTATTTTACACAACAAAGTTGGTATCTTTCACATCAATTTCGCTGTAACAAGTCCTTTTCTTATGTTGCGACGTCTTAGTCATTTTATACGAGACTTTTCTATCTCACATATGATGACGCTTTCGCACAAAAGTTAATTCGATCTCAAGTTCAATTCGACTTATATTTATTGTTTAGTGTTTTCAACTTGGAAAAATCCTAACCAATAATTTTAAGGATTAGTTAAGACAATTTGGTAATGATTCATTTAAAAGAAAAGCAAATATGGTTTTTGGTTTCATGTTAATTTTTTTTTTTGTTTTTCTTTTGTTCATGTTGATATCTATAAATGGGAATTCGGTTTAGTTTTGTGTGGTTTGTTAAGTTTAGTTCCATACTAAATTAGAATTATTGACCAAAAAATGATTTGTTATGAAAATAATTTTACCTTGTGGTGCTCACAAAGGAAGAGCAAGATTGCAAGAACCGATTGGTAGACTAAGCTTCTGCTGTAACCTATCACCTCAGGCCGATACAACCACCAATCTCCCTCTCTCTTCTCCAAATCACCACACCGGAAAATCTCAATCATCGGCTGACATTTACTCCAAAACAACTCTTTGCTCTTCCAACTCCAATCCCTCCTCCCTTTCTTGGCTGCCAAGTTAACTGCGACTAAGTTCACTTGCAACCTTAAAACCTCTCTTCTCCACCCTTCTTCAGGGTAGTTACAAGGCAGCTTCACAACTATCAAATCCAACTTCTCTAAGCTTTCGAAATCCGGCATCGGTATCTCAGGGCATGTGGGAACCTCAGTATCCTCCTCTTCGTATATCCATTCGGGGAACAAGTCATGCCATGTGAAGAGCTTAGAGACACGGTCAAAATGTATATGAACCATTTCACCGTAACGTTTCCATTGAGTAAGATCACATTCTTCCATGTTCACCATCCCTATCTTTGTTTTCCCTAACCCTCTTGTTAAAACCTCTTCCATGAAGCTTGGTGCCTCAAGCTCGGTCCGATTACTAGCGGTTTCCGAATGTCTCTTGTTTATTTGGTTCTCTACAATGAGTTCTTGCATCTTCCCTCCTCTCCCCCCCTATAGCTCCAAAGATTATCAAATAGCAATAGAAAGATACCTATTAGTCTGAGTTTCGATTCAAGATTGATCCTAGTTATAAAAATAAACAAAAACCTCACCTTACCTTGACAGTGCAATCACGAAAGGAGCATCCAACAAAGGAAGCTGCGCTGCTAAAGTAGACTGATGAAGAAGGGTGAAGAAAAAAGGCAGTGTAGAGAAAAAAATAAAGAGCGAACAAGATTAGATTGAAGCGTATCATTGCGGATTTGGATGGAGCCATCTTCATTATCATCATCACCGCCCTCCCGTTTCTCAGTGGTAGACATTTCTCTTTCATCTTTTATGCTAATCAATGGTTTCAAGGGAATTGTTCGTAGGATGATGATTCTATATATTTATATATTTACGGAGCACGAAAGTAGTTAGGGAAGAGAAAATAATACTATGTAGAGGTAATTAAGTTGTTTGAGTAAAATAATATAAACGCAATAAACGTCTAGAAGAGTTTCATTGGACGTGTCAAGGGATTTTCTTTACTCAAACACAAGCCTGATGGATTTACGAAAATATTAAGAAAGATGTGGCCAACGATTTTGGGTGGTTTGGTCTACAAATGATGAAGTATGTGTGAAATACGTATGACTGAAGTTACGTATTAATTTTGTTTTCACCTCCACATGTGGGGACCAAAATTACAACGCAATGGAAAACCAACAACATTTTTTATTAGAACATTAGTAGGATATTAATTATGATTTCCACGGTTTGATGAGCAGACAATGAAAAAAAAAAGATGAAATAGTGTATAACAGCAAAGGACATATACACAAGATCATATAATAACTCTAGTACAAAAATTAGTTGGTGGTGTTGTGAATTTTTTTGGAAAATTAGTACAAAAGATCATATATCAAATAGCAATAGAAAGATACCTATTAGTCTGAGTTTCGATTCAAGATTGGTCCTATTCCTAGTTATAAAAATAAACAAAAAACTCACCTTACCTTGGCAGTGCAATCACGAAAGGAGCAGTGATTGGTTTCTCCGTGTTAATATAATCTTAGACGACCAAAAAAGAATAACCCAAAGAAACTTGTTTTTATTTCCAAGAGGGAGGAATTCACCGACTTCTCATTTTTTCTGTTGATTAGAGGAGGGATTCACCGAAGGCATTAGTTCCTCTTGGAGATGCCAAAGTGTTCTTGTATGTTCCTCGGAGAAGACGAGAGCAAATGTAAACTATCTCATGTTATTTTTACAACTTCCCTCTTATATTAGAGGTTTGCGTCCGGTTTACCACACACGGTTATATCCGGTTTACAACATTTAATCTCTATACTCTAATAACTTTTGGGCTCGAAGATTCATGGTGAATCGTTGACCGCGACGCTCTCTGCGTAATTCTAGCTCTGTCCCGAACTCTATCTCGCTGTGGTGGAAACGATCGAACTCGTCCTCCTCTTCTCCGGAGCATTTCGTCTATAGTTGGTTTCTGATCGGGCTAGATTTTTGAGGTAATCATAGTAGATTTTGGGAATTTGGTGATTCAGGTAGCCGATTTAGGTTTGTTTTTTCTTAATTGCTGATTGATTCATTGTAATGCCTTCCTTTTTGTGTTTGCGTCTCTTTGTGCTGAAACTCTTTCATTTTGTTTCCATTTTGCGTCTCTTTGTCCATATTTTCCGTGCGGAACGATCGTTAATGTCAGCAATATCTCTTTATATGTTTCCCCTGATTTCATCCACAAACAATCCACTGTTAATTAGACTAATCAGTATGAATGATGCATGAAGCTTGCTCTGGTTTAGATAGTAATCATGGGTTTCAATGGAAGAGTAGCTTAGGCTGGCTTAGGCTGGTTATACATTTTCTCTTCCTACATTTAGGAGCTTAGGTTGGCTAAGTCCTCATTTATTGGTAACATAATATTATATTCTCATTGTTGTGTGTTCCAATGTTGGAAGATGTTTGATTTTCTTTACGGTTTCAGTTTCCATGTCTCAGTTATACTTTTTGGCTCACCTTGTTTAGGTTGAACAGTTTGAAGCTGCAATGACTATCAGAGGAGGTGACAGAGAGGGAGTTTCAAATAAGTAGCAGTGTATAAAGTCACATCTCGCAAATACACCAAGTACAGGTTAGTTGTTTGTACTCTGTGATATATCTACACGTCATGATTCTGAGTTCTCATGCTTTTTGATAATATATTCAGCATTCAGTGGGGAAGCTGCAAGCTTGGAGAGTCCTTCCCGTGATCGTTTAGTGAGAATTGAGCGTCTTGTGGAAGTGCATCTAAAAGATGGATCGGTGTATAGTGGTATTATTCATGCTGTAGAGGAACACCATGGTGAGTCTCTGAATCATATTTTTTTATATTTTCCTCAGAGAAGTAAAGCGTGGAAAGACACTACTAAATTTCTTGCCATTTATAAACTTCTTGAAACTTGCAGGAATCATTCTAAAGATGGCATCCTTGATTGAAGATGGTACTTTAAAAGGGCATCAATCCCGTTATGAGGCTGTCAAAAAGCCACCTCCCACTACATTCCTTATTCCGGCAGATGAAGTTGTGCAAGTTGTAGTAGCTAAGGTGTGCTTCTTTTTATTAACTACGGGAAACTTTTTTTTCTTTTTCTGTTTATGTTTATGTCAATGTATTTTGAGATTTGACATTGTCTTTCTTTTTACCATTGATTTTGGGTGCTAGGATCTCTCTGTATCCAGTGACGGCATGTTAAATGCGGTTCAGGGTGAGAAGCAAGGGGAGCTTCTGACATACTCTTCTATATCGCAGTCTTGTCTTGTTGATCAGAGAAGAGAGCTAAAACCCGCCGATGAGGATGTTCCAGAGAATTTGGTGAATGTGTTTGATAACCCTGGGAACAGGTATATTTTACATATTTGAATTTCTTGTCAAATTGATTTATCGGATGTTTGATATACATATTTGTTAGCTAGGACCACGGTTTCTTGGCTGGACATCTTAGACAAGAGAATGGAAGATTATTTTTGTGCTTGCACTATAGATTATGATTATGATTTTTCTATTTGAAAGCTATTATATTCCCTCTCTTTTCCCATCATTTTCTCTCTTATGAGCCATCATCTTTGTGTAGTCCTCTAGCTTGTTTTTGTGCTTGCACTATAGATTATGATTATGATTTTTCTATTTGAAAGCTATTCCCTCACTGTTCCCATAACTTTCTCTCTTATGAGCCATCTTTGTGTAGTCCTCTAGCTTTTCTTTCCGCTATTTACTGGTGATATGCTCAGCAGGGGATGGGATCAGTTTTGGGTGAATGAGTCCCTGTTTGGAGTCAGAAACCATAGAAAGAGGGAGGAGAATCCAATCCTTCTAAAAGAAGGTCGAATGTTAGAAAACTGCAGCAAGAGAATGATGAAGACAATTTCCGATTTTCCAGGGGATTTGGTAGAGGAGGGGATATTCTCCAGGGCTCCATTGACTTGCTTGAGATCGGTGCGATCTACTTGCAAAAAGTGGAACGCTTTATCTAAAAATCTGGTTTTGGGTAAAGCAGCGGCGAGGAAGCAGTTTACGGGATTCATGATTATGGATCACAGGGTTTGTTGGATGGAGTTCGATCTCGGAAACATGGTTGGTCCATGTATAAAGCAAGTACGCATGCTAGATCAAATCGGGATATCTAACGTCATCGACTGCGAAGGCTTACTGCTATGCGTCATCGAGGACCGGTCGAGGCTCTTGGTGTGGAATCCCTATCTGGGTCAAACCCGATGGATCAAACCCAGGACAGAGTTCAAGGAGTTGGACGTGTATGCCCTCGGATACGACAAGCACGGCAACAACAAAATCTTGAGCTTTTCGGAGCAACGAAGCGGTAAAAAATTCGTCTTGGAGATGGAGATATACGATTCTAGCTCTGATTCGTGGAAGGTTCTTGACGTGACTCCGGACTGGGAATTAGGGCCTCGTCAACGCTTCGTGTCTTTGAAGGGAAATGTTTATTTTCCTGCAAAGAAAGCAACGGTTTCTGCTCAAGAGGGTCGAAAGGAAGAGTTTTTCTTGCTCTGTTTTGATTGTACAACGGAGAGATTTAGTCGGCGTCTGCCTCTGCCGTTTCACTGGGAAGGTGAAGGGATTTTCGTGTCTCTGTCTTGCGTTCGACAAGAGCAGCTCGCTCTTTTGTACCAACGCTGGGACTGGTTCACATCTGATTCCATCGAGTTTTACCTTACCACGAAGGTCGATCCCAATGCCGTATCTTGGACAAAGTTTCTCATCACCTTGAATGCTTTTCCGGTTCACCCTTATGCTGGTAGTTTCTTCATTGACGAGGAGAAGAAACTTGCTGTGGTTTTCGATTTAGAAGCATCTGGTTCTCAGCTTGAAGCTCGCTACCAATGCGCTCACATCATTGGAGAAGATGGTTACTTGACATCTGTTAACATCGGGGATGCTCCTAATCCCAGGGCGGTTGGCCAAGTTTCATATTTTATCAGGGGTTATTGTCTCCCACTCGTCTGCTCTCCTTGCGTTCCAAGCTTAGTGCAACTCCAGATCAACCAACAGAGCAACTGCAAACAATCTAGCTGAAACTGTAAGTGAGGCCACGACAAGGCAACATCCAGCAACAATGCGCGGTGCCTACTTGAACGGTTTAAGACAAGCGCCGCGAATCCTAAAAGGATTAATCATATATCCCACAAGGATTTGCCTGTTTTTTCTCTTTTTTTTTTCTGGCCTTGTGTATGTTAGGTTTGGTCATTTAGTTCATTATTATTGGTAGAGAGTAGAGACCCTTTGAGACTAGGGATTCGAGAATAATGGTATCAAATGCTTTTATATAAGATATCTTAGGAAGTTGAATAAATCGATTGATGTTCCATTTTTGTGGTAAGAATACAATTGAGAGTTCCAGAATGTGGCTCTACTTACAATCATGTGAATGCATTAATTTGATATCTATATCAATAGACCGTTTCATGTCTTGTTCTTTGAGTTTCAATAGTGTTTCTTTAGTTGTCAGTGTCCGAAACTACAGCTAACCACATCTTTCATTTCATCATCTGTTAAGGGTCTACAGAATTGGCGTGAGTTGGAAGAAGCTGTACAAAGTCGGGAAAAGCTTCAGCGTGATATTGAAGCCCATATCTCTTCTGTCCGTACTGCAAAGTTGTCCGAACTGACTACTCTGCATCAGGTAAATAAAATTCTCAAGCGGAAGCCATACATATATTTGGCTGGATAATCCTCGATGGAGCTAATGATGAAACGTGGCCAGCAATATATAAGAAAGCTACTAAGACGGGAAGGAGAATTGGCTGTCTATGGTCTCTCGGACGCATCTACGGAATAAGATGCTCGCTGACCTTGAGAACTATGCACGAGGTATTGCTGAAACGAAGGCAGAGGAAGAGGCTGGAAAGGTATTGTTGATGCGCAGGAAGGATAGGTGACGCCATTTTACTAGTCTTTCATAATTTCTTTATCCAATAACTTCCATCTTTTAAACAGCTTTTTGGTTAAAATAAACTTCTATCCAGATTTGCTACGATCTTCAGCCACGATTCTGATTAAATGCCACGTGTTTGGACTGGAAAGGAGGACATCAGAGCAATCACCAAATTGGCTCGTTCTGCAGTATGAATCTAAACCCTAATATAGCAATATTACAACACCTACTCGTTGACTCGATTGCAAACTTCTTGAGATTTTGATGTTATCCTCGTGTTCTCTTTTTCTAGTCCTTGAAGCTGCTTTCTGTTATGGCTGTTATCCGCTTGGATGATGAGCTCGACAATATTGAGAAGACACTGACTCTAGCTCTGTTTAATTCTACTGGCAACAATGCTACTAGCAAGAGCAAAAACCTCGCTCACTGTATTTAATGAAAAGACAAAAAATGTCTCATATTCATTGCTCACGTTTTTTGAGATAAAAAAAGATCCTTACTCTTACCTCCGTATTATCAGGTTGCAGCAGAAAAGACGTTGATCACGCCTGTACAGTGTAAATCAGTGTGGCGGCAATTCAAGAACGAGACAGAATATAGCGTTACACAAGTCATTTCTGGCACAGGTATTCTTTGCCTTCCCTACTATCAGACATATGTTCGTGTTTGCTCATTCACACAAGCTGATGTTTAACTCTGGCAGTGCTATAAAACATTTTAAAGTATATGTTTTGTGGTCATGCCGTTTCTAGCTTCTTATCTCCTTTCCCATTTGGTGGTTCGTAAGCTAACAGACTGCAAAACTTTAGAGGTTTAAATCTGAATAAAAGTCACATTGAATTTCAGGAAGCTAACCGACGGAATAACAACTGGTTGGCAATGCTTGCCCTGGTTGTTCTTGGGTTCAATGAATTTATGACTCTCTTAAGGTGCGCTTGCCCTTGATTTCACTCAGCTTTTTCTTATAAATAAGATTCTCTACTTACCTGGCTTTTCTTGCCTGCATCTCTTGTGGCAGAAATCCTCTATGGCTCGGTGTTCTTTTCGTCGGATATCTTGTTTCCAAAGCCTCCTTGTGTATTTGACCTATATCCTTCTGTATTTCTTGATCCTCTTTTTATTTTCTCTTTGTAACACGATCCTCAAGAGGAATTGTTCTTTCTTGGAGGATATAGGCTCACAAGATTGTTTGGTTTTTGCTTAGCATTATTTAACTGCCCCCACCAAGTTGAAGAACCGAAGACTCTTTCTCATTGATTAGTCAGTCCAGTAAGGACTTGCAGACGAATGCAAAGACTCACAGACTTGACAAGAACTTCTCTCTGCGTTATCCACACTTTCTCCAATGAATTACATAAATTTTGAAGAACACATAACCCTGAACTACCCTCACAGAGTTCAGGAAGATCCAGCACTCGTATGTAAAAGTTGAACTCTCAATTCTCAAACAAGAATAGACCAAAAAGATTGGAGTAGAGTGAAGTAATTATTTTCCTTTATTTCCTCATGTGATTAGTATAAAAATAGAGTAAAATACTTTTCACTCTCTTAATTTCAGGCCAATTCAACCAAAACATTCACACCCTATAATGTATCAAATAGTTTTGTAAACCTTTTGCTCTCATTTGGACGACATTGATACCAAGTTGGTCTAGTAAAATGCTATGGTAGAGCGATAATCATCCAAAAATGCATAGATGATAGTCAGAATATGGTCTAGTAAAAAGAATCTCACAAATTGTTATTTACTCTTATCACTATTTATTTTCAGAGCTTTTTATTTCAATAAAACAGAGAAGAACGTTGCATCCATTTTCCTGCGACTTTCTTCCAATTGTTGGGATTTGGTGGGCTATTTCAAGTTGCATTGGTAGATGGCGTTTTGAGCTCTAAATCCTACAAATTAATTCATGTGTAACAGAAAAGGTGGTGATTTTGAAAAACAGAACAAAAAGTGCAAAAAAAGGGTAACAAATCAAATGTAGATTAGGGTACAAATCAAATTGTTGGAGATAGCAGATTGGGTAAGACTACTGCTTTGAACATTCTGGCTGGTCAACTGAAGCCAAATCTTTGTGAATCCAAGGTAACAACTTTTGCTCTAAACGATTAGGGGGTTCAAAAGCAGAATCTTTGTGAAATCCAAGCCAATTTAACTCATATCATTATTTTTTTAATTTTGAACAGAATCCTCCTGGATGGGATGAAATATTGAGCAGATTAGGGGGTTCAAAAGAGTACTTGCTGGGGATTAAAGAGGATAAACTAAAAGCTGTTATAAAGAAGCAAACCCTGGATACTATAAAGGATCCATGGAAACCTTGTATGAGGGCAATCATCTCTAATCACAACATAGAAAATCCATATCGAGTTATGGATATTTGTGAGGAACTGGGAATATCCTTGGAAGTCCTAAGCTCTAAAGCGAAAGACTTGACTGATGGCGATCTTCAACTTGTCATGATAGCTGAAACAGCGTTGAAGGAGGCAGATTCGTATCTCTTCGATGAGCCCTCAAATTAACTAAACATGAAGGAAAAGAAACGAGTTACAAACGTGATCCATTCTCTCCAAGGCCCGAACAGGTTTGGCAATGAACTTTCTCTGCACTATTATAGATAGTATTACTTTTACTGATACGAGCCAACTCTTTACCTAGCCCGTGTTTGTTGCTCCTTGGTAAGCTATGATGAACATAGAAGAGTAAAAGCTTCCCTTAGCCCTAAGCTCTCTTTGAGATTAAGCTTCCCTTAACCCTAATCCATACCATACAGTCTCAGGTGGCCCTGCCTTGGTTGCCTTAGTTGTTGGAACTCAATTTTGATAATATATTATGTCAAAAATGAAGTTGATTTGAATGAGAAATGAAGGTCCAAGTGGGTTGCTTGTATAGCACAAAATGTAACATTTATGAAATGTCCCACATTGGAAGTTTGAGGTGAAATCCTCTTGTATATAAAGTGGATAATCTAATACAAAGTTTAAAAACTTGTGTACACTTTGGTGTATTGGAGAAAAGAGATATCTGGGCTGAACTTATGTTTCCGACTTCGGGAATGGTCCATATGATTAATCAATCATTTTGGTCAAGATTCTTTTTGAATTGTGTTGTTGACTAAGTCAACTAACATCTTCTCCAGTTGAATTGTGTCAAATGACAATTAAGTTATTTGATTTTGTAACATCAAAACTTAATGTCATGTTGAAAGAATAAAGTCTCCCTTTATGGCTTTATGACCATATACGTTGGTTGAAAAACTGAGGCTATATAAAGCCTTGTCTCCTCCTCTTGTTAACAGATTTGTTAATCACATGTGATCAAACACTACCAACAACAATCTCTTCACTTCTCTTCTTTTATTTGGTTTTCTTATGAGAGTACATCACAGAAAACATGGTTCGCAAACTTATGATTTGAGTGATGCAATCATAAGAAGTGTACTGTTTATCCTGGGATTCGGAACGCCATGCAACCGTCAGACTGCGGGGAGTTTACAGAATTAAGGAAAGAGATCATATCTCGACTCTGCAAATCCGGTTTTTTTCTTAATTCTTGTTTATTTGTATCATTTTAATATTGTGTAATATTAATTTATTCATATTTATACTTTACAATTATCAGTTGCCCTATTGTAAAAATTGCGTTCCTACAATCTTAATTCTGTAAATTTTCGTTTTCGCTTATTAACGAAAACTGATTTTTGTAAAATGTTTTTGTTATGTAAACAGGAACTGGAAATCCTCGATTAATTGGATTAGTTTTCCAATTTTCTGCAAATTTAGTATAACTATTTTTTGCAGATTATCAGGATTTTATGGAATAATTTTTTCTGGTATTTCAGAAATTAATTTGATGATTTTTTTCAGGTTATCAAAGGAAGAAAATATGTTTAATTCTTCTATTTTCAGCAATTTATTTTGATTATTTTTGCATAATATTTCAGTCAACTAACATCTTCTCCAATTGAATTGTGTCAAATTGACAATTAAGTTATTTGATTTTGTAACATCAAAACTTAATGTCATGTTGAAAGAATAAAGTCTCCCTTTATGGTTTTATGACCATATACGTTGGTTGAAAACTGAGGCTATATAAAGCCTTGTCTCCTCCTCTTGTTAACAGATTGTTAATCACATGTAATCAAACACTACAAACAACAATCTCTTCACTTCTCTTCTTTTATTTGGTTTTCTTATGAGAGTACATCACAGAAAACATGGTTCACAAACTTATGATTTGAGTGATGTAATCATAAGAAGTGTGCAGTTTATCCTGGGATTCGGAACGCCATGCAACCGTCAGACTACGGGGAGTTTACAGAATTAAGGAAAGAGATCATATCTCGACTCTGCAAATCCGGTTTTTTTCTTAATTCTTGTTTATTTGTATCATTTTAATATTGTGTAATATTAATTTATTCATATTTATACTTTACAATTATCAGTCGCCCTATTGTAAAATTGCGTTCCTACAATCTTAATTCTGTAAACTTTCGTTTTTGCTTATTAACGAAAACTGATTTTTGTAAAGTGTTTTTTTATGTAAACAGGAACTGGAAATCCTTGATTAATTGGATTAGTTTTCCAATTTTCTGCAAATTTATTATAACTATTTTTTGCAGATTATCAGGATTTTATGGAATAATTTTTTCTGGTATTTCAGAAATTAATTTGATGATTTTTTTTGCAGGTTATCAAAAGAAGAAAATATGTTTAATTCTTCTATTTTCTGGAATTTATTTTGATTATTTTTGCATAATATTTCAGAACTATTTCAGAATTTATATCTGAAAAAATAAAATCTGTTATGCATTAATAATTCTTATATTTCTTAAGATTGATATGAACAGGTTTTCAGGGAAGAAAGTTGTTCATGGAAGAAGAACTAAATTCTAGAAATTGGATTAATTTTCTGATTATTTTGCAGGAATTTTGGATAATTTCTATTAAATATTTGCTGAAATTTATTCAGATTAATAAAGTTTTTGCAATATATCTAATTGATATTTTTTGCAGATCAAGAAAAGATGTGTGCCATGTTCATTGTGTGTTTATATTTGATGTTGCATCTTATTTGATTATGCTTATATGGTTGCATTAGTCTCTATTGAATTTTTGATTTGTTTAATCAAGAATTATTTGGTCAAATGCATTTTATAATAATAGCTATTGATGCATGATGCATTGAATTGTGAGATGCATTTTATTTATTGCATACGCATTAAATTATTAATTGATGCAATTTATTTTAAATGGTTTTTTGTTTGTGCATTGATTAAATTATTAAACTCCTGATTTCATTTGGAGTTTTAGTTTAATTATTTGTTGCAATTTTCAGAGGTGATTAAATTGCTTGATATATATTAGATATATTTCTAATATTTTTGGTATGATGATTCAGGTTTTGCTTTTATGCAAATTGAATCAAGGAAGAAAGAAAAAGAATTTTACCAAAAATTAGAACATTTACAAAAATGTTTCCAATAGTGAAAAATCAAATGAGTTGATACCCCATGTTGGGAGTAGTCTATCATTTATGATTTTTTCTAACACCTTTAATAGTGGATGTGATATTGGTAACAAGTTTAGTGAGTTGACATACCAAATTTATTTTGGTAATGGTCTGCCACTTGTAATTGTACCAAATTATGATATTTATCATATTGTCATATTAGTGCTTAGTGTTATAAATATGAAAAAGTTCAATGAAAACAACTTTAAAAGTGGTAATAGAAGATATATATCTTCATAACCAATTTTAACTAAAAATGCATATTTTTGAGTTATCTCAAAAAATGTGGGGGTAACAAGTTGTTTACCACATAAAATCATTGACAAAATGGCATATGAGTTTTAAATGGTAAAAGTATATTTGTACAAATAACAGAAAGTGTGAGGGTGCATAACAAAAATTGCAATGCCACTTTATAAAAATGTAAACAATTGTGTCGTCGTTGTTTGTAAAAAAAAGCTTCATGATATGATTGGTCAGAGTCAAGACTGATTCTCTTCACTCGAGATTGGTTTTTTAGTCTCCTTTTCCATTCATTTGCTGCCCGTGTTCACAGGAAAAGCTCATCAATTCCGAATCAGAAAAACTTCAAATTGTTCTGATTGATTGTTTTGTTGGATTCTTAAATTGATAAATCTATTTCACATTTTTTCAAGTATGTATGTTAGAAATACAAAATACTACAATCTGATACATGTCTTGGTTTTCTTTTGGGTTTGAAGAAAATAGCAAACTTTTACAAAATGAAACCAAAACTCTTAAACCCTTTAAAAACTAGTCTTTCATGATGTTTTTTTTTTTTTTTTTTTTCTCTCTCTCTCTCTCTTTTTGTTGATTTGGTAATGAATCAATACATGGATACATTTTTTCTGGAGATGCACTATTAATAATATGTTTGCATTTGTCTACATTGGATTTGAACAGTATCTGCACTATCTTTTTAAGAGTTTCGATTTCTGCTTGTAGGCAGATTCAGTGTTAGGACACTTTCCAAGTGACTTGGCAGATGGAGATCTTCAGTTGATAACCATTGCGGCTACTATTCTGAAGAAAGCTGATGTATATATCTTCGACGAGCCTTCCAACTATCTCACAGTGAAGCAGAAAATGAGAGCAGCCAAAGTCATCCGGTCTCTTGTCAATTCAGAAATGTATAGTTTAAACCTTTTAGCTAAGGCTTTACAAGAGAGTTAATACCAAAATAAATAGATGCGTCATATTAGGACTGATTGATATTGTGGTTAATGACTTAATGTCTTCTATAAGCGTCATATTAAGACTGATTGATATGGTAGTTAATGTGATTGATCCTTGATAATAGTTAATGTGATATTAGGACATGATTGATATGGTAATTAATGTGATTGATTGATATGACACTAATCTAGAACTGATTGATATAGTGGTTAATGACTTAATGTCTTTTATAAGCGTCATATTAGGACTGATTGATATGGTTGTTAATGTGATTGATCCTTATAATAGTTTCATACTAACACAAAATTTTGCACCATGTTTTTGTGGCATATGAGGATTCTGTCTCATGTCTTACTTGGCAGACAGGTTTATCACATAGAGAGTATAAGTTAATGCTTTGCGAGAAGCTCTAGTGGAGTTTCAACAAACTATGTGTGACGTGTTGCGAGAGTCCATGGTAACTGCCCTAGACACGTTAATCTTGGCTAACCAACACTCGCCAATTTTTTCCCAAGGGGATGATTCAATCTTTGAGGAAGAGGTTGAAGAAATTGACAACGAGAACCATTATCAAGCTGTAGGAGATCTCTACAACGAGTTTTATGGAACTCCAATCTACGATGTTTACCATGAGGCAGATCCGACCTTCCACCTTTGTGATGGTGCTAATCAGATTTGCGATGAGGGTGATGACCAAAATCCAATCTTTGATGTCTATGATGAATATGACATCGAGTTCATAGGAATTCAAAGAAAGGAAGACGTAAAACTTGGATACGTTATCAACAACATTGGTGAGGAGGACGAAGATACATATGGGAATAAAGATACGAATATGGGTCAAGGGAAGCAATATGTAAATTATGCTTCAGGGAAGACTGATTGGATCGTATTTTCATCTTATCATGAAGACATGGTGGATCACATGGCTAAAAGAAATTACGGTAATTTTTTTTTACCTTCCAAAACATCAATATCAGCAGAGCAATGGCCAACCGCCAGATCGTAAATCGCAGGATCATGATCATTTTCTCCGCAAAGAGAAAACTTTTTACAATGAGTTTGATGGTGATCCGTTTTTGACTGTCAATGAAGATGAATTGATTTGGTGCTGTTTGCAATGATGATTTCACGGTTGAGAGCTATGATGATTCATCGAAGTGTGACAAACACCAAGTTACTAAAAGGAAGCCAATGGTTGTTTCACGGATGAGTAAACACGTCCATACTTTGGATTTTAGTTTTGGTTACACAAGCTTTGTCACATCGAGTGTGGGTACACCGAGCCATTTACCAACTCCTTTGATACGCTTTCTAAGGAAGATTTTATCACACCACTTTGCACTCAAATTCTTCCTCACGCCAATCTCCATGCTTAAGCTCCAAGGTCATATTTTTCCATCAGCAGGGGAGCCTAAGGCAGCTTTGGTTGAAACGTCAATAGCTGTTATTGTACGACATCAAGCGATTGGGGACAGTGGTTCAAGCAAAGAGTCGTCGTTTTTCTCTCGCTGTATTTTTCACATTGGTTTTGACGGCTCTGGTTTTCAATTTATTCTCGCATGGTTTTTTACATTCACGGACAAGATGGGATAGTTGTATTTGCTGGCTTGTTTTGAAGGTGGTAATTGTTTTTCCCGATGGAACTTTCTCAAGGATATCATATTTACACTACCACCGTGAAAGTCTTTTTGTGGAGCAGGAGAAACATTTCAGCATCGAATGGGCTTTACTCTCTTGCATGACGTTTTTGAGCAGGAATGTGGCACATGTGAACTGCCGATGGAGCCCAACATTAGGGTGTGTACGTGTATAACGCGTATGAAGCAAGAAGACCTGTGGCCTCACAAAAGTATTTTTCTGTCGACTCATACTTTCCCTTATACGCTGCCAAAGCTAAAGGAGGGCATAACGATTTGCATGATCAATCGGGCATTGGTGTCGGCTTCTTTCAAGGATTTTTCCAAAGAAAAGTTATCTGGTAACCTTATTTCCGTGGACGTGATCAGCTTATTATTGAGGAAAATATGGAAATACGATAAAGATGTGATATCTGGTCACAATTCCAGTTTTGTCTTTGCTAATAGAAATACTGTGTTAGTGCATGAGTCAGCGATACCGTCGTCACCACCGCTTTTGATCGATGTTGCTCCACACCGAAAGAATGAGAATACAAGCTTGCATAAGTCAGTGTTAATCTTACGTTCTCGATATTTTTATCACCATACGGGTGTGGCGTTAGTGTTGTTCGTGCTCTGTAAAGCCTCTGTTTTTCAGTCTATAAAATTGCTTTGGCTGCTTCATATTCCGAGTACATTGGCGCGAGATGCTAATGTTTTCCTACCAGCACGTCAAGGGAGATTTTTGGAGATTCTTGCAACCAGACGGCTGTGGAAGAACCGCCAACGGATCGAGTCTGTTGTTCTTATTCCTTGGTTTGGTCTGAAGATCGTACTTGATGATTTGGCTGTCATATTCATTTTTCGGTCCGTGCCAGCGATTCTTATTTCACGAGACCAGGAAGTATTTGATCTTCTCCATCATGGAAGACTTGTTGTCTGAAGCAAGAGGTACACGTTTTGCTTTGTTTGGAGCTTGATTCTACATGGTGTGGTATCTTATGGTGGCCTTTCACTGGACTTGTTCATCGTGGATCCTGAGGTTCACACGACTTGTGTGTTTCATTTCCTCCTCCTCCAAACCGGATTGATGTTTCCCTTCTCAACAATATCACTTGAGATGCATTATAGAGTTTCTAAGAAGGGAAGAGGAGTGGTGACTAGCCCAAAACTAAGTCTTCAATACACGACAAATATTTGTTGGAGTGGGGTTTCTTGCGAATCAAGCAAGCTATTGATGTGCTCTCAATTTTTCTCTCACCCTGGTTTTCAACGGATGCTGGAAGCATTAACACTTGGTACAAAAACTTTTCTTCTACAACCATTATTCATTCGTTTGCCTCTTCTTGATTGGGTAAGGAAAGAAGGAGAAACTATATATCAAGCCACATGCCATGAGCAGATTGAGATATTGGTTGTGATGGGCCAGATTCTTAATACGCTTCACCTACAGGAGAAACAAGCTTGTTTCCGCCCTCCTCCACTTCTACAAGATGTTAAAAGACTAATGAAAGATCAAATCATTCGTGGAGCTGTGTTTGACGTGTCGTCTTTACACCATCTCTACGACTCTACCCAGCTCTTGTACTTAATTATCGTCATCATGATTTTGAGGACAACATACAGCAAAAGGTGAGAGTCTTGTGGGAATCTCTTTTACGTAGTATGGTGTTTTACGAGCGTCTTTCAGCACACCTTTGGAAAGTGCAGCTTGTGAAAGTCGACAATAGAGATTGTTTGGCTCAAGGTTTAGTAACTCACGGTCAAGTGCTACAATTTGGATATCTTGTGGTCCTCGTCCTACTTGTCGTATGGTCACTTTTGGTTCACGTGGCGTTGGTATCTATTTGCACATGGTCCCTTTTGTATATGGTGTTCTTCTCTACCATTTCATCACCGTTTGCAGGGAATAATGAGGGGTTTATCCGTTTATGATCACTTGTCATCGTGCTTCGAGATGAACTTAGTGTGCTTTTTCCTATTTCGAATTCAACTAGATGACAATCCAGATTCAGAGACGAATCTTTTTCTACCTGGAGGGACCTGATGCAGCGCATCTTCACATCTATCATAACTACAAGGGGCGTTCATCATATTGGCTTTATTATATCTTTATTTGTCATTGAGCTTTATGGTCGTTGGGCTTTTAACTATTTTACGTTAGGGTTTTCATTATAACTTTTCATATTTAAGGAGCGTAAGACTCAATTGTAAAGCAGTTTTTGATTATTGAATAAACATAGAACTTTTCAGTTCATCTTATCCTTGTTATCGATATTCTTTGTGAATCAACAATTATTAAGAACCCTCGTTCATTTGAACGGCCATTCTTCGGAATCAACGGTCATCGAGTTTATCTAGCTTCCGGTCTCCATCATCACATCATTGGAGAAGATGGATACTTAATCTTTTAATATCGGAGATGCTCCAAAGCTTCGCCAATTTTCAGACCGTTATTGTAGCGAGAAACAATCAGTGTCGTTATTTGCAGCAAAAACTTCCTGATATGATTGATCAGAGTCAAGACTGATTATCTTCACTCGAGATTGTTTTTTTAGTCTCCTTTTCCATTCATTTGTTGCTCATCAGTTCGGGACTATCAAATTGTTCTGATTGATAGATATGTTTGATTTTTAAATTGATAAATTTACTTCACATTTTTTCAAGTATGTGTAGGTTAGAAATACAAAAGACTACAATCTGATACACTTTTTCTTTTGGGTTTGAAGAAAATAGCAAACTTTATACAAAATGAAATTAAAACTCCTAAACCCTTCAAAAACTAGTTTTTCAAGATGTCTTTATTTCTCTTTTTGTTGATTTGGTTAATGAAGCATTACATGGGTACTTTTTGTGTGGAACGGAATATTTATATAGTTTGCGTTGATCACACAATCTTTTATAAGTAATGTCTGCTTTGCTTGTTTGTTATCTATATATATAAAGTTGATGTAATTCTATTTTGGTGCTAGCACCTCAGCAAAAGAAGGTGTTTTTAAATTTAGCATATCAATTTATTTATTATATATATTTTTTTTCTATTTTATTTTTTATAAGAATTATCATTTATTATTATAATAACTTAATAAGAATATGAAAAGTCATTTTAAAAATAAAATATTATGTATAAATCTACAAAAACTATTATTTAGTAATAATAATAATAGAAAGATATTATAGAAATGTATATGTTGATGTTTTGAGTTTTACAATGGATGAGTTGAGAGCTTCAACGGAATTGTTCGATGACGTTTTGAGCTCTAGATCCTACAAGTGAACTAATGCAAAGCTGAAAAAGGGTAATGATTTTGAAAAGAAACAGATGGTGCAAATAAAGTTCAAATCAAATGTAGACAAATGCAAACATACTATTAGAAGTTTTCTAGCCTTTGCAAATAAATTATGTTTAAGAACAAAAAAAATGGAGCATTTCTCAATCCGAACAGGTCTGTCAGGTTGCAATGAAACTCCAAAGTGTGGAGAAAATAAAACATGAAATTCTAACATTAGGAAACTTCTTGCCGTGCACACGAAGACTAACCCTTACAAAATCATAGAGATATGTGAGGCACATGATCTGACATATTCAATACTGTCCTGTTTTCCTAAAGATTTGGACGATGTAGAGCTTTAGAGGGTTAGCATTGCAACTACAGTTTTGGAGAAGGCAGATGCCTACTTGTTTGATGAACCCTCCAACTTTCTCACCCTGAAGCAGAAGATTAAGGCTACGAAAGTCATTATGTGAATGATCATTTATCAGCAATCATACATTTTGTTCACTTTTGGATTTGACTTTTGTATGTTGTCATTTTGTTTTTGTGCCTCATGTACCACTACTGTCAGAGCGGAATATCATCTAGCATACCCAATTGAAGATGGCTTCACTTTACAAGAGGTAAATGTGTATTAATTTCAGTTTTATTTCCAAGTGTTTAGTTTATTGGTAACTTCCATGAGTACGTTAAGCTTGCTGATCTTTATTACACCGGAGAAGATATAGATATACTGATTCATAAATAATGTCTATATCTATCAGTATACACAAAGAGATTTGTTCAAAATTCTTTGAAAGGTAAGCTCTTGAAGCTAGTATTAGAGCATCTCCAACCCACCATCAAATCTTCCATCAAACACACTATTTTAATATGAAATTCATCTCTAACCCACCCTTATAATTGACATGAAAATGAAGGAACACTATTTTTTCCTTCATTTATAGTGTAACCTTATTTCTCCCCTTATTTTGATGTTGATATTTTTTATTTGCATATTGATCCTTTAAATTTAGTTTATTTTATTTATAAATTAAATAAATTATAAATTTTATTTTTGTTTTCTATATTTTACTAGAATTAATCATAAAACATTATTTTAGAAATTGACATGATTTATATTATACAAATGGATTATAATTTAGTTTTATCCATTACAAAGTAAATAATATATAACTCTAGAAATTTATAGAAATGAGAAATTATTGTTTTTTGTTTTTTTAATGAAGTAATGTAATTACTTTGTATAATAATAGTTTAATTTAAATAATATACTAAGTTATGCAATTTTTTTATAAAGATAAAATAAGTGGGGCTAATTTGTAAAATTTATAAATAAAAGGTTTTTGCAATAAATTTGGATTTAAAATATTCCTAAAATATTTTATTTTTAGTGTAAAAAATAAGGGAATACATTGGAGAGAAACATAACATTATTATAAGCAGGTCCGGCCCAATAGTTTTAAAGAGCCAGTGCAAAAGTTGATTTTACAAGAAATAACAATAGTCTTTTGCAAACAGGACCCTAAACTTTTTAAAAATACCTGAAAAGATAACAATAATTTTCACATTAAAAATTGGACCATGTGCATTTGCACCTTTGGCACATGCCAAAGGCCGGGCCTGATTATAAGAGAACACTAAAATGATAGAGAAAATGATGGAATACATTGGAGATTGTCTTATGGACCAAATCTCTTAACGCAATTTCAAAAAGTAACACAATTCCCACGAAAAAGAAAAGAAAACAAAACACACTTCGCAGATTTTTTCAAGTTAATCACCGAAAAAAAAGAGATCTTCATGTACGTTATGAAAGATACGCGGTTGTCCGGTAATTATCGAAAGGCTCGGGGTCATCGGTAATTATCGAACAAGTCGTGGTCGTCAGGTAATTTCTGAAAGATACGCAGGTGTTTGGTAATTACCAAAACGATAGGGGTCATCCGTAATGACCGAAAGCTTTGGGATTGTTAGGTAATTTCTGAAAGATACGCGGTCATCCGGTAATTACCCAAAGATACTGGTCTTCTTGTTTTTTTTTTTTTTTTTTTTTTTTGATAACTCTGGTATCCGGGCAGCCACATTCCCGACTATCCCCACAAGTGGGGTCCAGCGCCCCAACGGAAGGGATGTTAAATCCGTTGTGGCCGGGACTCGAACCCAGATGGCGGGTACCTCAGCTGAGGGTCCTTTACCACTGGGCCACAAGCACCGGTTTTCTTGTTCATACAAATTAAGCTTGTGTGAGGAGCAGCGGTAACTCCTCTCTTGCGACAAGGTTCTCTGTCACAAGACGGAAAACGAAATGCTCATAAAAGCATGTTCAAAAGTGGTTTTTCTTCGCAACCCATCTCATTCTATCTTTCTCCCCCCCTCTGCTTCTCATACTCTAACGATCTTTCGAAATTTGATTCCGTTGATCACGAGAGAAACTACATGCACTGAAAACTGAATCAGTAAATAGAGAATTGGAGCAGAAATCGAAGAACTTTGTGGATTGATCGAAACAAAACCAGGGAAAACAAAAAAAGTTTGGATTTTATACTTTAAATACAGCGACTACTGTGACGATGCCTCAATTTGAAACCATTGGGTTACCTTTTGTTCTTCGGGTAAGGACAAACCATAAGTTCACTTTGACAAACTTTAACAGCAAAAGAATTGTGATGTTATTAGTATTGGCATTTTTGAATTTGGTGAACTTGAACCCTTTTGTGTGCATGTGTGTGTTACAGTGTGTATGAGCCTTTGAATCACGCATTACTCCTAACTCCTAAGCTTGGTTTTTTTATATGGGTTTTGTTGCTTGGTTTGATACATTTGACATAATCCCTTTCTCTCTGAAATTGCACGTATTTCAATGCCTTTATGATGGGAGGATGGAGACACAAACGAAAGCTTGCGTTGTAATGTTCTTTAAATCGTATAATGTTATATATACCATGACGGTTTGATATGTGAATATATGAAATAGTATTAGTATTATACGATATACGAGGACTCCACTGTATACTAAAAGGCTAAAACATTTTTAAATAGATATAAGATATGAAATGAATTATTCTAGTTATATGATTTTTTTTTTTTAAAAAACCAGAACAATGAATTGACATGAAAACATGCTTTTTTCCAACAAAAAGGTTATCATTAAAAATGTATAAAACACAAAAATGATGGTGATAAATTTTGATCGTAAAATAATTGAAACATGGTTAAAGTTACAAAGAAATAATTGAAGAGGACAAAGAAACATCGTTAAATTTACAGAAAATCATACTTGTTACTTTCTACTTTTTTTTTTTTTTTTTACTTGTTACTTTATACACTTTTTCGTTTAACTAGTTTTGCTTTTATATTTAGATGTAGAACTAGGAGTTCATATAAAAGTTGAGAGATGAGTTAAGAGAATCAGTTGTTTGTACAGAAAGTAACACTCAATCAGTGCCAAACTATAAAAACTCATCCATAGAAGATAAAACCCTTCAAAAACTCATACATATATACATTTTAAAAGAAAGAATTATAGATTGCGTTAGTCACAAGTCACAATCTTTTACAAGCTTCTTTGTGATTTGATATGTTAGATTTTTGGATCGACTAATTGGATAGGTTTAGCTTCCCGATTTAGTACTCACATAGTATTGAATGAGTTTTCTTGATATAGTGAAGTGGAATTTTAGATGCAAAATCACCACTACAATCGGTCCCGACAAGAGCTCTCAATCCCAAGAAAAAAAAGACACGATACAAATGTCCTAAAAGTTGGGAGAAACACACTCTCTTCCTCATGTCAAATAAAGAAACAAATCAAACTTGCTGAATCAGCTTTATAAAAGCACACACCATTTACTCACAACACGCAACCTCATCATCAATCGATCAACACACACACAATGTCTTCTTCTTCTTCTTCACTTATACTCTTCTTCTTCTTCTTCTTGTTTGCTTCTACATTCCTCTTCACTTCATCAAACTCATTCAACATCACAGAAATCTTAGAACAGAACAAAGATTTCTCCACTTTCAACAAACTTCTCTCCCAAACCCAACTCGCCTCTACCATCAACAGCCGTCAAACCGTGACCGTCCTCGCGCTTTCCAACGACGTAATGTCCTCCTCCTCCCCCGACAGATCAACCGACGAGATCAAGAACATCCTTAGCCTCCACATCGTTGTAGATTACTACGACATCAAGAAACTCAAGGATCTGAAAGACAAAACAGTAATACTCACCACTCTCCTCCAATCAAGCGGTCAAGCTAAAGGCAGACAAGGGTTCGTAAACGCAACCGTTATGAAAAACGGTGACGTTGAGTTTGGATCTGCGGTTCCTGGGTCTATCCTCAGCGCTAAGCTTATTGACTCCGTTGCGTCACAACCACCTAGCATCTCGGTGCTTCATATCAGTAGTGAATTACCTATAATGATCGACTTACCTAATGATTCTCCTTATAAATCATCTTCACCACTTCCTGCACAACCTCCTGGTGATGATGATTATACTTATGACGAGCCACCATCCCCACCATCCTCTGCTCCGGCTGCTTCTGCTACTGCATCTCATGGAAAATCCAACTCAACAAACGGAGTCGCAGCGATCAGTTCTCAGTTTGACGTGGCGTTTGCGGTCGTGATGTCATCCTTTTGCTTGTTCATGAAGGTCTGGTGACGTGATGGCCAAGACTTGACGACAATGAAAAATAGAGTGCAAGAATGAAATAGACCATATCAGCTTTTTGGAAGCCAAAAAAATAATGTTTCAAGTTTATAAGCTTTGTTGGACTTATGTACTTGAAATACTCAACAGATCACTGCGTCACTAACGTTGTCTCCATTTTTGTGTGTGCGAATAACGTTGTCTCCATCTATATGAAAGGCATTTATACAAAAAAAAAAAATCAATAGGGAATATAAAAGATGGAGAGCTGCAGAGGTGATATACCTAAATAAGCAACTTTGTTTTGTTTTTCACCTGATTGACTCAAATGTATGCAATATATATATATATATATATATATATATATAGATATATAAAAAATAGTGTTTTTCGTTGATACATTTGCATTAGTCATGGATGTTATGTAACAATAGGACTTCTCTCAATATTCGTTGATTATATGGTTTTTTAATTTTTTTAGACCATTCGTTAAAAGCACTTTCGTAATCATATGTCTAAAATTGACTTCATTCAGCTGAAACCTAATTAAGTCGATGACCAAGTTAAGTCCGGATTAAATGAAATTAAGATAGGCCATAAAATTTACGTTTTCACTAGCTGGAAAGTGACAGTCCGCAAAATTCAAACTCCCGTAGATAAAGTACTACGTAATAATATAAAAATAGCAAAACCCTTTCTAAATAAATCAAAAATAAAGAAATAATATGAAAAAACCTTGTTTAATGTTGATATCACAAATAAAAGTGAACCATAAGCATAAAAGGGTTCTTCGTTTTTATTAACAACACAAATAAAATAAAAAAGATTAATTTCGACATGTTGCATGCAATTTGATATGCTGGATTGTTAAATCGATTAATTGATGGTTTAACTGGACGATGAGAAATTACAGAAAGGGGATAAATACTAATAAGAAGAGCTACTCTCTGAAACTCATGTGAAGCTGCTTATAGAGACAATGACCGGAAACGAGGATGCGGACAGAATATTGATGATTGATTAATGCGGACTGTCCTGAAGATGAGTAGTTTTGCTCGAAGAAGAAGCCAGACCTCTTTGACCAAAACCTGAACTGGTTTACTAGAGGAAGAGTGAAGACGTGAGTTTCTCTCCTTAGTCCTTCCATAAGAAGTAAACCGCCACATGTAACTTGCAAATGGTGTTAAATTTCGTAAATAGCTCATGTGAACAATAGCGGCAGATAAACGGTCATTTCTGTTAGATACTGGATGTATATATTTTTTCGAAAGATTTAGAGATTGCTTGTTAGTCATAAAATCACAATCTTTTATAAGCTTCTTAATTTGTGACTTGATAGTTGATACATTGGATTTTTAAATTGATTAAATGATAGGTTTACTTTAGCTTCAGAGATACAGTGGTTTGATGTGATAAGCCAGTGGGCCTGTATGGTTTATATTGATATAGGCCCATTACTGATCTTTTTTTACGTACACAAGCACGCCGGCGGAAACGAGGATCGCCGGAGAAAGCGAAACGCTTCGGTTGTGCAAAATAGAAGGAAACCACATTAGTAAAAGGAAAAAGGAATATCTCCAGATTGACGGAAACCGCACTAGAAGAAGGAAAAGGAAAAAGGAGAAGCTTGTGCGTATATAAGAAAGAGTTTTTGAAGCTAATTTCGATTGCAGCCGTTTGTTGAAGCTTGGAAGAATGACGACAAAAGTCCGATCTACCAGGGGATTTGGTGGAGGAGGAGATTCTCTCAAGGGTATCGATGATATCTCTGGGAGCAGTGCGATCTACTTGCAAAAAGTGGGAGACTTTGTCCAAAAAAATCGAATTTTTGGAGCAGCAGCAGCAGCAGCAGCAGCGGCAAGGAAGCAATTTCTGGGGTTCATGATGATGGATTATAAGGTTTGCTCGATCAAATTCGACCTCCAAGGAATAAGAAACGATGACGAAGAAGTGTTCGTTGATCCATGTATAAAGCAAGTTAGTCTACTTGATCATATCGAGATATCTCAAGTTTTTCACTGCGACGGCTTGCTTGTTGCTGTGCGTCATTAAGGATAAGCAAGGGCTTGTGGTATGGAATCCATATCTGGGGCAAACTAAGTGGATCAAACCCAGAACAGAGTTCGACAGCTTAGACGTGTATGCTCTCGGATATGACGAGAACCGTAACCACAAAATCCTGAGGATTTTCTTTGAGAATCAAACCGTTTTGGGGTACGAAATCTACGATTTGTGCTCTAACTCATGGAAGGTTTTTAGTGTCACTCTTGAATGGAGAATATGCAGTTTTGAACGCGGCGTATCTTTGAAGGGAAATACGTATTTTCTGGCTCTTGTAAGAAACGGTGACGAATTTTTAGTCTGTTTTGATTTTAAATCAGAGAGTTTCGGACCACTTCTGCCTCTGCCTTATGGGGAAGAGCATTTGTCTCTGTCTTGTGTTAGAGATGAGAAGCTGGCGGTGTTACATCGTAGCCTTGGGTTATGTCAGGTTGTAGAGATTTGGGTTACGGATAAGATTGATCCCAGTGCGGTGTCGTGGAGCCTGTTTTTGAGACGGATCATTGGTTTTCCGGTTGAAATTTATGCTGGGAGTTTCTTCATTGACGAGGAGAAGAAGAAAGTTGCTGTAATTTTTGGTCTAGACCAACCTAAATGGACCCAGACATGTCGCCACCAGACAGCTCACATCATAGGACCAGATTGGTACACCAAATCTGTGGATATTGGACAAGCCTCAATTTACCTTGGGAAACCTGACGAATCTGGATATATTCGGGAGAGGTATTGTCGCCCACTGGTGTGCTCTTCTTGTTATGTTCCGAGCTTAGTGCAACTGGAAACCAACCAAGGGGAAAAAGAGTGATTGTTATTAGTTGGTTGCATTTACAATACGTCATTTGTTTGCTGCATCGGCTTTTGCATGTTTAAGCCTCGTTTCAATTGTTCATGTCATTAATGCATGAGTTCATCTGGAAGTAGGAGAATCTTTGAGTGTGTTTGTATAGTAGAAGAAGCTTGATGTAATGATAACTTGGCTGTTTTTTTTCCCCGGTTTTGGAGCTTTGTTAGAGAAAACGGAAGATACATATGATCGATCAAAATCACTGATATGTGTCACTTTGTCTCTGTTTCTCTCACTGTTACGTGTGTTGTAAGACTGATATAGTCACATTTTTTTAAGGACTAATTATTGAAAGTTGATGATCCATTTAATCACTCCCTCCATGAAATCGATTGGGAGCTCCAAATCCTACCAAGAACACCTTCAACAACATTTCATTTTCACGCAAATATGATAATGCAACTGTAAAAAAGTACGTACTTTTCTGTTAAAAACTCCATAGAATCCTTGGAAGATTAGAATAGTCTTTCATGGAGTTTTTATCCTTTTACAAGTATGGAGAGAAGTCTAGGCCTTGTTGAAGGAAAAAATTTCGGGAAAACACTGTTTTCAACACGTGGAAAAATGAAACCAAATCTTTGCTGACCGAGTTAAAAGTTTATTTCTTTGTTGTCTATACCTAATTTTAGCTTGTCTAATATTTTGCTTCATTTATGAAAATTTAAAATGTAGACATGTAAGATTTTGAAAAACGTACAAAAATGACACAACGAATTAAATGTGGTTAGTGCAAGTTGACCAAAGTAATGCATATCGATCATCTTAATAGTTCCAATTGGCATTTTTAACATGGTTCACAATAAAAACTCAATGTCTCCCATTCATAACAAATTAACTATATGCCAAAATGCAATACACCTTCACACAAGTAAACATAGTGATCTAAAATCTTCCCAAAAAAGTTAGTAGTGGAATGAGGATATGAAAAATGCAAAAAAAAAACAAAAAAAAAGGATATGAAAAATGCTACCAATTTAGACTTTAGGACAATTGTTTTTGCATTCAAAATCGCATTTCCATGGCTTGCGTAACTCTTCATTCACAATAACAATTCGTGTAGTCTGAATATGTTAGGTAAGTTTTTCATTTTATTTTCTATTGTAAAAAAGACTATGTAGCTTATTAATGTCGCATCTAAAAAATATATAAATTTACAAACACTTTAAACAACATTTAAATTTAGCGCAAATATAATTATGCAGCTTTAGAATAACCCTTGAAAGATTAAAATAGTTTTCATGGAGTATTTCTTTTTTTATTGATCTGGTAAGGAAGAGTTTTTTTTTTTTTTTTTTTTAAATTGAAGATTTATAAATTGCGCTTGCATACTCTTTTTTTTTTACATGCTTCTTTGTGATTTGATATGGTGGATTGTTAGATTGATCCGATATACACTAGTCACAATTTGTTAGACTAATATTATGTGATTTTGCAGTTGGTAGAGAAATGATCCGATGCAGTAAAAACTCGATGTTGACATTAAACCAACCCCATGGAAACTATTATTGGTTCCATGTGATATTTGGGTTACAGATTGTCTTTGTGATTCATGGATTTTCGAGCAATTCTCTGTTTTGTGCTGACATTTTTTTTTCACTTTTCATAATACTGAATAAACAGCCTTTTGAACTAAAAATCCATATAACAGACTTGATCTTTATCATTTTAAAAACTGTAAATATTAATTTTTGGATTTTTTTTTTTTTTTTTTTTTGGATATTTGCTGGTCCAAGATTTGCTTATAAGATGCAAATCTTGATCGAATAGACTCGGGCAATCAAACCATGTTAATACTGATACTGAAAAACGACGTACGGATACGGTTTCAATCTACCAAATCGCAATTTTCTTAACGAACTTGGTCACTCGCCATTGTACATACATTTACAGAGATAGCTGTGTGAAGAGCAACTCTAACTCCTTCTCTTGCGACAACGTCCTCTGTCACAACACGGAAAACGAAACATGCTCATCGTTAAAAGCATGTTCAGAAATGGTTTCATAGTTAATCAATCATCTTGTTCATCTAAATAAGAGATTCGATTTGACTACTTACTTGGACAGACAAAAGCTGGTTGATTTTGTTGAGAACCTTGAGACGATGAACAGCATAAACACTGTTTGAAGGAAGTTTGCTAACCCTTTTGATCTCTTCCTGAATCACGCTCGATTTTTCTTCACAACCCATCTCGATCCATCTTTCTCCCACTCGATTACCTCTGCTTCCCATACTCTCACGATCTTTCGAAAATTGATTCCGCTAGAGAAACTTCAAGAAAGACACAGAGATTGAAAACTGAATCAGTAATTAAAAGAATTGGAGCAGAAATCGAAGAACTTTGTGGATTGATCGAAACAGAACCAGGGGAAAAGGAAAAAAAGTTTGGATTTTTAAATCGAGGATTACGAATCCAGACCTCGCAATTTCGGATTTTTGAAACTTTTCTCCAGAGAAATCAAACGAGAGATTGCGATCAGAATGATACTGAGAATTGTCTTCGAGCCCTAAAGCTCTCAATTCAATTAGAGAGATTCCGATTTTGATATTTCTCAGTCAATTTCTTCTTATTATTTTATTTGTTTCTTTCTCTAATTGCCCGACCCGTAACCCGACCCGGGAAACCGCTCAGAAACCCTAAAAAAAAAAAGTTCCGATCACATCTGAATTTTCTCCTCCTCCTCTGCTTCTTCTTCTTTCGATATTTCGTGGCAATGGCGTTTACGAAAATGTTAGGCAGATTCTCTTCTCGGTTAAAGCCTCTATCCCAAAACCTCTGCAACAAGAATGCCAACGTTTCATCACTCCCACCTCCCGTCAAGTCTGCATCTCCGTCCTCAGCGACTAATCGTCTCAATCGAGCTTCAAGGTCTGTGTTTTGTATACATTTCACTGCTCAATGGATGAAGAAACCCACTTCCTAAAACTTAATTCCATTGTTTCCTCCAATTGTTTGTGTGCGCTATATAAATCAGACTTGTTTTGTTCCTGTTACAATTGAGTATCAACGAGGGACTATGTGTTCGATTACTTGCTAAAATCAACTGCGAATTCAAATCTTTCTTATAAGTTCACAAATCTTGTTGGATGGTTTTGCTTTTCAGATTACCAGTGGAGTTGAGTTCGATGTTACCTCTACACAATGCTATAGCATCGTCGAGGCTGGTATCAAGTTTGTCCATTGAATCTAAATGTTGGGGATTAGTTCCTCAAGGTCTGTTTTTTTCTTCCTCTTCCCGTATTTCGTCTGTCTTACTAGCCTACGATTAGAGCATGAGACCAACCATTTTGACATCATGTGTATCAACAACATTCACACTTTCTCTTGTTTCTTTATATAGCCTTTATACATCGATAACTGTGGCGATGCCTCAGTTTGAAACCATTGGTTAGCTTAGCTCTTTGGATTAGGACAAACATAAGCTCACTTTTGGCAAACTTACCAAACTTAAGAGTTTGTGATGATATAAGTATTGGCATTTTTGAATCTGATGAACTTGAACCCTTTTGTGTGTGTGTGTGTGTGTGTGTATGCATCTGAGCCTTTGAATCACTTATTACTACTAAGCTCTCTGAAATTGCAGGTATTTCAATGCCTTTATGACGGAGGGATGGAGACACAAACGAAAGCTTGGTTTGTTTTGTTCGTTAAATCTCTTATCACATCCAAAGGTCCTGTATTTAGAATTCTGTTAGCTCCAATCTCTCTGCTTAGATTCTTGCGGTTGTTTTTGGATTAAGGAATCAATGTAATGTTGCAGGCAAGATCTTTCTTATTTGGAAATTCTCTGTTTTTTTTCATATGCAATGACAGTGATTGAAAGATCAATCAGCAGCTTTAAGTTTAAATAAAAAAAATACATTTGATTTGATTTTGTTTAAGACTCATTGTTCCACGCGGCAATAGTCACAGCTTGCAAGATCTAATCGGATACGTGCTACGACAAGTCAGGGTGTCGTGTAACCAAAAAACCTTTGACTAAATTACAATCTCAATTCTCAATCTATCAAAGTCATTATACTATATGGTTTTTGTTTGTATTACTTACTTTCTCTCCTAAAATCAAGCTCTTTTCACGTACGCAATCTCCGGAGCCAACTCTTATACTCACCATTTTACTCCACTCTCCACGTTGCCTCCCAATAATTGCAACCTAAAACTCAAACGTAAACGTATGTATTTGCCTGTTTGGTGATTATGTTTGTGTATAGATACCTACCTTCATACACAACCACACCTTTCTCCTCTTTCACTTCATCATCAAATTTCAGAGAAATGGAACCTCAAATCAATGATCTTCACATTGAATCTCGGGTCCAGGTATGTATATTATATCATATTAGATACAGGAACGACGAGAAACACAGAATAACACAGATCTTGCTACAGTTTCCCAATGATGATCACAACGAAGCAGAGGTTGACATTGAGAACACTAAGAAGAGGCCATACAGTTGTCCTCACTCTGGTTCCAAGTGTACAGTCTCAGGAGATATTCAACGGCTGCTTCTGCATCTAAGGAATGATCATAATGTTGAAATGCATGATGGGCGTAGTTTCAGTCACAGATACGTCCATCATAATCCTAAGCATCTTCATCACGCTACTTGGATGTTAACTGTAAGTTACTTTCGATTCTTTTTCTCTGTTTCTGCAATTTGTTAATACTCACAAGAAAAGAGAACATTGGCACAGCTTCTGGATTGTTTTGGTCGACAATTCTGCTTATACTTTGAAGCATATCACTTGAGGAAAACGCCAATGTACATAGCCTTTATACAGTTTATGGGAGATGAAGAAGAAGCAATGAGCTTCAGCTACAGTTTGGAAGTGACTGGCAATGGCAGGACGCTGACGTGGCAAGGCGTGCCTAGAAGCATTCGAGACAGTCACAAGACGGTCCGTGATAGCCAAGACGGCTTAATCATCACTCGCAAGTTGGCTTCGTTCTTCTCTAACGACAACAACCACAACAGCAAGGAACTGAAGTTGAAGATTTCTGGTCGTGTATGGAGAGGAGTGAACAATGCATAATATAAAATACTGCCTTTGTTTTTAAGGAAAGATGTTAAAAACATCTTTAGACTGAAAAACTATGTTCTCAAGTATTATTGTAACTTTGTCTTTCAGTTACGTATGTTTTCAAAACCTATTCAAAGTTTTTAAATTGCATTTTATTGTTTTCATATGATAGTTAATTTAATATTACTGCATCCATTAATATTAAAAAAATGGCCACCTATGATATGGTTTGTAATTTGCATATTTGTAAAACAAACTGGAAAATTTTAGTGAAGTGATAAAAAAATGAGACACTTTCACATGAAGTCTTGCATTTTCATATTTGCCGATGAATCGGCTAGTGCATTCTCTTCATGTCTTTATTTATAAATCTTACTTTGAATATTGATTTTTCTTTCTCATATATCTATACATTTATCTTAGAGAAACAAAATTCATGCAAAAGTAGAGAGCTGCACACATACTGCACGAATTTCACACCCAGAGCTGCGTGCCTATGACAAAAAAAAAGAAACTTTTGTTTATGGCATCAAATTGTGTAAAAAAAACATATTTAGGTGAAGACCGTCAATTATCAATTTCTAGGGTTTCAATTTGGAGGTCATCTAAAAGTTGCAGTAACAGAATGGCCGCTAGGGACCCGAAATATAGAATCGACGTGGCTTGGGATTACGAATGCGGCTGGATCTCCAATGAGGCCTATCTACCGATTCTTAATATCGAAGCTTCTCTGAAGAAGTGTGATGACCGCTATCATGTTGGAAGAATCATCGCAGTGGGTCCCCCACATGGTACATGGGCTGATAAAATTACGAATGCTGGAGGTATTGAACATTTTCCTATCTCAGATGAGAACATCAATTGTGCCACAGAAGACTGTAAAACTGGCATTGCATTTAACCGTAGCTCAGCGAAAGTACTGATCAAGAGAACAACAGATAGAGTTGATGTCCTTGCAATGGTTTCTATGTTTGCGAGTGTCATTTGTGATGGGTCTAAAATCATTTTGGTAATAATGGGCGACGAATATTTCCTGTACCCGATAGCAAAGTTTTCCGGAAAGCCCACGAACACCAGGATTTTGGTAGCCAAATCTGGGGCTTCACCGTCTCACGAATTGGGAATACATTTTACCAGGTGGAAATTCGATGAAATGATCACGAAGCCTGGAGGATGTGAACCGTCTAAGAAGCAGTTTCCACGAGGACGGTTGGACAGGTTCATATCAACTATGATGAGATCGTTAAGTTCATGATGGCTAAGTGAGAGAACCTTTATCAACACATGTTATTTGCTTCCTTGTTGCCTTGTTTAGGACACGTTATTTGCCTCCTTGTTGCCTTGTTGCTCTGGTTGCCTTGTTTAGGACATGTTATTTGCTTCCTTTGCCTTGTTGCTCTGTTTGTTTGCTGTTATGTATGAACACATCTTTTGCTTACCCTTTGACAATTGGAATCATCTCTTTTTTTATTTGTTTGTAAAAAAAAAAAAAAAAAAACATATTTACAAATATTTTGTTTCATGTGGTTTATGCTTTACAATATTTATTTCCCCAATTCACATTCATCTCAAAGTTAATATATGTTTCCTAACCTTATGAACTTTTTCTACTATATTTTCCGGGCTCATTTTTATTTTCATTTTTACCGCATTGACATTTTTTTCAAATTTTTTTACCAGTTAATCCCTCCGTTTTCTTTTGATAAATTTTCTAGAATTTTCACACATATTAAGGAAAAGCAGATTTTCAATCATTAGTGTATTGATTTTTGCAATAAAACAATTTTTTATGATTTTCAACCAATAAAAATCTAATAAATACAATCATTGTTTCTTGAAAACTGAAAAAGTATATCGAAAAAGTAGAAAATTTATCTTTGTGAAACAACAACTAATGTCTAGAAAATTCATTTATAAAAAATGGAGGGAGTACTATTTAGTCTATTATATTTTCACATATACTTCTTAATATTTTAATATGTATAAATTACTATAAACAAAGCCTCATTTTGTATAAATTTGTGTATATTATTCACAAAGTAAAATATTGTATTTTTTGTAAAAGACAATTAATAAAACTAAATTATATTCCCTTATAATTTGCCTATGTCACGGCTCTGTTCACACCATTGGAAAATATTTTCTATGATCAATTATAGTTTTATTACACACAAATCATCATTCCTTGCAATGTTATTTTAAACATTTTGAATCATACTCAAAATCATTTTCCGGCTACAAAAAAAACGTGAAAGACAAAATTGATTTTGTTGGAGAGCTCTTAGTAGTTAGAGATACATTATTTGGGGCAGTGTCAACTAACACATCTTTAAAGAGGAATTGTCATATCAAATTTTGTTTCATCGACTCAACTAAGTGTAATAAGGTGTCCATTCCTTGATACTACAGACATCTTTATCTATTATTGACCATCTGCTCATGGTTTCAAGTGATGGAGTGATAGATTGTGTTACAAAGAGAAAGTTGGCTATTGAGTTCGATGAAAAATGGTTATGGAGGGGTCGTGGTTTAGTTATTTGTGTTTTAGGCGACTGGCACATTACTGAAAACAAATGTTTGATTGTTATGCACTCTATTTCACAAGTTCAAATACATAAATTGTCAATATGATTATTTAGTTAATGATATTTATGAAGAAAGAAGGTTAAAGAACTTAGTGAAGATTCCGAGTCGTGTATGGAGGGGAGATAACAATGCAGTAAGATAAAATGCAGCCTCTTACGTTGTCACACTATAGGACAACTAATGATGTTATATAATAATAAGATTGATAACAAAAATATTCTTTCTTTGATATAAAAATTAAATAGCATTTTAGAGGGAAATGTGTAGCTATTAAACTGGTGATTATGCCACGCCACTTCACAGCTCAAGTGGAGAAGCAACAACACAATCACCACTTTTTTGCTTCACAATTCAATTGAAAAAAGCACAACAGAGGGTTGGATATGGAATAGGAGCAGAGAGACTTAGAAGCAGCATCTTTCTCTCGTCCTTCAGATATTTTTACTAATCAAGTTTTAAGATACAGTTCGGCCATAGCTTAACGATGCGAGGTAGAGATTCTTTCCCCATTTTTCCTGCGCAACAAAAGGCAAAAACAATGCAAACGATCTCAGGTATTGTTCATGGGAAGGGAGAAAAAACAAAAAAAAAACTCTTTGAGGTTAAGTGATCTTTGTGAGCTAACTCTACTCACCTTGACATGTGTGCTGGGGAATTGAGAGGTACGCAACGTCTCTTGTGTCTCATCGACTAGTCTACGCCGTGGGATACTTAGAATTAGAGCAGCTTGATCGGTTGTTGCTGCTGTTGATGTGATTCTGAATCCGCCATCCCAACGCCTGTGGATGCCTTCACTCGGATATAGAAAATCAAGTTCCACAACCTGTAAAGAGAGAGGGGAACAAGCAGACAATGGAGGAGATTAGAAATCAACACGACAAATCTGAAGGACGAGGAAGAAACTCATCAGATGAAGAACTAACCTGTTCACTGTAGCCAGAATTGCGGGACATAACAACACCCCATCGGCTTCCAGCTGTTGCCATTGAGGTCACATGGAATCCTTCTCTCCACTTCTTGTTTATCCACTTGAACGGGAATGAATCACTTACTTTGTAAGACTGCTGTGTGTACTGAGTACCTTCAAAACCCATTTCAAGACCAAACATAAGATGAAGTATTTATGATAAAGAACTGTTGACATCAAAGCAGGAAAAGTGTAGATACCTTTTGACATGACAACTAAAGAGCTTCCATTGCTTGCACCAGCAATAGAGCTTATGTAGTAGTTCTTCTCCCACTGTTCCATTATCCATTCCTGAAACACAACAGAGTTTACTCTCATATAAGATCATCTTGACAAAACACTGACATGAGAGTATTGAACAGAGAAACATCGCGTCACCTTGTGCAAGAAGACAGGAGAGAGTTCGTAGACTTGGTTTGTGAAGCCAGTTCCAGCATCCATTATCAATGCCCAGAGATTCGAGCATGATGATACACAGCTTATTAACAAACCATCTGCGATACCTCTCTCAATATGCTGTGCCAGTCTTATATCCGCCACATTGTAATGATACCTGGTTGCACAAGTAGATTGTCAGTCCAAAACTATTTTCACAGTAAACACAATGAACCCAAGAGTCCAAATCTGTAATATAACCAAGAAAAAAAAACGCAGTCCCACTCAGAAACTTTGATATCACAATGGAGGCAGTGGACAGATCAAGTACAATAACAGTTAACTGGTTGTATAATATCAACCGTGAACTTTTTTTTACCTCTGCTTCATTGGTTGCCTAGCATTGTAGATCGATATCCATTGCGTTGCAGGGACTCCTAGACGTACTTTTTTCCTAGGGGCATCTTCTTCTTCTTCCCCAATGCTCAACCTACCTCGCTTCTGTCCAACTTGAAAAATGATCTAGGAAAAAAAACAAAAGCAAGACGTCAAACAACAGCTCCACGATGACTACCTAATAGGAAATAAAAGAAAAGATAAACAGTATGAAAACGTCACCTTTTGAGCACCCTCTGTGTTTATAGGCCGAATTGCTGGATTTTCCCCCAAGAGGTCTTGGAAGAGAGATACTAATTTACCATAGTTGGGCTCCTCGTCAAATTTCATATTTACCACGATCTCAAGAAATTGCTTGAAAGGTGGGGGACAGAAACAACAAAGCATATCTGGCGATGTTGCCATCTTCTTTTTGCAAACGAGGAATGACTTGTTATCTCCCTGAAAATTGAGCAAGAGATAGGATTAGCAGAGAAAAAAAAGCATGCTAACAGCATCATTCTACAAAACAAAATGATAGGTCTGCAGTACCTGATATCCTTGCCATGGCAATCTGCCTCGGTGAAGGAAGATCAGTGTATATGCCAATGACTCGAGATCATCCCTTCTGCTAGCAGTTCTCCCCAAGTGAGCATGTGCACTTGCATATCTAACTGTCCCCCTATAGAAATTAAGAAGACGAAGATTCAAGAAAAGAGTTCGAGTAAATATACAAATCAAAATTAGGCAAGAGTTGAAAAATTATTACCTAAACATATCAGGACGTTGATCATATTCAACATGTTGTCCGCTACCACCTTCTCTCCACTTTGTTGCTGAAAAGTTGATTTAAGAAATGAGAAAGGAAAATAAGTAGTTAACAAGAATCACAGGGAGAAAGCAATCAACCAACCTAGTCCCAAATCAACAAGAAACAACTTCTTCTCTTGAGACGTGGAAGGCTGGCCAAGTAAGAAGTTTTCTGGCTTAACATCACCGTGCACATAACTGAAACGAAGCATATCATGAATTGTTAGACTAGTTAACAGAGAGAAAACATAATAACTTAGAAGTGCCAAAGGAACCTCGGGCAAACAAGATAAATACACAAAAAATAAAGGAAAATCAAGTACAAACCCTTTTGCATGCATCTTTTCAAGGATGGAGAGTGATTCAACTGCAATGCAAGCTACCATTTCCGAGGACATTCTGCTAGGAGAAGGGGAAAGGAATCGTTATGACAGTCACATTTTAATGGAAAAATACATCGATTATTAATGAAAAGACAAGAACTCTCCAAGGTTATGTAATGGAGACTCACGCTTGCCCTGAAGTATTCCATATATCCCATAAGCTCGGCCCGAGCATATCCATAACCTGAGGCCAAAACAAAAACAAAAAGGTACTATCACCAATGATACTGACAGGAGAAAATCAGAGAGGGAAGAGAAAGGGGACAATCCAGTACCATAACATAATAGTCTCCTTGCCTCCCTTTGAAATGTACTCTAGGGACTCCATGGCTACCACCCAAGGTGCTGTTCACAACAAAATAAAACGTTGATTGCATATTTCAACTCAAGGAAGTACCTAAACATCTGCGTAAAGAAGTTTTATAAACATAGTAAGAGAGACGAGAGATCGAACACCCACTTGTACACCTGCCACTCATGTGGAGGACCATAGTTGCAACCCTTACTGCTTCTATGCTCAAACTTTAGAGCAACCTATATAAGAAAAATCAAACATGTGAGACGACAATGTTAACACGATTACGCTGATAACAGGATCCTTGTGGAGACACAATCCGCCACAGTAGTAAGACACACTGAGTAACATTACCTCCAAAATGCTAGCTCCTGCACTACGTTCATTACCACCACTAAGACGACGTCCGACGAATACTTGTCCAAAACCACCCTTCCCCAGCTTCCTCTCAACCTTATACAACGGCGATCCTCCAACTTGGACCTGGCAGAAGACAGAATTGTTAGTCATTAATATGCAAAGAGGAGATGTAAGTCCACAATTTGTTAGTCTAATAACCCCAAACCATTCAAATGACAAAATCAAAACTTCGATGGCATAAACGAAAGGCAATTCAAGTTAATTCAGCAGCAAAAAATTGGAAGAATCAACAAACAAATAAATCAGAGAGAAAAATCTATACCCTCTCAGGGAAAGGAGCAGTATTTCCTTCTTCTTCCTGTGCAGCCGCCTTGTTAGAGCCACCGCTATCGTTACCGATTGCCATAACTTTCTTCTCTTCTTCACCGACTACCTCTTTGCCCTTACTTCGATCGATATCGATATCCTTGGAAAGTGCGAGAACCGGATTCTCCTGAACGATAACCTTATCTTCCTCCTTCAATTTTCTCGCCGCCAATCTCGTCCTCGGTCTCTCCGCGGCTTCTGTAACTCCGCCGGCAACCGGTTTCCGGGTTCTAACGGTACTCTTCCTCTGTTTCTTTTCCGCAGGCTGCTGATTCAGAGCTACAGCGTCAGTAACACGGCCACGGCGGACTCCACGGCGAAGCTCCGGCATAGCTCAAACCCCATGCAATCGAGACGGGACACGAAGAGTCCGATCATTATAGTCCTCCAGAGAAGATAGTCTGGCTCATGTCGGATTTGGAAAGCGATTTGAATTACAATCAGAGATCGATTTTCCGATGAAGAAAAAAAATTGATTTGGGAGTCTAGGGTTCGCCGGTTCGGTTGCGATGAAGAAAAGTTATGGATGAATTCCCAAAATGGAGAGAGAGAGAGAGGCGATGGAAAAAGGCGGTATCTATGCCACGTCAGCTATTCCGAGTCTGAAGTCTCTCTTCTTTTTTGTGAAATAAATAAAAATGGAATATGAAATATATTTCCTTATTTTGTCTGTAATATTTTCATATTAATAATACTGCGTATGAATCTTTGCTTGAATCACAACGGTCCGTGACCTGCGATTGATGAAAACAACCGTTCACGTTTTTAGTTAAGATATCAATTGTGATTTTTTTTTGGTATGAACTATGAATATATATTTACTATTTTGAATATTTTTTTTGAAAAAACGAGAGTATATAATATAGGCATAGCTGAATATATCTCCATTTGAAAAACATAGGTGTGGAAAAGATAATTATCCTCTAACAAATATTTTATTATTTACTTATAGAGTTTCTTTCACCTTCTTCATCTACCGCCTTAGTCAATATTTAACTAATTCCCTACTAGTATAAATATATGTGATCATCTCCTATTGTAACACAAGTTCAATACGAACAAGAAAACTTACTCACATACTCTCTCCTTACTTTTAATACATGAAGTCTCTCTTTCACCCTATCTCCCTCACATCAAACATAACTCTCTCTCTCTCTCTCCTTTCTATCTCATCTCATCTCCTCTCTCTTTTATTAACCAAGTTATATCAATCCACTATATCAATATATAGTGGTACATCTTTAGTTAGTTTTATAACACGTTATCAGCACGAACTGCTCTTATATTCTGTCTATTCAATTTTATTGATATGCCGGGATGCTAGGTTGTACCTACTCCGAGCAAATGATCATATGGTAGACTATGTCACCTTAGATCATATAAGAGTTGATGATAAAAATCTCCTCTTGGAGTTGAGACTTTACCTCCTCCTGAATATTTACTTTTCTGTAATTTACTTTTTCGCTATTTACTTTATTGCCATTTAAATTCCTGCTATTTACTTTTTGCAATTTAAATTCAGCACCTTAATTTTTACTAAATTCATGCTGTTATAATGCTCAAATTTTTATTACGCAAATTTGAATTTAATTGAATTTAATTAATGAATGGTATATGATCTATGCAGATATCATGTCAAATTTGGCTAAGCTCGAAATTTCCGCCCTTGATATTTCTGGAAACAATTATATGACATGGGCAATAGGTGCAAAAATGCATCTAAAAGGAAATGGGCTTCTTGATGCCATTGACAAGTCGAAAAAGACATCCGATGAGCAAAAAGGCGAAAGCCATGATCTTTTACTTCATCACATCCACGATGGTTTAAAAGATGAATACATCACTAAAGAAGATCCTGCGGATCTTTGGCAATCTTTGAAAGAAAGATTTGACCATCAAAAATATATAGATTTGCCCAAAGCCAAATACCAGTGGCTACACCTCCGATTTCAGGACTATAAAAGTGTTGTTGAATATAATTCTGCTATGTTCAGAATAATTTCCAAAATGGTGCTATGTGGAGAAAATGTGAGCGATTATGATATGATTGAAAAAACGCTCTCCACATTTCACCCTGGAAATATAGTCCTGCAACAACAATATCGGGCAAATGGCTATACTCGTTATTCAAAATTAATGGAAGTTCTCCTTGTTGCAGAACAGAATAACGAGCTTGTGATGATGAACCATCAGACTCGTCCCACTGGAGCTGCTCCATTCCCAGAAGCGAATGTAGCATCGTCCAGCCAAAATAATGGACGAGGCGTGGACGTGGATACGGTCGAAACCGAGGTCGTGGCCGTGGCCGTGGACGTGGTCGGGGACAAGGAAAAGAGTACCGTCCCGACGAATCCAACAATGAAAGGAATAATAAAAGGTCTCGAGCAAATGATTACGGCCGAGATTTCAAAAAGCAAAAAGAAAGTGTTTGCTACAGATGCGGCATGAAAAATCACTGGGAGCGTACTTGTCGTACACCCAGACACTTAGCCGATCTATACCGGGAATCACAAAAAGCAAAGGAGAAAGAAAGTGAGACTAACTTCATCTCCAGTGAACCCGGCCCTTCCTTTCATGGTCTAAACGATGATACTCATCTTGATGTTTCAGATTTTCTGGTTGACTCTGAAGAGATCAACGGAAAAACAGACGACTAAAAGGACATGATATACATAGTTGTCTTGCTGAAGAAGATAACCTAAAAGCTTGTACTTTTTGTTGTAAAATAGTTTTTAATGTGTTATTTTGTATCTTGTGATATAAACTTTGTACTGTTTAATACTTATTAATGCATCTTTGTTAAATCCAGAAATGACGCAATTTGAGACTCGTGATGGAGATATGTGTCTTGCAGACAGTGCTACAACGCACACAATACTCAAAGATAAAAGTTATTTCTCCGGTCTCAAAATTAAAGATTCCGTTGAAAGCGTGAATACCATTTCTGGTGGTGCAAAAATAATACTAGGCTCTGGAAGAGCCAGTTTTTCAATGCCAAGGGGAACAAAGTTTGAAATAAGTGATGCATTATATTCCCCTAAGTCTTACAGAAACTTATTAAGTTTCAAGGATATCCGTAAAAATGGGTATCACTTAGAGACTATAAATAAGAATGGCATTGAAATCCTTTGCATCAAATCGGAGGGACAAATATTGGAAGAATTGAAAATGTTGTCCTCCGGATTATATTGCACAAATATTACTTTGACTGAATCATATGTTACAGTAAACCCGAAGTTTACTAGTACATTCAAAATCTGGCATGAAAGGCTAGGGCATCCAGGTTCAGTCATGATGAGAAAGATTGTGCAAAACTCAAATGGCCATCCGTTGAAATACGGGAAAATCTTAGAAACGGGCGAGTTCATATGTAATGCATGTTCTCAAGGAAAACTCATAACTCGGCCATCACCAGCAAAAGTTGGGAATGAATCCCCTGTGTTTTTAGCAAGCTTAAAAAAAGCGGTCTAGGCGGCCACCTAGGCGGAGCGTAAGCGTTAAGCGGACCTTAGCCGATTGGATTACATGTAAATCGGCTTGATTAAGCGGAATGAATCATTCAGCTGTTTAAGCGGTTATTAGACGGTTATAGGCGGTTTAAGCGGGTTAAGCGGGTTAAGCAGGTTAAATTTTCTTCTTTTTTTAATGTAAAAATGATAAACAAATATGGAAACGGAAACGTTTTGTCGTCTAAGCTTCCTCTAACCTAAATTGGTTTTGTATCTGAGTCGATTCTTTTCTTTTCTTTTCATCACTAAAACCTGCATAGACGAAAGAAGCGGCGCTGTTTCAAGCATTTACGACTCCGTCACTCCGGTAAGCTTCACGAATTCATGCTCTGTTTTCTATTTTTTGTTTTTCTCTGTTCTTCTTTCTCCTGTCTTTTGACTTTCGTATCAACTATTAGTATATGAAGAAATATTGAAATATAGAAATACTAGGGACTGGTGGGTGATGCAATAATCAATGTATTAGTCTAACATCGTTTATTTAAACCTGATTATTTAAACCTGATATTATTTTATGTGTGATGATCACATGTCTGACCAAAATTGGTGTGCATATTTTGTCTTAAGCAGTTTTTCAAACAATGGCATCAAATTCTGAGGAACCGAATGAGACCCCAAGTTTACAGAGAAATTCAGGTGACGTTGGTTGGGAATTTGGAGTCTTGATCAACCCCAACAATTTGGACAAGGTGAAGTGCAGACTTTGTGATAAAGAGTTTTCGGGAGGAGTATACAGATTGAAACAACACATTTCTAGAATCCAAGGGAATGTCGCTAGTTGTCCAAAGTCAAATAAAGAAGAGCAAGACGTGTGCAGGCAAGCAATTATCGAAGCAAGAAATAAAAAGAAACGAGTCCGACTTAATGACGCTGAGATTAGAGGCACAGTAAATGTTAATCAAAGAAGAGAAGCGGAAGATGAAGTGATTGAGGTAGAAGGGATGGTTAACAAAATGCCTCGTATGTTTGGTCCTTTGGATAGATTTACTTCAACCATCCATCAACAGGCTCCTCAAGGTCCAGTATTGACATCGCATCAACAACATATTAAGAATGTTATTGCAAAAGACAAACTGCATGTGGTCCATCAATATGTTGCTAGATGGGTATATGCTCATGGGATTCCGTTTAATGCCATTGCAAATGATGATTTTAAGAGAATGCTTGAGGCTGCTGGACAATTTGGAGCAGGTGTGACTCCGCCTAGTCAATATCAGTTGAGGGAACCACTGTTAAAGGAAGAGGTTGGTAGAGTGAACAGTTTGATGAAAGTACAAGAAGTTGAGTGGAAGCAGACTGGATGCTCTGTAATGACAGATGCTTGGTCAGATAGAAAAAGAAGGAGTATCATGAATTTGTGTATCAACTGCAAAGAAGGTACACAGTTTCATTCGTCTAAAGATTGCTCTGATGATGCCCATACAGGTCAATATATTTTTGAGTATGTTAATGAGGGCATCAAGAAAGTGGGTGGAGATAATGTAGTCCAAGTGGTAACGGATAATGCCACTAACAATATGGCTGCTGCAAAGTTGTTAAAGGAGGTGAGACCATCCATATTTTGGACATCTTGTGCAACTCATACAATAAATCTGATGGTGGAAGGCATTGCCAAGCTTCCGTTGTTTGAAGAAGCGATAAACAAGGCCAAGGCATTTACCATTTTCATCTATGCCCATCACCGGACTTTGGCTATGATGAGAAAATATACAAAGAAAGGAGACATTGTGAGGCCTGGAGTAACTAGATTTGCATCTGCTTTTCTGACTTTGCAAAGTTTGATGAAGAAGCAAGAAAATTTAATGATGATGTTTGCTAGCAACGATTGGAGACAATGTCAATGGGCAAAGCATCCTAAGGGACTCACAGCCTATCATACAACAATGAATATGGAGTTCTGGGATAGTGTGGAAACGTGCATAAAAGTCTTTGCAGCCTTGGTTAAAGTTCTTCGGCTAGTTGACGGCGATCTGAAACCAACAATGGGGTTTCTACATGGGGAGTTAGAAGAAGCAAAGAAAGAGATATGCAACGCTCTAAACAATGTTGAGAAGAACTTTAAACCAATCCTCAATATCATTGAGCAGAAGAGTCAAGGTCGGCTTGATAGTCCGCTTCACTGGATGGCATTTTTTTTGAATCCCTATTATTTCTATAAGGATTTGACTATTCAGTTCGACAGAGATGTCACTACTGCTACTTTCAAGTGTCTTGATGCTTTTTTCCCCAATGATCTTGAGACTCAAACATTTGTCATCAACGTTGAACTTCCAAAGTACACAAAACAAGAGGGAAACTTTGGGCATCCAACAGCTATTAGAGGATGTTCCAAAAATGATGAAAATTATGATCCAGGTATGTCTCTTAAGTCTTAAGTAAGCTTCTATGTTTTCAGTTTTGAGTATATCTCATATAAAGTTTACTAATCATATATGTTTTTAGTTCAATGGTGGAATTTTTACGGTGTTGAGGTTCCCAATCTACAAAAAGTGGCAAGAAAGATTTTGTCTTTGACAACTAGCTCATCCGGATGTGAACGTAACTGGAGTATATTTGAAGGGGTATCTATCTAAACTACAAAAGTTATAGCTTTCTTGTGTTACCAAATATTTTGGATTTGTGTCTCAAATCCAAATGTTAATTTTTGTGTAGGTACACATTAAGAAACGAAATAGACTTGATACAAAACGGTTGAATGATCTTGTTTATGTCCAATTCAACATGAGATTGTTAACCAAAAGAAAGAAGCAAAATGAGAAGAAAGGGGATATACTACGTGCAGATTCTGCTGTTCATGCTCAAGATTGGATTGTTGAAGAAAGTGAGATGGAACTAGGAGATAATTGTGAAACTACGGAAGACATATCTGAAGGCAATGGTTTGGTTAGGGAGCTTTATGAATCTGATGATGGGGAAGAAGTTTACATTGACTTTGAGTCCGATGATGAACATTTTTAGGGAGAAATGTGATTAAAATCATCGTAATATTCTATTTATCTTTAAAAACTCTAGTTTTTGCTTATTTAGTTACATTTTATGTTTAATTTAACTTTTTTATTTATAGCTGGATCATTTTTATTGAGATTATCTTATGATATATATATATATAATATTATTATTATCATAAAAACGCCTACACCGCCTACAAAATCGCCTAGGCCCCGATTAGGCGTTCTAGGCACTAGGCTAAGGGTCACCGCCCGCTTAGCGCCTAGCGCTTTTATGAAGCTTGGTTTTTAGAGAGAATACACGGTGATATATGTGGGCCTATTCACCCACCATGCGGACCGTTTCAATACTTTATGGTATTAATTGACGCATCAAGTAGATGGTCACATGTGTGTCTTTTGACAACACGAAATACGGCTTTCGCAAGATTCATTGCCCAAATAATCAGGTTGAGAGCACAATTCCCTGATTATACTATTAAGAAAGTGAGATTAGATAACGCTGGTGAATTCACTTCACAGCCTTTAATGACTATTGCATGTCATTGGGAATCGATGTTGAGCATCCGGTTCCACATGTCCATACACAAAATGGCATGGCTGAGTCTTTGATTAAACGGTTGCAACTGATTGCAAGACCGTTAATAATGAGAACAAAACTCCCAATTTCAATATGGGGTCATGCTATTTTGCATGCTGCAGCGTTGCTCCAAATACGACCAAGTGCTTATAATATATATTCCCCATTGCAATTGGCATCTGGTCAGGAGCCAAACGTATCCCATCTCCGTGTTTTTGGTTGTGCGGTTTATGTTCCGATAGCACCGCCACAAAGAACAAAAATGGGGCCACAAAGGAGATTGGGAATATACGTTGGGTATACGTCACCGAGTATTATTCGGTATCTTGAACCTCAAACTGGTGATATGTTTACGGCACGTTTTGCCGATTGCCATTTTAATGAAGATGAATTTCCAGCGTTAGGGGGAGGAATTAAAGAGGTTCCAAAAGACCTCACATGGTGTACACCGAATTTGTTACACTTTGATCCCCCGACAAAACAACGCGAATTGGAAGTTCAGAAAATTATACATTTACAAAATATGGCAAATCAATTACCAGATTCGTTCACAGATACAAAAAGAGTGACGAAATCATATATACCCGCTGCAAACGTTCCATCAAAGATAGATGTTCTAAGGAACAAAATGATGGAAGCATAGCAAATGCACCCAAAGTCCAATTAAAGAGGGGGAGGCCGATGGGCTCTAAAGATAAAAATCCCCGAAAGAAAAAGAATTTGGGAGAAAAGGTTCAAGAAGAACCTTGTAAAGAAATATGTCTAGAAGACATAAACAAAATGGTTTTTGAAGAACCAGAGAAAGAGATTCGTCCAGAAGACGAACATGATACAGAAAAATTTGAGATTTCCATCAACTTCGCCCAAAATGGAAAAGTATGGACAAGAAATGAAATAGAAGATGATGATGGAATATTCTCTTTTTCTGTATACAAAGAGATCGATCATGAAAGTGATGATCCAGATCCAGAAACAATATCAGAGTGTCTCAAAAGACCTGATTGGGAGAAATGGAAAATGGCCATCCAAGCTGAATTACTCTCCCTCAATAAAAGAAGTGTTTTTGGACCTATTGTCACAACTCCTGAGAATACAAAACCCGTCGGGCACAAATGGGTTTTTGTAAGAAAAAGAAATGAGAAAAATGAGGTCACAAGATATAAAGCCCGACTTGTGGCTCAAGGTTTTTCTCAAAGACCGGGAATTGATTATGAAGAAACATATTCCCCGGTAATGGATGCCATAACATTCAGATTTTTGATGAGCTTAGCAGCGTCTCAAAATCTTGAAATGTATCTCATGGATGTTGTGACAGCATATCTATATGGATCTCTTGAAAATGAGATATATATGAAAATCCCAGAAGGGTTAAAAATGCCTGAGGATTTGAAATCAAAGGCTAAGGAGATCTGTTCGGTCAGATTACAGCGATCACTTTATGGACTAAAACAGTCCGGACGCATGTGGTATAATCGCTTAAGTGAATATTTGTTGAGTAAAGATTACGTCAACAATGCGATATGCCCTTGCGTATTCATTAAGAAATCCTCTTCAGGATTTGTGATTATTGCTGTATATGTAGATGACCTGAACATGATTGGAACTCAAAAGGAAATTGATGATGCAAGAACTCATATGAAAGAAGAGTTTGAAATGAAAGATCTTGGAAAGACAAAGTTTTGTCTTGGGCTCCAGATAGAGCATTTCCAAGATGGTATATTTGTGCATCAGTCAAATTACACTAAAAGAGTGTTAAAACGCTTTTATATGGACAAAGCAACTCCTTTGAGTACTCCAATGGTTAATAGATCTCTTGATGTTGAAAAGGATCCATTCCGTCCTTGTGAGGATAACGAGGAAGTGTTAGGTCCTGAAGTACCTTACATGAGCGCTATTGGTGGACTAATGTATCTTGCAAATTGCACTAGACCAGATATAGCATTCGCTACTAATCTGCTTGCAAGATATAGTTCGTCCCCTACGCGCAGACATTGGAATGGAATAAAACATATTTTTCGTTATCTTCAAGGATCAATTGATTTAGGATTATTTTATCCTAAAAACTCAAAATGTGTTTTAGTTGGTTTTGCTGATGCAGGATATCTATCAGATCCACACAAAGCTAGATCACAAACAGGTTATGTTTTCACAATTGGTGGAACCGCGGTCTCCTGGCGTTCGCAAAAGCAAACTTTGGTTGCAACGTCTTCAAATTATGCAGAAACTATTGCTCTCCATGAAGCATGTAGAGAGTGTGTGTGGCTCCGGTCTATGACTCATCACATACAAGAATCAAGTGGAATAGTCACAGAGAAAGAGCCAACAAAAATATTTGAAGACAATTCTGCATGTGTCACACAACTCAAAGAAGGTTATATCAAGAGTGACAGAACGAAGCATATTCCTCCAAGATTTTTCTCATACACTCAAGAACTCCAGAAAAATCAAGAAGTGGACATCGAGTATATTCGTTCAAGTGACAATGCAGCCGATCTTTTTACAAAGGCGCTTCCTACTACAGTGTTCAAGAAGCATGTTCACAGTATCGGAATGCGTCGTCTACAAAACTTGTGAAAAGAAAAGATTCTATCTTTTCCAGGGGGATTATGCTACGGTACTCTTTTTCCTAAGTCATAGTTTTTATCCCATTGGGTTTTTCTATGACATAGGTTTTTTAACGAGACCGTACATAATACAGACGGATAATTAAGGGAGTGTTAGAAAGATAATTATCCTCTAACAATATTTTATTATTTACTTATAGGTAAGTTTCTTTCACCGTCTTCATCTATCGCTTAATCAATATTTAACTAATTCCCTACTAGTATAAATATATGTGATCATCTCCTATTGTAACACAAGTTCAATACAAAAGAAAACTTATTTACATACTCTCTCTTTCCTTTTAATACACGAAGTCTCTCTCACACTCTATCTCCCTCACATCAAACGTAACTCCCTCTCTCCTTTCTGTCTCATCTCATCTCCTCTCTCTTTTATTAATCAAGTTATATCAATCCATTATATCAATATATAGTGATACATCTTTAGTATAGTTTTATAACAAGGTCTATAATCTCCATAGACAACAAAATATACATTTCTAATCAATAGAGGATTTTCAAATCACCTAACACGGTAACAGTGAGCCTTTGTGCCACTTATTTTGACCCAAATGATCAGTTTCATGTATAGACAATGACTTTTTTATTTCTTTTTGGTAGATGAAATCAAAAAAATTATAATATAGTAATAAATTAACTAGAAACGTTTGATTAAGTTTGTGAAAACTGAAAAGACAATACACACCCACAACGATCGCACTACACAACACACATATGAAACAAAGCCAAACAAACAACTTTCGATACGTGCAAATGTTACGTAAGTAAATGAAATCAAAATTGACATTATTACAAACACATAAATGTATCAGTAGTGCACGATAAAACAGTTGTACTCAACAGTGGCTTCACCGCCCTTGAAATCGAAAAACTTGGTCTCAGCCGTGACATAACCTCTAGCGAACCGGAAGATTCCACTTCCTCCGACCACCGGCATTTCCCTAACCTTGGTAAATACCGGGTTCCGACCAAGAATCGTGATCGTACTCCCATTGTATTTTCCGGTCTTGAAAGCGAAATTCATAATCATCAAGTAGCAAATATCTCCTTGAGCCGCGTCGGCATAAATCCCTTGGGCCTGGCCTACCACAGTCGAGTTCCTTGGCATATCCGTTGTCAATGGGTCGTCCATCATGGTCATCGCTCCGAATGAGGAGGAGTTCGAGACCGGCTGTTGGATCACGACGGCGCTAGGGTTTCGACCTTTTAACATGTCGTGCCAGTAGAATCGGAGATAGGTGAGTTTCTCCTTTTTGTAGAGGCCGAGGTGTTTTGGGTTCATCGTTCTTGCGAAGTCTCCACCGTCTCCGGCGAGAGCAAGGGCGGCGAGGAGAAGGATTTTTGCGACGAGAACAAGGATGAGCTTTGTCATGTTTGTGGTTATTTGCGTATGTAGATGAAGGTTCGTGTTGTGTATAACGAGCGTGTGTGTTTGTTTGTTATATAGAAGAAAAAAGGAGTGCGAATGTGATATTTGGGATTTTTTTTATCCTAGAAAACAATATTGGTTTATTCTATTAGTGGTCGTTTGCTAGATTGAGGTGGTTATCTAAGTTTGTTAATTATTATGCTAGTTACATGACAGCTAGATAATTAGCACTTGTACATAAACAGTCGTTTCTATATTTGTATATTCTTTCACAAAATAATAAGAAAGCCCACTTGACACTTCTCCAATTCTCTTCTCTGAGTTCTAGCTCTCTCTCTCTCTCTCTCTATCTCTCTTGGTTAATACCTTGGACTGTTGGACACTTATGATTAGACGTTAGTATCATAATAACTGAGATTTGTTGGATTCTTTCTGAAGTATGAAACCTTGATGTACGCTGTTAATTAGTGGTCGTTTCCTAGATTGAGGGGGTTTATAAGTTTGTTAGAATACTAGTATCACAGCTAGATAATAAGCACTTGTATATAAACACTCATTTGCAATCTTGTATCATTCATTAATTAATGAGAAAACACCCTTAACAAGTCTTTCTCTCTCTCACAGACACACTCTTGAGCTTCATATATCATTTGGACACTTGTGATTATATACGTTAAAATCACATTATTGAGATTTGTTGGATTGTTTCTAGAGTATCAAACCAATATTGATGTACGCTAGTTCGTAGTGTCAGGGTAGTTGATTCCAGTTCAAGTTATCTTTTTCTAGATACACTGATTAGTGGGATATTTTAATACCCTTTTGAATTAGTATATAGTATATGACGTTACTAAATGGGTGGGTTCATGACGTTACTTAAGTAAGATGTATTATATACTTTATTGTGAGAGTTAAAGAAAATATATTCGTATGTTCAATTATAAGCGTAGATGTGCGTCAAAAACATTGGAAAGTGCTTGTTTTATGTATTAGCCTGGCGCGGCCATTTGGCTGGTGGAGGTGTAAGTACGGAAATCTAATATATATTTGCCCAAACCAAGTCGCAGAAATATTTGAAGTTTTATTTACTACGATTTGTTGCGCAGTCGTATGATTAACCGGGGGACTCCGTGAGTAATGTGAACAATGTTCTTAGTAAACCACAAATGACTTTTGGACGATTATTCGTTTCTTGAAAAACCCGAAGAATTGAAAGTGCCAAAGTGCACCACAGTTCAATAATGTCCTGCATAATTGATCAAAAATGCACCACAACCCTAAAACGGCATTATTGTCATACTTTTAAAAATCAAAAATGAAAAGGAAAAAAGTGCATGCACCACAGTTCAATAATGTCGTGCATGATTGATCGAGTGTAAATTATATTTATAATGCATATATAGTTGTAAAATATATACAGCGTAAACTATAGTTGTTAAGTACATATTCGTAGATATAGGAGAAATTTTAATAAAATACACTTTTTGGGAGTGTTAATTTTCAAAACTATACCTTTAGTGTGACAATTTTAAAAACTATATTTACAAAAAAAATATATATATATGTTTTTTTCACTATTCCCTAATTAGGATTTAGATTTAGGGGTTTAGGGTTTAAATTTAATGGTTCAAGGTTAGTTTTAGGGTTTAGGTTTAATATTTTAGGGTTTAAAACTCAATGGAAAATGATATATAATAAGTGTAGTTTTGAAATTTCTCCTAGATATAAGGTAGATCGAAGAATTAATTTTGACCTTGCATAATTGAATTATAAAAACTATAAAATACCCTTCTAAAAATAAAAGTAACAGTACTAACACGACTTTTTTTTCTTGGCAACTCTTACCTTCATCAACTTAAACTTGGAGACTACAATACGAAAAGAGAATTAAACATCCTTCGCGTGACAGTGATTTAAAAGCAAAGCTCCAATGTGTTAAAAGAGAACTCACGATCGGACCGGAAAAATGTGACCTCGAGTGACACATAATTAAAATCACATATATACAGTATTTATGAAATTGCATGAGGGGTACAAGTATAAATAGTAGTAAAGACACATAGAGTTTGTTAACGGGATTCGTTTCCTAAATCCCCGAAACCTCGTCCAGAATCTACTATAACAAGATTGCAATTACAAATGCTATGGTATCCAGCACTACAATGCCTACCATTCTCTCCTAGATGGATACATTCAAACAATGCCCTTAACCCTTTGTTTGGTCTTCCTACTAGAACCCCAAAACCATTGCTAAGGCATCTTCGAATTTAATGGGTTGAGCACATCCAATGCTCTCCACGTCCTATTTATCCACAATAGGTACGCTTTGAAACCCTTCAAGATTTCTCCCTTGGTGATCACTCCAAATCTCCAAGAGAATATTTATTTCCTTATTTTTCTCTAGGAAAAGGAAATATTCCTAGTTGCTTGATAGCTTCGAATCTCTTCGTCCAACTCAGCTCTTGACTCTTCTAGAATCTTCTAGATTCGTCTTCATCAGCTACAAGCATACGTCCAGCCCATCATATCGATTCCTTAAACCCATCTGTTGAACACGACTCTTTGTACTACTTCTTGACTGATACATGAAGTCCTTCATCAACTGTATCTTCACCAAGTATAGAAGCATCCATGTTGAGTACAACATAATTATATCAATTCGAAAAAAGTTATAATAGTCCATAGTACTTTCTTCATATAAAAATGCGCTGATAAAAATTAAACAGTAAGTAATCTCTATCCGACTTTTATGGCACCTAAATCTGAATGTGCCAGTAATCTAGTGGTAGTTGGCTTGGGACAAAGACGTGGAAGCTCCATCCCGAGTTCGATTCCCATATGAAACAAGCTTACTTGTATACTGTATGTTTGGATAAGCCAAGAAGTTGTCCAATTAATTGTTGATCTGGTGGACTGGCTTTCTCGGCTAATCAGTGCAGTTTTTGGATTAGTTGGGTTTGAGTGTGTTGTCAGACGATTGTGCTATTTCATTTTTTTGCAAAAACATGTTGAACCTAAACTCTTTAAATTCGGTGTCGAAGTCTAGATCACCCAAATCTATAATACAATTACAAATCTGAATCATTAGTTTCTTTTGAATAAAGGTTCTTGTCAGAAAACGATACCACACGTGTTAAATGACGTTAATGATTAGGACAACGACAAAAGAAAAGACGTTAGCTCATATCTCGTTGCCGGAAAAAGCTTATGAAAGTGGTGAAATAGCGAAATGTATGGAGTATGGACCCGGTTTTCCAATTTCCTAACCATGATGTCATGTCTAATGATTTAGAATAATGGATCTTCTTGGTGCTACACAAATACACAAGCGGAAGTCATTTGAAGTGAATTTTCTCGAAAGGTTGGTGGTTTGAATATTTAAGCACTCTAAGGAAAACCTGAAACTCCAAATTTATTATACATGTGAATGTCTATCTCTTTGATGCTATGGAGGAGTATGGACTCATAGGTCTTCACCTTTCGAAACCCTTAGATACTTTCCTTAGCCACATTACTTCGGGAGTACGTAATACAATTATGTTGTTAGTTTTGGAGGTCTATACACACGTGTTAGTTTATCGCAGAATTGGTAAAATATTGAATCCAAAATATGTCATTAAGGTTCTTTTACACACACACACACACACACACACACAAAAAAAACATGTAATTAAGGTTCATATATATCTCAAAAATCAAATATGACTGTAATTTTGTTAGTTATTGTTGAGCCATCCTAAAACCAAACTATAATATTTATAGATCAAATTTCGCTATTGCTATATGTACTATAATATTAATTTCGTTATGATCGTCTCAGCACAATCACATCTGTCATCAGATTATTTAAAAGGGGCGATTGCTGAAGATTACATGGAGGACATATAATCTTGATTATAATTCTATTATTAATGCAAGACATAACAGTTATACTCAACAGTGGCGTCTCCTGACTTATGATCGAACCAGCTAGTCCTAGCCTCGACATAACCTCTAGCGAACCGGAAGATTCCACTTCCTCCGACGATTGGCATTTCCCTAACCTTGGAATAGATTGTGTTCCGACCAAGAATTGTGATAGTACTCCCATTGTACTCTCCTGTCTTGAAAGCGAAATTCATTGCCATCAAGAAACCTACCTCACTTTGGTCATCCCCGGCGTAGAAACCTTGGGCCTGGCCCACCACAGTAGAGTTAATCGGCACATCAGATGTTAGTGCGTTGTCCATCAATGTGATTGATCCGAAGGAGGTTGAGGATTTTGGAACCGACGGCTGGATCCTGACGGCGCTAGGGTTTCCTCCGCTTACGATGTCGTGCCAAAAGACTCGGATATGGGTGAGATTCTTCTCTTTGTTGAGGCGGAGGTGTTTTGGGTTCATGGTTCTTGCGAAGTCTCCACCGTCTCCAGCGAAAGCAAGGGCTGCGAGGAGGAGGATTTGTGCGAGGAGAATAAGGATGAGCTTTGTCATGTTTGTGCCTTTATGGACCTTGTGGTTATGTAGATGAATTTTTGTGATGTGTATAACGAGAGTGTGAGTGTGTGTGTTATATAGAAATAGAAGAAGAAAGGCGTGCTAGCTAGTGTGATATTTGGGCTTTTTTATCTTACAAAACAATACTGATTAGTCTATTAGTGGTTGACTGGTTGTTTGCTAGATTGAGGTGGTTACATAAGTTTGTTAGAATGCTAGTTACATGACAGCTATATAATTAGCACTTGTGTATAAATAGTGGTTTTTAATTTTGTACATTAATCTACTAACTAATAAGAAAACGCATGTAACACTTCTCTTCTGTAAGGTCTCTCTCGCTTCATGCCTACGAGACTACTGATTAGATGTAGAATCACAAATTGACAATACCGGAGATTTTGGTTTCTCTCTAAAGTATGAAACCAATTGTTGATGTACGCTAGTTCCTACTGTCTGGATAGTTGATTCCAATTAGTTTTCTTTTGACTGGTGGTGACTGGTGAGTAGGGTAAAGTAAACCTAATATTTTCCAAAAAGCAAGTCCCGTACATTAATATTTTCCAAAAAAAAAGATGTTAGTTTTCTTTTTAAATTTGTGTTAGCTAGTTTACGGCTTTGATATTCGTTACAAAGAAAAAGTGGGAAAGTAATATAGAAATTATGATCTACATGACTACATCATTTGCGTTAATGAGTCGTAAAATTTACGGTGTGAAATCTTATATATAAATTTTGCAATATTTAAAGCTTACAATATAAGTAAGTACAAACGAATTGACGACAAAAACAAAGTACAAACGAAATGAGACATTTTCTCTTTTGTGGTTCTGTTTTTATTTTCGCTGTAGGGCAAGTTTTTTTTGTTGGTTAAAATTTTCACGCTCTACTTTTTCTTATATGTTGAGGAGACTTCTCTTTTCTTGTTTGTTTCTTTGCGAGTATAGCGTGATGTATGTATTAGAGACGTACGTCTCCTAACGAGGTATTAGAAACCGTAACGTTTTATACTGACGATCTTTAGTTCAAATTCTCGTTAATCACCTCGTTATACTTACATCTCTAATACATACATGCATTTATGTAATATAAGTATATAACCATCTATGCACAAGTTCGTTCTCATAGATCCTAACGTCTATGAAGTCACTTATGTTAATAGAGTGATCTCACAAATCATGTAACAAAAAGAGACTAGTATATATAACAATTTACAACTTCACATGCGTATATATACATGCATACTCTCATAAAACATACATATATACTTTATACGTGAATTTGTATTCTTTTATTTCCGTTAAAACGTTGACTTCCATACAAACACGCTTGTGTGCTTTCACTATCTGCCAGCCAAACAATACACCAGTTATGTCAATTCCCAATCTTTTCATCATTAAAGTGTTTCCAACTAAAGAAAAATTTAATAACAAAAATATATTCTAGTTATTTCACACTTCTACAAAGAAAACAAAAATACACTATAATTACATCATTCAAGCTGTTTCGTAACATCATGATGTAATATTCGATTCTGATCATGAACAACATTCTATTACTGTCTAGTAGTCGATTCTTCGGCTATCGACATATACTAACCAAAATTTCTCCCACCAACGCTCACTTGAATTTTGTCTCTGATATATACTGTATTTTTCCTTTTTTTCCACGCACTTTAGAAGTTTATATTTTACTATCATCACTATGAACACTCATACCAAATTACAGATAAGTGAACTTTTATGAAATTCTTATCCAACCGGACCAAATTAATACCGCCTAGGCCATGATAAATCTCAAATCTCAATCATACCAAACTGTAGTGTGAGATATATCAAAATCACGTATAAAAAAAAGAAGGTTGCAACATCTTGAAATAGACATAATTACCCCCGCAAACAATCATCCCATCACTCAAACCGACACCAGACAACATAAAGCGAATTAAAAATACATAGAAACCATCATTATCATCAATAATGCAAGACGTAGCAGCTGTACTCAACAGTAGCATCTCCTGACTTGCGGTCGAACCACATGGTCCGAGCCTCGACATAACCTCTAGCGAATCGGAAGAGTCCACTTCCTCCAATCACCGGCATCTCCCTTACCTTGGTCAACACCGCGTTCCGACCAAGAATCGAGATCGTACTTCCGTTATATCTCCCTGTCTTGAACGCAAAGATCATCACCATGAGCGCAGACGCCTCGTGTTGGCCCGTACCGGCGTACATCCCTTGTGCCTGGCCTACCAAAGTCGAGTTTACCGACACCTCCGTAGTTAATCGGTTATCCATCATAGTGACCGCTCCAAAGAAGGAAGAGTTGGATGGAGGAGGTAGCAGCATGACTGCGCTAGGGTCTGAGCCGCTTAGGATGTCATGCCAGTAGACACGGAAATAAGTTAGTTTTTCCTTGCGGAGGCCGAGACGTTTACGGTCAATGGTTCTCGCAAAGTCTTCGCTATTTCCGGCGGAGACAACGGCTGCGAGAAGGAGGATTTGGAAGGCGATGATGAGGATGAGCTTTGCCATTTGTGTGAATTGTGGTATGCGTTTTTATTACTCATTGATGGTGTGGGTATATAACTATATATAGACTGTATAGTAAAAAGAAGAAGAAGATGGCCTACGTATATTTATACATATATATGCTAATATACGCTAAAGTATATTGATATGTATGCTACTATACGCTGAGGTATGCATATATGCTAAAAACATGGGCGGGATCAATATTTGATTTTTATCTGCGCTATAGCTGTATCGCTGGCCGGAAAAAGAATGCGGTAATACGCTGAAGTAGCTAATATCTTATTTCTCTCCACCGAACTAAGATTCCCAAAAAGGAAAAAAAATTCATATATGTGGGTTCGGAAAACCACACTCAAAATTTATGTGTATTTTGTAGGGAGAAATTGCCTGTGGAATCAGAGGTTAGATTCTGATGTAAGTCGAATGATTCGTAGACAAATATTTGACGAAATCGGACTTAGGCTAATCGAATAAAGTGGTTACAAAACCGGCCTAAAAGACCATGTAAAACACTAGGATTCGACTAAGCAAAAGAGATGGAAATGAGGTGGTGGCTGCGCTCGTTAACGAGCTGCCTACGTACCCTGTTTTAGGGATCAAGCCAGAACGTAGTTCGATTGTAAGTTGTTCTCTATTTCGAGTCGTTTTCTGAAGAGAAATGACCACGAAAAGAGCTAAAGGGGTGTGAAGATGACGATAAATCTCAGGTTATCGGAGTGATCCGAAGGTAAGAGATTATGTCGAACTTCTGCCGGAAGTGATTTCCGGCTAGAAAGATCAGGGCTTTCTGGGATTATCTCAAAGACCAAGGATAAGATCGAAGAGATATGATGTTATCTCAGCGAAAGAGAAGCTATCAAGACGTGAAGAACTTGTTTCTCAGAAGTGAGAAAGATAGAGATTTCTCAGAAAGATGTAGAAGAGGAAAGAACATTCTGCCTTGTGATCAAGAATCGTCCTCTTTTATAGCTCCGAAGTAGATCGCAACCTCCTCCGCGTATCTCGTCCACGTGCAACTACCGATCCCGCTATTTCCGGATCTGAACAGTCGAAGCGAGATTCTCGTTTGACTCGTTCAAACTCAGCTTGTGGACTCGACTCCGTCGAGCTAGAGCTCGACTTCGTCTTCACAAGTAGCTCGGACAGTAAACAGCTGGATTTTGGACAAGGATACTTGGTGGGCTCGAGGTCATTTTACTGGGCCTGAGTGGACTTATCTTGACCTTAGGACTTAGGTGATGGGCCTTATGGGCCGGATTTCTGGAGGGAAATCCAGGTCCAACAATATATCATAAGATTCTTGGGAAATATTAAGGATGTTTAATCAAGAACTTAGTTTGATTTTTGTAAGAAAAAAGTAGTTTTGAACTACAACTAATTTGATTTTCGTATAACAAAAAGTAGAATTTCATTAGCATAAATTGATTTTCATGACTTTGATTTAGGTAGACAGTGCTAAGTTATAATATTCCATGGGCTAATTGAAAATTTATCTTTGGAAAAAGTCTTATATCGCTTTTTTTTAAAAAATCGGTATATATATATATATTTTTTTTTTATCTCAGACAATTTTTTTTATTATTCTTTTTGCTATTTTCTATATTTAATTGAATTTTGTCTACCAACTAGCAACGTGGCACTTGGGGACTGGCTACTGAATATATTTGTCGACGTTTTCCTTTTGTTAGGGTCAACGGTTCTAGTTCATACGTCCAAGTCTTTTTTTGTCCCCCTCGAATATGTCCAAGTCCTTTTAGTCCCCCTCAAATACGCCCAGTCTTTTTTTAAATCATACAGTTAATTTAACGATTAGAATCTCAGTTTTGCTGGTTTGACTTGAAAAAACAAAAATTGTATTGGTTTGGTGGTCACTATACAAGTGTTTGGTGTAGTTTGAGTTGCTGACTTGCTGTCAAACATTGACATCTCTCGGTACGTAAATCTGCATATATATATCTTCTTCATCTATACTTACGATATTATACTAAAAATGTTATTACAGAACCCCAAAAATATTTCTTGCGAGTTACTAAGTTTGGACCTGGAGCACGTATTGTGTATATTTATATTAATTTAGCTCTTAAAATGAGTTTTTAATTTTTTATATAAGCTCCTAAATTGAGCTGTACAAGAATATATGATTGGTGAATAATCACTCAAAAGTTTGCATTATTTTCCCTTATATCTGTTTTCTTCGTGAAAACATTTTAAAATAACCAAGCAGACAAAGACAAAGGCATCAAACCAAACGACAAGTTCATAAACATAAAACTCAATTATTATTTCTGAAATACATAATCATAAATCATTAGTAATGCAATACATAACAATTATATTCAACGGTAGCGTTTAAGGTCTTGAAATCGATCCACATGGTCCGAGCCTCAACATAGCCTCTAGCGAATCTGAACACTCCACTTCCTCCGACCACCGGCATTTCCCTCACCTTCGTTGTCACCTTGTTCAGACCAAGAATCGTGATCGTGCTTCCCTTGTACTTGCCCACCTTAAACGCCAAGTTCATTGCCATCAACACTCCCACCTCCTTTTGGGCCACGTTAGCATACATACCTTGCGCCTGGCCCACTACAGTCGAGTTGACCGAGACTTCAGTGGTCATCTGGTTGTCGAATATGCTTACTGACCCAAAAAGGGAAGAGTTGGACACAGGCGGTCGGATCACGACGGAGCTTGGTTCCGGGCCGCTTAGGATGTCGTGCCAGTAGACACGGATATGGGTGAGTTTCTCTTTCTTATGGAGGCCGAGGTGTTTTCGGTTCATTGTTCTTGCGAAGTCTTCGCTGTTTCTAGCAGCGGCAAAGGCGGAGGCGGCGAAGAGGAAGATGATGAGGATGAGCTTTGCCATATTTTTGTGGTGCGTTTACGATTCGTGTAATTGTAAAGATTGAGTGTGTATATGTGTATATAGGCATTAGTTCTATAGTATACGAAATTAAAAGAGGCGAATGTATATAATATTTGCCACAATTATTACTCCTTAGTGGTGGTGGTTGGCATTCTTCTTTAAGATAACCAACATAAAATCTACATACATATTTGGATATAATATTTGCCACAAAACTATGGAAGAACCTTAACCTATTCGATTTCAAATTTCAGCGTATGGAAGAACCGTAACCTATTCGATTTCAAATTTCAGGTTAATGACTTCTATCATACATTATAAATGACTTTGTTTAATCTACATAACTAATAAGCCTTGGGACACTCTCCAGCTGGGGACACGTGGCATTCTTTTTTTTTTCGCCTAACACCAAAACGACGTCGTTTGGCAAGCCCCAATCTATCATGCTAAACCATCGGAAACTCAAAAACTTCAACGATGTTCTCTTCCTCTCTTTTCATATTCCCATTCTCAGAATTGGTTTCTGCAAACTATATACTCCTGAAACTAAACTATTATGTACTAACCTGTTCTCAAGGATAGTGAAAAGGACTTGAGACATCAACTCATCAAGGAGTTATGCAAAATTGAGGTAATGCTCTCAATGGGTTTTGACTTTTGAGATAATGCCTTTAGTCATAGGATTATTTTTTTACTGACCTGCAAATTCTGCTGTGTATATAGCAGACATTATATATATATATATCTTGATTTATGTTATCAGAACTTTGAAAGCATCATCATTTTACAGCTGTAGCAAACGAAACATTCAACTGAACTACATTCAACTGAATTCCTCCTGAGATTAAGCTTCTTCGCCACGTTCACTGTCTAACCTGAAGATATATGTTTGGTTTCATCATTACTCTCTTCTTTGAACTCATAATCTTATAGTTTGGTTACAAGGATCACCTGCTTATGTTCGACAAAATGTTGGAATCAGAGGTTTGATGCTATCTCAAATAAATGTTTCCTGAGATGTTTTCAATGCATATGAACGAATAGGTATGTATTCGTCTCCTTTAATATGTACATGGAAGCAGGGCATATATGCGAAGGAGAAATCTTGGGGGTGGTGTACAAGGTCAACATAACCAGGAAATATTGAAATTTGGAATGGTGAGGAAGATCAAAGAGTTTGAACTTGAAAGTTCTGCTGTGAAGCTGGATAAGATGAGAAGATTGGAGGATAAAACAAAGTTAAAGACCCAATGTTATTGTCTTGTGATGTGTAATAATGGTAAATACACCAATTCAAAAAAGAAAAAATAGTAGAGGTAGTAGTTTTATTTGAGTTTGCATTTTTAATAGTTTGAGAATACGTAGCACATCTTCATCGTGGTTTATTGTTAGATTAAAGGTCTCGAGATGAAAGGGGTGATGGGAAAGCCAAATCAGATTCATCCATGTAAGGATTTAGATTTACACATATTCACAATTTATGCAAGTAGATATAGTGCGAAAAAGGTACTCAAAAGGATGAAAACACATCAAACATGTTTGGTTTTCTAAACTACTGAAGCTTTATGTCACTCACTCATGGTGTTATTCTCACATGTTCTATTTTTTTGGTGGCAGATGAATTGTGTTTTTAACTCATATACACAAAAAAATTAGTCTATATTAAAAGTATTGCATCAGATAGGCAATTACATATTGCAAGGAATTGAGATATATGTTGTCCTTCTTCTAAACAGAAATGTCATTCCAGTATGTAAGAATATAAAATTAAAAATTGGTGATGTAATTGATTGTTGTGTGATTTTCATTTATCTAAATCAACTCAAAATTCAAGATAACTAATTTATTATTTGAACATGTTTGAGTTTCACTTAGAGAGTTAACGTCATTCATACAATTCTGCCAAATCTATGTAATGTTGTTGGTATAACCTAGAAGCTACAAAAGAAAATAAATGAATCTCAATGGAGTCGATTCCGTCACATGATGGAGAAAAACAACTTCAGAAATAAAAAGAACACTGCGTCAAAAAGATTATCATATTTTTGTCTCTAGAATAAGCTTTATAAACATGAAAAAACAAATAAATGTGAAAAAGTAACAACACCACCCGCGCATGCGCGGGCTTTCACCTAGTATAAGGTTAATGACTTCTATTTTCTTAAAGTTTGAAGTAATGTTTTCATTATTGTTTGCAAGAAATTGACCAAGAAATATTTCTTTTTCTTAAGAAAAGTTTTACTATTTAAATAAGATGTAGAAAAGCACACAGCCCAAGGTAATGTTTGATGGGTTTTAGCCCATAAAAAAATTAAGCCCGATAGCTAATATTCAGCAGTTTACTGAAATAGAAAAGGAACCAAATCACACGATTCGTCAAAAGAATATGTCAAAAGAGTTGCATGTCCAAAGAATAATCGAATCTCACGGCAGTTGTTGGAGGTGGGCTTAGCACCCCTCCATATGGGCCGGCCCAAATCAAGAGGCCCACCTGATCGTCCAGGACCCTGGTCCGAGCGCCTAAGGACCGCTGGTCCGAACGTCCCCTCAAGCTATAAATAGCACAGTAAATGCCTATTGACGGGACAGTAATGAGAGAGAGCTAGAGAGAGAAAGCTTAGCATTTAACATATCATAATTGCCGAGCTGCATCTCCTTTGCCGAGCTCTGTCTTATTTTAAAAGAGATCGTCTTTTGACCGATCTCATTGTAATTGCCGATCCCGCTTACTTTTAATACGAAAGTCTCGACCCACATCCCCTCATTACTTGTTTTGCCAAACCGAACCATCTCAACTCTTACAATTGGCGCCCACCGTGGGGCATCGAGACATTTCTCTACGCAAAGCGGATCGGCATCAATCGGTAGTCGAATACCGATCTCTCCCACCAGCTGCAGCATGACAGCCCGGCAGCACGAAACATTCATCGGCCCCCGCCGACCAGAGGACCAGAACGAGCCGATCTCGGCACATAATTTCATCGGGCCGACCAACCGCCCACCTGACAACGCTCGGCACAAGAGCGTCCTAGTTCTTCTGAGCAAAATCTGCCGAACGCAACGAGATACCGATCCACCAGAACCAACAAGCAACGCAACAAACGGAGGAAGCCGGCACCGCGCTACTCTTACGAACCTTGCTATCACGGCTCGACAACTTCGCGCAAGGCACAGACAACCGTCTTAACAACCTGTTCGCCGCACAGATGTCCAGCCAGACCCGGATTAACGAACTCCAAGCATCGCGCTTCCCACCAGAAGCATCTTCGAACGCCCGGCCCGCCATTGCCCACACAAAGAACCCTCTTCGGCGAGAACCCTACGCCACCAACCGTCCTGATCGGCACAGCGGGGCCATCTTGCGCAAACACCATCTCCTACTCCTTGGAAAACGCCGAATGGAACGGCCACGAGTATGAAATACGGCGGATGCAGAGCCAGCTCCAGAACATGAACTCCCGAATCCAAGCGAATATGCTCCCGGAAATCGATCAAGTGCTTCGAGAGGCACAGAACACCCCTTCACCGACAGGATCGGCCACGCTCCGGTCCACCACCCGGGAAAGCTGAAGATACCCCCTACGAAGGAAACACCGATCCAAGACAGTATCTGACGGCTTTCTGCATCGCGATGGGCCGAACCCATTTTTCCGAAGAGGAAAGAGACGCTGGTTTCTGCCAACTCTTCGTCGAGAATCTCTCGGGATCGGCCTTAACTTGGTTCTCGAGGTTAGAAAGCCGATCGATCGACAGCTATCACCAACTCACCACCGCTTTCTTGAAGCAGTACTCTATGTACATCAGAAGAGGAGCTTCCTGCGCCGATCTCTGGGCGCTCAGCCAAGGACCGAAAGACTCCCTCATGATATGATCATGGAGGAGGTTGCTAGGAACTTGGACCAGGAAGCAGTTGGAGAGCTTGTAGCTGAGGAGGAACAGCTTGAACCTGAGGAAGCATTGGAGGCTTTGGCCATAGCAACTGGTCCAGTCACTAGATCACAAACTAAACTGCTCAACGAAGACATTGGAAGAGTACTTAGCCGTTTAAGTCGGCAGGTTCTTGAAGTCAAACATCCCACCTTGGTTTGTTTGATGGCCAAAGACTTAGGATAAAGAGGCAAGTGGTTCTTAGTGTGCTCTTTTTCCCTATCAAGGTTTTGTCCCTTTGGGTTTTCATTGATAGGTTTTTAATGAGGTCTAAGACCCACTTTCAAATCCCCTCTTCATCCTTAGTCATTTGGCCCGGCCCAACCCCCTTTTCTCCAACTCATAGTTTTGCCGCCCAGGGCACTTATAAGGGGTCTCCTTTTTTATTCAAACTTTGTCTTTAATGTTTGTGTGTTTCCGAGATGGTCATGGAGTCTGTTCCATTGACTCATCTCTCTTCTCTCCTTTATATGCTCTGGACGAATTTCCTTTTCAGTTATGCAACCTTGAATGAAAAACCTTTTTCCTTTGTTTATTCAAAGATCTCTTAGTGTGATTCTAAGAACCCTTTCTTTTGGTGTGTTGAATCCGAGAAATCCCTTTGGATTAGTTGTGAGTTGTATCAACTATTTTAGAGGAGGTGTTGGAGATTCCTTTCCATTGGATCTCTGGTATAGCCATTCATTCCATTACCATCTATCAATTTCCATCGATCTATTCATCCTTTCATCATTCCATTCCATCTCGCCAAGTCCTTTGAATCCATTCACTCCATCGCTACAATTCAACATCTACTTGCTTCAAAGTGTCGATTCTCTACAAGGGATTTATCACCTCAGGACTTTCATCGACAAGTTCAAAGGCGTAGCCTCGCGCCTCACGGCAACCGGCACCGAAGCCTCCCAGCACTGAAAAACGGGCTATGGTACGAATCGGCTTTCCGCGACGACCTGATACTCAACAATCCCCGCACTCTGGAAGATGCCCTATGCCGAACCAACATCTTCATCGCCCTGGAAGAAGAAAAGGCTGCCATGGCAAAACGCCACACCCCCACTAAAACGCAGGCGCCCAAGGAGAAATCAAAGGAGAGCACTACGAACCAAGGCAGCACTACGACAGGAGCTATCGGAACAACGAGGCCGAACGCAGGGCCACGAACTGTTATGTCGGGAACGATCGCCCCCGCGAACAACCAAGCCAGCCGGACCGATCATGTCAGAGCACCCCCAGTGGAACAAATACGTCCGCCCAGCCGACCCGAGATCGTCCCAAGGAGAAGGATCTTCGCAGTCTACTGCGATTACCACAAGCGCCCTGGCCACGCTACAGCGCAATGCCGACACCTGCAGGAGTACCTCCTCGGCAAATTCACCAACGGAGATATCGGGATCCGATCCAGCCTCTTTTCAAAGGAACCCGAATCGTCCGCCTCCGAACGCCCAAGGAGGAGCGTCGGAACCCCAGCAGGCCAGGAGATTCCCGCCCGCAGGACCCAGTCGCGACAGGAAAACGCCGATCAACAGAAACAGAACCACGAAGAAACGAACGCCTGCACGTCACTCCACCCCCGCCGAGGCGAAGGATCAATATGATCATGGGCGGTTTGCCGACCTGCAACGACTCCGTGCGCCATAAAGGACTACGGAAGGAAGACGTCCACGGCTCAACAGTGGAAGCAGGACGTCGGCCGAGCTCGACGAGGCGAGTGTCATTTCCTTGAAGGACTCGGACGCCAACGGTCTTCACCCCGCACAACGATCCTCTGGTAGATCGAGCTCATGATCGGCGACTGCGAGGTCACCCGGGTATTGATCGACACCGGCAGCACCGTGACCTCATCTTCGAGGAAATGTTGCGCAAGATGGAACTCCAGGACTGCCGAATAAAACCCAAGAAAAAGCCTCTGACAGGATTCTCCGGAGACACCACCATGACGGTCGGCACCATCAAACTCCAGTACGAGTAGGACAGGTCACCAAGATCGTCAAGTTCGTGGTGGTCGACAAGCCGGCAATCTACAACGCGATCATGGGAACCCCGTGGATCCACTCACTAAAAGCGGTCGCCTCGACGTACCACCAATGCCTCAAGTTCCCAACGCCGAACGAAACCGTCACGATCCGAGGAAGTCAGGAGATGTCGAGAATATGCTTCGTTGCCGAGCACAAGCTACGTCATTCATCCCAAACCTGCGTCATCGCCGCAGCTTCTCCGACCGTCGAATCCAGCCTCCCGCCCCAGAGCGAGCCCCCTCGAGAGTTGGTCAGCCAGGAGAACATCGACGACCGGGATCCAGAACGCTGTGTTGGGATCGGCACGGAAATCTCGACCGCGTTAAGGACGAACTGCTCGCCTTTTTTGGGCGAACGCGTCCACCTTCGCTGGAGCACGGATGACATGGTCGGCATCAACCCGAGCCGTTACCAGCCACGAGCTAAACGTCGACCCGACGTTCAAACCGATCAAACAGAAGCGGAGAAAGTTGGGCCACGATCGCGCTCAAGCGGTAAACGACGAGGTCGAGCGCCTATCCAAAGCGGGTTCTATCGTCGAAGTGCGTTACCCGGAGTGGCTCGCGAACCCGGTCGTGGTGAAGAAGAAGAACGGCAAATGGCGTGTCTGCGTGGATTTCACCGATCTCAACAAGGCGTGCCCCAAAGATAGCTACCCGCTCCCGCATATCGATCGGCTCGTAGAGGCAACGGCAGGGAACGAGCTGCTATCCTTCATGGATGCTTTCTCCGGTTACAACCAGATCCAGATGCACCCGGACGATCGGGAGAAAACAGCTTTCATAACCGATAGGGGGACCTACTGCTACAAGGTCATGCGTTCGGCTTAAAAAACGCTGGAGCAACGTATCAACGCCTGGTGAACAAGATGTTCGCGGAGCAGCTCGGCAGCACCATGGAGGTATACATCGACGACATGCTCGTCAAGTCGCAACGCACCGAGGATCACATCGGACACCTCCGCACTTGCTTCGACAGTCTCAACGAGCACGACATGAAGTTGAACCCCACCAAGTGCACCTTCGCAGTCACCTCGGGAGAGTTCCTAGGATACATCGTCACGAAGAGAGGTATCGAAGCGAACCCCAAGAAGATAGCGGCCGTTCTGGAACTCCCGTCACCAAAAACCACCCGCGAAGTACAACGCCTGACCGGCCGAATCGCCGCGCTCAATCGCTTCATTTCAAGATCGACGGATAAGTGCCTCCCCTTCTACCAGCTGCTCCGAGGCAACAAAAGTTTCGAATGAGGCCTTCCAGGAACTGAAGCTCTACCTCTCCACGCCCCCGGTCCCTCGAAAGCCCGAGCCCGGCGTGACGCTCTACCTGTACATCTCGGTGTCCAGATCGGCAGTCAGCGGCGTTCTCATCCGAGAGGACAGAGGGGATCAGAAGCCGATGTTCCCCACGAACAAAACGGACCAACCGTCCGCTCCTCGGCACTAAGACTAAAAATCTAAGTGCCAAGGAACCTCCAAAAGCCGAGCGCATACCTCGCCAGACACGTTCCCCAAGAACAAACGAAGTAAGAAATGGACAAGCTCGGCACAACAACAAGCTTTCATTTAAAACACATCGAAGAAGGAGAAACAAGAATTTCCATTAAAAGGAGATACGATTACAAAGCTTGAACTTAAACAGTACAGAAGAAAAGAAAAAAGAGAGAAGAAAGGAAAAGCTCGGCACAGCAGAAAATCCACGATCGATGCTCGCTTCAATACTCGGATGGCACGAATTGACAAGAAGTGCCAGCATCCAGCTTAGCAACCTCATCCGCCAAAGGGCCGAACTCCAGCTCAAGCTCGTCCGCCGTCACCACCTCCTCTTGGTCGATCTCCGCTTCAAGTTGCTCCACGTCAACCCGGTACTTCTTGACCCAGTCAGCGGAACGGCGACACCGGCTCTTAAGTGCCTCGTAAGAGTCACGAACGGCAACCGCCTGATTCAGAGTCAGAACGCGAGGATTCATCCGGTCCTGATCGGCAAGGAAGGTTTTAACCTTCTTCAAACGAGGCCAGAAGATATCGACCGTCTCCCTCTTCGCCTGACGAACTTTATTCCAGAGCGACTCCGTCCTCTTGGCTTCATCCGCCGATCGCCTTTCAAGCTCGGCAATCTTCGACTTCAGCCTCTCATTCTCAGCACCACGAGAGTCGGCATCCAAACGAGCCAAGGCAAGATCGGCTTCACTCCGCTCAAGGCCACTCTCCTTAAGAGCAAGAATGCCCTTGAGCTCGGCGACCTGGGACTCCAGCTCGGCGTTCCTCTCCTTCACCTCAACCAAGTCTGCACGACCCTTTGCCGATCTAGCAGACATCTCCCGGCGGTAGTAATCGATCAAAGCATTGTTACTCGCGACCGATTGGAAGGTATGACGGGCCATCTCCGGAAAAGACGCTTCTCCTCTAATGACACTGGAGGACGCGGTTCCGAAATACAGTCCGGCTGGAGATTATATACAGTCGCCCAACGACGTTGCTGCTCAAGAAAGCGATGACGCCCCTCGTAGTGAAAGTCGAAGACTTCCATAGCCCCCTCAGGCTTCACGTCCATGTCAGCAAGATCGGCGGCTCCGCCCGCCTCATTGCCCGCCTCGGCATCTACCCTCTCCCTCGACGGCCCCCATCGTCGGCCATCTCCCCATGCTCGGCAGAGGATGTCCGCCTCCTCTTTCTCAGACCACCCGAGGACCCCGGCACGTCGATCTCGCCACCGAGCTCGGTAAAAGGGAAGACCGGCGCTTCCTGCGAACGATAGGAGGATCGTCCGCAGTTCTCCTCGTCAAACGGTTCTAGGTGGGAGTGATGGGTTCCCTCAGACCCGTCTCCGGATCTACCCGAGTAACCCGGATGTTCGGCATACCAAGGGTCTGCCCGCTCGGCGGCCACGCGATCGCCGATCGTCACCACGGTCTTAGATGAAGACCCGGATGCCGTTTTCTCCTTCTTCCTCTCCGCCTGCTTCCCGGCCGAGGCGCTCTTCTTCCTCTTCTTCCCCACCACTTTTGACCATCGGCCGTCACCTCTTCTACCGGGTCGGCACCTCTTGACCATAGCGAGGCAAGTTCAGACTAAGCTTCCCCATTGGCTTCTGTTTCTCAAACGCCAAGAAGCTGAGAGAAACATGGCAGATCAGCATCACGGAAACAGATCGGCAACTGAAATGATAAATGTTTACCTGATGCGATGCGAGCCACTGAGCTTTGATCCGCGTCTCGGCGATGTCCTCCCACTTCCTCTTCCCGTGCTCAGAAAGCCGCCGAACGTCCTCGTAAAAGTTAACTGGAGGGTTAGCCAAAAGGAGGCCGAACTGAAAAAGAAAAAGAAAAACAGATTATTATCCAAAAACCAGGCAGATCGGCAAGCAAAGAAAGAAAACGTTAAGGCATCCTAAAAGGCTTGGCCGAGCTCTCTACCAAAGATCGGACTCCACTCGTTCCGGTACGCCTGTCCAGATCAGGAACAGAGGCTTCGTTCACGGAACGAAGAAATACTCGTTGATCCAGTTCCTCGTCTTGCTAGGATGACCAGTTATCATCCCATACTTCGGCTTTATACTGACATACAGGTCCCGGGAGTGCCCTGGTTGACAGCGATGGACGACATCGCCTCATAAAAATCGATTAAGCTCCATCCCCAGCTCGGCAGCCAGAACCAGCGTGCCCGTAATATTGCGAACACCCGCCGGACAAAGTTGAGAAAAAGCGATCCGACATCCTCACAGTACGCGACGAACAGCTTCGGAAGCGGGAAGAACATATGCGACTCCTTGAACCAAAATTTGTAGGCTGTAAACCAGCCCGGCGGCGCCTTCCACAGACGCTCGTCATCTTCAGGAAGGCGCATTTCCAGACCAGACACGCTGGCGTGATCACGACGAACCATCAAGAGATCGTCGATCGTACAATGACTCTTTCCCAGATTCCTCAGATCCGTCGGCTCCCTCTTCTTCTTCGGCTGTTTCGGCTCGGCTTCGAGTTCCCCCTGACCACCGGGGTTGGCCTTTTCTCTCTGCCGAACCGCAGCCCTTTCAGCAGCCCTTTTCCCCTTGGCTATCGAAGCCTTCCTCTCCTTGGCGATCGCGCTCTTTGGCGATCTCGGCTTCCTTCTTCTTCCTGGCGACCTCGGCTGCCTCCTCGTCTGAGCAGACATTTCCTCTTCCCCTTCGGCAATCTCAGCCGCCCTCTTCCTCTCGGCGATCCCAGCTTTCCTGGATGCTGCCGAACGAGCCCGGGCCTCCTCGACCGTTTCCATCTGCACGGCTGCCGGGACAGACGCGGCCGAGCATCGAGCACGCGTATCCTCTAAACGCGTCAAGAACGGCAAGTCGTCCAAAACATCCTCATCTCGAGACTCGGAGTAACAATCGGGGACTGCGCCGATCTCGCGTTGACATTGTTCGGATCGGCGAACCCTCAAGTCTGCTCGGCGTAGCAGAGGCCTCGTCGTCCTTTCAGGGGTCTGATCACTCCGATTCACGCTAGAAGAATCGGCATCTGACCTAGGTCGGCGATTCAGCGCTAGATCCCGTGATATAAGTCTCCTCTGCCGAAGCGGATTCCGTGTGTGAATCGATCCTCATCACAACAAACGGATAGAGATCGGCGAATTGAGAAGCTCGGCAAAGTCGGAGAAAGAGAAAATGGAGAGCTCGGCAAAACCACAAAACTAGAGAGAAGCGAGAGAGAATTCTAGAGAGAGAAATTATTACCTCTTATGGAGCGAAGAACAACAGTTCCGGGCGACTCCTGCTTTTATAGACCGAAAGGAGAAATCCGAAGCGACGCAATGATTACGAGAGAAAACGCTCGGTGGCCCACGCCTTTTCACTGCATGGACGACACGTGGCACGCTCTTGATTCACGCCAACCCATTTACGCCGAAACGACGCCTCGAGATCGACACCTTGAACGTACACCGACTTGGGGGGGGGGCTATTGTTGGAGGTGGGCTTAGCACCCCTCCATATGGGCCGGCCCAAATCAAGAGGCCCACTGATCGTCCAGGACCGCTGGTCCGAGCGCCAGGACCGCTGGTCCGAACGTCCCCTCAAGCTATAAATAGCGCACAGTAATTGCCTATTGACGGGACAGTTGAAGTTAGAGAGAGAGCTAGAGAAGAAAGCTTAGCATTTACAATCAATTCTTTGCCGAGCTGCGTCTCCTTTGCCGAGCTCTGTCTTATTTTAAAAGAGATCGTCTTTTGACCGATCTCATTGTAATTGCCGATCCCGCTTACTTTTAATACGAAAGTCTCGACCCACATCCCCTCATTACTTGTTTTGCCGAACCGAACCATCTCAACTCTTACAGCAGTGGTAAATAAACCATAGTATGTAGTAAGCTTAGAAGCCAGCTCAGTATTTGAATCGCGGGAGCTAGCTATTCAATTCCAGCTTTGATCGAATCAGCAGTTCGGTAATGTGGTCACTAGAATACATTGCAAATTGATAATGAGAAACGATTAGTATAAGTTTGTAACACTAGTATAATAGCATTTGTATATTTTTTATTAACCATCTATTTACTGTGAACTATACTCAAATCGAATCAGTAGACTATGTTAACGAACAAAATTTTAATATCTTAGCTATATATACATCATATATGAATATACTCAAAATTGCTTAACTTTTTATTTTATTTTTAAGTATTATCAAATTTTCTTATTTATGTTTAATATTTAAGTGTAAAAGTCTATTTTATTTCAAGTCACATTTTATTTATTCAATAAAACAATTCATTTTATTAAAATAAGTCTTAAAATTAATTACAAATTTTTTACTTTTACAAATTTTCTCCAAATATGGGATGTACACTATGAAACCATGAGCTGTAAGAAAAGATAAGATTTTGTTAGTACGAAAAAAATAATGTTTTCTAAATACGAGCTGTAAAAATGCTAAGAAATTTCTTGATTAAAAAAATGGAAAAGCTAAGAAATTAAAAAAATAGAAGATATGAACATTATTGTTTTTCTATACAAGGTCCCTCTTAGCACGAATTGCAAGAGAGAGATATTATTCCCTACGCTCATTGGCTGAGAAGTGCACAAATAAGTCAGAAATCCAAAGTTTCCGTTTCTTTTTCTTTTTTTTTATGGATTTTCCATTTTCGGGTCCACAAAGTTAATAATATATTGAGAATCCATATTTATATAAATCAGTCTCTCTCTCTCTCTCTCTCTCGCGTGAAACATAAAAGCCCTAAAACTCAGCTCTCGCCGATTCGTGACAACACTCTCACTTTGTTCGAATCCCTAGCTTCCTTTGATCTTCCCCTCGCCGATCTGCTTTGTACTGGTACTCTTTGATTTTCCTTACTCCTTATTCGTTCCCAGATTGATTGTTCTTCCTTTGTGGGCTTGATTCTGGATATGATCGGTGCACTTTTGAGGAAGCTCCTTTTTTCTTTCTGCTCTTTTGTGTGTTTTGCTCTTCCTGAAGCTCATCTTGCTCTAGAAACGTAGATTCTATACGGATTATTAAAATTGCGTTTTGTGGATTCCGCGTTATTCGGATTTGTTTGGGCTCTGTCTCTGATTATGTGTGCTGTTGAGTTTATACTACACTCTGTGTATGTTGATAGTTGGTCCTTGCGAGATTTGTTCGATTGATAACATTAGCATTATTTATTTGCAAGCCAACATCTTGTTAAATTGTACAGATTTGTGTATCTTGCAGAATACAATGTCAGATCGATTGACTCGGATTGCGATCGTGAACGCTGACCGGTGCAAGCCCAAGAAGTGTCGCCAAGAGTGCAAGAGGAGCTGTCCTGTTGTCAAGACTGGTACTTTTTGCCCATTCTTCTTTGTTTTCTTTCTCTGTATGAAAGTTTTGCCTAACGCAGTTTGTTGTGCCTTTGTATTTGGTGTGTCTGTCTCTCTAGGGAAACTTTGTATCGAGGTGTCTCCTACATCCAAGGTTGCTTTCTTATCAGAGGAGCTGTGTATTGGATGTGGTATCTGCGTGAAGGTATGTGTTTGGTTTGGTTTCTCACACATTCAAGTTAGTTTTGAGGAACCACTAAGTGAGATTTGTTTTGTTTTTGGACAATTCGCAGAAGTGCCGTTTGATGCAATTCAGATTGTGAATCTTCCAAAGGACTTGGAGAAAGACACAATCCACCGTTATGGGGAAAACTCCTTCAAATTGCACAGGTCAGCTAAAATCAGTGTTTGCCTTTTGTTGATTGGTTCTGTTTTTGACAATCACTTATGTATCTCCACCATGACAATCTTGCAGGCTTCCAGTTCCAAGGCCAGGGCAAGTCCTAGGTCTGGTTGGAACAAACGGCATTGGGAAGTCTACTGCTCTCAAAATCCTGGCCAACAAACTCAAACCAAATCTTGGCAGATTCAAGGTGATTGTAAAGCACCTCTTATGCGTCTTTTGACTCTCTTCTGTAACTGATTATATGACACTGTTTTGCTACCTATGATGATGTTTGTGCAGAATCCTCCGGACTGGCATGAGATTTTGAATCACTTCCGCGGGTCAGAACTTCAAAGCTATTTCACCCGACTCGTTGAAGAGAAACTAACGGTACGGTTGAAAGGAAATTGATATTTGATAAAAAAAATTTAAGGAAGCGAGTTCATTAAGCGAGTGAGTCTAATGCCTTACCCTTTTGTATTACAGGCTGTTGTGAAGCCACAGCATGTGGACCAGATAAAAAAAGTTGCTCCAGGTAAGATTGGGGAGACGCTTGAGAAGCTGGACGAGAGAGGAATGCTGGCGGAGATTTCTGCTGATATGGACTTGACCAATATCCTGGAGCGTGATGCAAAAACTTTATCTGGTGGAGAGCTGCAGAGGTTTGCGATTGCTGCTGTTTTCCTGAGGAAGGCAGTGATATACGTGTTTGATGAGCCATCCAGTTACCTTGATGTGAGGCAGAGACTCAAATCTGCTCAAGTTATACGCTCACTCCTAAGGCCTGACAGGTTTGGTTTGATTTGATCTGATCATCATCTCTTTCTGTTGTTCTTGAATTTATGATCTGCTTACATATGGCCTTGTATTTTGTTGCAGCTACGTGATTGTGGTGGAGCATGATCTCAGTGTCCTTGACTATTTGTCTGATTTCGTTTGCTGTTTGTATGGCAAACCGACGGCATATGGTGTGGTGACTCTCCCCTTTTCTGTGAGAGAAGGAATCAATATCTTCTTGGCTGGTTTTATCCCCACAGAAAACTTGCGTTTCAGGGATGAATCTCTGACCTTCAGGGTATATAGCTTCTCTTCTCTGTTTTCTTTTTCAACTAGAGCAGCAATGAATGGATGTTTTGTGACTGATATTCTTGTTTCTTTAAAAGGTATCTGATACTCCGATAGAGAATGATGGGGAACATCAGGCCTATGCACGATACAACTACCCAAACATGAGTAAGACACTTGGTGATTTCAAGCTGGAAGTGATGGCAGGAGAGTTCACAGACTCTCAGATCATCGTAATGCTCGGAGAGAATGGTACAGGGAAAACCACCTTCATCCGCATGCTGGTAAGTTTGTCTCGCTTCTCCTCTGCTTCTTGTAAGTTAAGACTTTTGAAGGAATGAAACTTGACGTTGCATCCTACTGTTGTGGCAGGCAGGCGCATTTCCAGATGATGGAAACGGTATCCCAAGGTTCAATGTGTCGTACAAACCGCAAGGGATTGATTCGGAGCGCGAGTGTACGGTGAGACAGAGGCTGCATGACAAGATCCGTGATGCATATGTGCATCCCCAGTTTATGTCCGATGTAGTGAGACCTCTCCAGATTGAGGAGCTGTTGGATCAACAGATATGCAAGCTCTCAGGTGGAGAGAAGCAGAGGGTTGCAATAACTCTATGCCTTGGGACGCCTGCAGACATCTATCTCATTGACGAGCCAAGTGCTCATCTTGACTCACAGCAGAGGATCACAGCTTCGAAGGTGATCAAGCGGTTCATCTTGCACGCTAAGAAGACGGCGTTCATCGTGGAGCACGACTTCATCATGGCGACCTATCTCGCTGACCGAGTCATCGTGTACGAAGGACAGCCTGCGGTCAGTTGCGTTGCTAATTCTCCGCAGTCGCTGCTCACCGGAATGAATCTCTTCTTATCGGTAATATAAGAATCTTAACACTTTCTTTTTTTTTCTTGTGTGGTAGTTGATAATGAATGAGTAACATTGTTGTTGTCATTTGCATTTTTGCAGCACCTGAACATCACATTCAGACGTGATCCGACTAACTTCAGGCCAAGGATCAACAAATTGGAGTCGCTCAAGGACAGAGAGCAGAAGACTGCTGGCACGTACTACTACTTAGGCGACTGATCATTTCTGTATAAAAGAGAGGAAGTTTTATGTGTGTGTGTTTGTGTACCTTTTAGCTTTTGAGTAAGTTGTTTCGTGGGATTTGGAGGTGATGTTGCCTTGATGCATTTGGAGCAAGAGACCTAGCTATTATGGGATATTGACATTGTGTCAAGAATCTTTTCTTTGCTGAAAGATATTATTTATTAGGAATGTGTTCCTGTGCCATTTGGTTAAGATCGGTTTCGATGTAACCAATTACGCACTGAGCGAATCATTTGTTTTCATGAGTTTCATGTATTGATTTCAATATTTCCATTTTTTTAGCTGTTTATTTTTGTATAAGGCACAAAAGATTCCAAATCTTCTTGCATAGAACTTATTTTGTTGAAATTAGTGGTTTGATTATTATAGCTGCTTGTCAAATTCTTTCTCCTTCTGTCCCTCGCTTTTGTTTTTTTCGATGTTTCTTCTTCCCTAATGTCAAACCCTCTTTCAGGAAACAAACAAGTTTTTAAAGCATCTTTTCCATTCTTTATTTTGTTATTTCTACATTTTCACCTATGCCATCGATTACTATTCGTTTTTCAAGCATTTCCATCTGGTAGACACTTCTTATAGTAATAAAAAACATTTGCAGAGTTTTTAACAAAATTACATAGGTAGCATCTAAAAGTCATTAAACACATAATCGTCACATTCCTTGAAAAAACTACATTAAAAAGGTTAAAGTAGCATCGTCTATAAATATAATTCCTTCTACTGTCCAGATAAATTAGATCACATAATATAAAACAATATACCAATATGACAAGTATAGTATCATTAAATTATATGCTATCGAAAATGAAGTTCATTGTTTACACACAAAGGATAGGCCCTGCTCATACCGAATAATCCGAAAAACTAAGAAAAGTTTTTAAAATACACCGAACCGAATTATGCAAATGTTCAGTCCTACTTGTTTCTTATCATCACCATCGTGGTTTTCTATAAATTTAGTACACTAGCTAAGTTAGTATATTAGAGTAGTGCTTTCTTGATTTTTTTTGTTTCATATCAATATAGTACTCAATAATACGACGATAATAAAAAGCTATATAAATATTGATTTCTCACTATTTGAATGCGTATGTAGATACATTAATATACATGCTATGCATATATACACATCTACAGAGATAGATATATGTAAAGAACGTGCATGTGCATGCGTTTCTAAAAAGAGAAAACAATGAAAAATTGATAGAAAATAGCCATACCCTTGTGTAATTGCTTGTTTACTTTCTCTCGACCTTTTAACTCTGCTGTAAAATTTCCATTATAAAAAGGGATCAAGAAGACGGTGAGAAGATCATAAACACTTGCTTGTTCTTAGAAGAAAAAAAGAAGAAAAAACTCTTGTTTGTGTTTGTGCTGTACAAGAAAGAAAATGGAAGGTGGCGCTGAGGATCATCTCAAAAGTGCAGAGTAATCTTAATTGAGTTTCTTTCTGGTATTGGAATCAAGATTTAAAATATAATGGTAGGTGAGATTGTGAGAATGGGATATCAATGCATCAGAATTGCTTTGATTTAATACCAGAAATGGCCTATGATTTGAAACTTGCTCGAACTTGTCATGAACTAATGAAAAGTCTCCACATAGAGAGACCCAATCACATATAACAAAAGAAAAAGAAAAAAGAAGTAAATATAAGATGGAAAGAGACAAAGGATCATAATCACTAGTAATAGATCTTTTTAAACACTTTACATGTCATAAAATTAAAATAACGATTTCTTAGACTTTTTTACATGTATGAAATTAAAAGAATTTAGTTTACAGGATTAATGGTCCAGTAATTTTGTTATACATGTTACATTGTTACCTCACAATTGCTATAAACACTTATTGTAAAGTGAATCAAATTTTTTGGTATCACACGTTTGAATGAAAACTCACGTCTTTTTTTGTTGAATAAAAAAAAATACTAATTGTAGAATTAAGACAAGTTTTTAGTCAACCTATCACACACTCATACAGAAACTTGGTAATGCCACGCCCAATATGCTATCTACAAGATATTTTATATGCTTATTATATAAACCTTGAGTTGGCGGTCAGAGAAGTAACATAAGAGAAATAATAAAATTTTAATAGCTTGTGTTCTGTTTTATTCTCACAGTCTCTTCTTTACGAGTTCAAATGTTAATAAGAAACATTTGCCTCGCAAAGTCCACTAGGAATCTTGATCAAATCGAGTCTTGAACCTTTTACAAGTTCTCTACTATATCTCCTTACAACACTCTTCCGTAGGAACAAGGACAAGAAAGCTTCTTAAATAGCTTCAACGTCTAGATCAAGCGAAACTTAGTGGACCACAACCAACATCCTGATTTAGTGATTTATGAGGGTAATTGATAACGAATACGTTCTATCATATTAATATTGCGTACTAAGTTCACATTTCTCTTCCAAATTTTGAAAACTTGTGTGTATGTAATAAATTTGTAAATATGGGGGATTTATTTTGAGAATATGGGGGAGGGATTTTGAAAACTTTTGTGTATGTTTATCAAAAAAACTTTGTTGTAAATATGATCCATTTGAACGAATAATAATAGTTTAACTTATATGTTTCAAAACTTGCACCAATTTAGTTTATTCCGACAACATTATTTGTCTTTGTATCGGGTTTACTAACAACATCGTCTAATAACAAAGTAGACAACAAAGATATATATATGAAATAATTCTTGGTACAAACGTGTCTTGTTCAAAAGGGCATGAAACTTGAGATGCAAGAAACAAATAAAGTATTGACGACAATGGAAGTGATTAATCATGGCCTTCTTCTTTCCTTTTGCCCAGTTTGTTGTCGATATGGAGTTGCACTAAGTTTGGAACATAAGAAGAGGAGCACACAAGTGGGCGACAATATACGGCCGAACGACATCCAAATTTGTCACTTGTTCTGAGATTCGGAGCAACTGCGATATTCACAGATTTGAAGTAGCCATCTTGTCCAAGAATGTACGCTGTTTGGTAGCGACATGCCTCCTCGTTGTGTTTATGTCTGTCTAGATCGAAAACCACTGCGACATTCTCCTCCTCATCAATGAAGAAGCTCCCGGCTAGATTATTAACCTGACAAGCACCAGAGATTGGTCTCAAAAACTCTCTCCACGAGACCTCACAGGAATCAATCAATCTTCTTCGTCACTTGAATCTCCAAGTCCTCCCAGTTTTGATATAACACAGCCACCTGCTCTTCTCTCACACAAGACAGAGACACGAAGTTTTCTGCACTAAAGAATTGAAAAGGCATAGGCAGACGCGGTCCGAATCTCTCTGCCGTGAAGTCAAAACAGAGTAAAAAAGCTTCAAACTCTCTACCACTTCTTGTTTTCTCTAGTGCCAAGAAATAAACATTTCCCTTCAACGACACGCCTCGTTGATGAGACTGAATATCCCAGTCGGGACTGACATCAAAATCAAAGGTCTTCCATGAGTCAGAGCTCAGATCGTAGACTTCGTACCCAGAAACTTGGCTTCTGCTGCTTTCATAGTCACCGAAAACCCTCAAGATCTTGTGGTTACGGTTCTCGTCGTACCCAAGAGCATACCTGTCTAACCTGTGGAAACTGTTTCTCGGTTGGATCCATCTGATTTGCCCCAAATATGGATTCCATAGAACGAGGCTCAAGCTGTCCTTAATGACGCATAGCAGTAAGCCATCGCAGTGAAAGGCTTTCGATATCTCGACTTTCTCAAGTAGACTAACTTGCTTTATACATGGATCAACGAACACTTCTTCGTCATCGTTTCTTATTCCTTGCAGATCGAATTTCATCGAGCAAACCTTATAATCCATCATCATGAACCCCAGAAACTGCTTCTTTGCTGATTCACCACCAAGGATACGTTTTTTAGATAAAGCATTCCACATTTTGCAAGTAGATCGCACTGCCCTCAGAGATATCAATGGAAGTCTAGAGAGTATCTCTTCTACTACATCCCCTGGAATATCGGACATTGTCTTCATTCTTTCAAGTTTCGGACAAAACGGCTGCAATGTAAGCAAGAACAGCTGATAAGCTCGCAAGGACCAAATATCAACTAGAGCATACAACTTTTTTTACCAGTCATAAAGAAGAAGAAAATCATAGACAGAAGAAAGCAGAAACCTTTTATCAGAAAAAAAAACAAAGCAGAAATCTTTTAGCTCAAAAGAAATAAATTTAACCAAAACAGAGCTCTTTGGAGGACGAGCTTCCTGATTTCTGCATTAATCGTACCAAAAGCTACTATGAGCTTCCTGATTTCCGCATTGAGGGTTAGATACGGCGGCAGATGAGGGTTTGGGTTTTTGTTTTCTCCTCTTTCTCTCTTTCTCTCTTTTTTTTTTTTGTGTTTATTTCCTTTTAATTGTCGGGACATCACCTAATTTTTTTTTTAGAATTGGAAAATGTGGTAATGAATAATGGCAAAATTAACGGATTGGAAAAGGAAAACTGTTCATAAAGTTAATATGACATTTTTATCCTGAATCTTTCTTTTTCTTTATTTCCCAATCTTTTTCTTTGGCTGTAGTGATATTGAGATCAAGAATCTTTTCTTTAGGAAGAAAGATCGTTTATTATACATGGTTTGAACTTTTAAATTAGTTCGATTGTACTCCAATGCCATTTGTTTCGAAGATAGGTTTTGATGTAGCTAGTTTAGTACTGTTTGTATACCAGAAATCAATAGTGCGTCAAGGTTTTTCTTGGAAGACTAGAGGATTTCTTAAGACATTTTAAACGAATTACATCATTTAGTAAATAAACATAGGTTAATTAAGATGGCAACAAAAAAAATTAGATATAGAGCGAACTTCCCTATTGTATTTCCTTTGTCTTACTTAGTTATAATTCTGGTATGTGCGTGATGAAAAAGGTACACCATTGTTTAATACTATATGACTTTTTAAAAATATTTGATTATGAAAGTACTAACAGAATGATGCTTTTTTCAGAATGGATCTTTAATGAAAAAACTCAACAAAAACCCTTGATACAGTTTTCAAACTCTAGAAAAAACGGGAACATACTTTGTATTACATGTATAATATTAGGGAGTCGGATGTAAATATATTAGACTATATCTTTGTATATGTTAATATTCCATAAGTAGAGTTGAGCCTAGGGTTTATGCTATGATGTAAGATGTATATATACTCTTTCGGGTATCATGAATAAGACAACTTTCTCTTATCCCTTTGACATGGTATCAGAGCAAAGATCCTAATCAAGAGAGAAAATCGAGAGAAGAAATAGAGGAAGATGACCAAAGACGGTGTTGGTTCTGGTAACGCTGCAGAAGCAAAAGCTGCGGAAGGCGGCGGTAATGATAAGGTGACTGCGGAAGGCGGACACAAAGACATGGTGGTGGTTGATAGGGCGATGGTATCGACTCTATCACCTCTTTATCTCCATCCTTCGGATGGACCGGGAAACTTGATAACTACGGTACAACTTAAAGGAGAGAATTATGAAGATTGGGCTAAGCATGTGCGGAATGCCTTGCGCACTAAGCGAAAGTTAGGGTTCATTGATGGGAGCTTAATGAAACCTAACTCCGATGAAGAATTGGAACAATGGGGTGTGGTGAATTCCATGCTTGTGGCATGGATCATGAATACGATTGAACCCACCCTTAGGGTTTCAATCTCGATGACGGATGAAGTTTATGACCTATGGGAAGACTTGAAGCTTCAATTCTCAGCTGGAAACGGGCCACGTATCAGCGAATTGCGTGCCGAGATTGCGAACTGTCGACAACAAGGTGATTCCGTCGTGGTTTACTATGGGAAGCTGAAGAAGATGTGGGATGAATTGGCAATATACAAGCCAATCAGAACGTGTTCATGTGGAGAGCTTAAGGCTCAACTAGAGGAGGATCGTGAAGAAGAAAGAACAAACACGTTCTTGACTGGCTTGAACTCTGAGAGATTTGGGATTGTGCGCTCGACAATACAAAGCATTGAGCCACTTCCAAAGCTCTCACAGGTGTACCAACGCATTGTGCGTGAAGAGAGACAACAAACTATGACGAGGAACAAAGACGTATCAACCGATGTTGTTGGTTTCTCGGTGAATGCAAACTCTGGAAATAGGGGAACGAATTCTCACTACCAACAACGTGAGAAGGACGTGACTTGTACATACTGCAGTAAGTATGGTCATGCTCAAAGTGATTGCTTCCAACTTAAGGGATTTCCAGAGTGGTGGGGAGAGAGAGGTCGTGACTTTAGTGAAAGAGGGAGAGGAAGTGGTATTCGTGGAAGATTTGGCAGAGGTGGTGGAGCTGCTTGACGATTTGGACGAGGAAGAGGATTTGGCAATGGATCTGGAGGACGTGCTCATGCAGCACAAGTACAACAAGAAGAGATGGTTCAGGCCAACATGTCCAAAAAGGAGGGTGACTACGATCGCGCATCTCTGCCACAACTCAGTGACGATCAATGGACATCTCTTTTAAGCTTCCTTTCCTCTAAGAAACAAGAAACTAATGAGAAGCTTAATGGTAAGACAGAAAGTGGAGAATTTATCATTGATACAGGTGCATCACATCATATGACATGGGATATTGATCTTTTGAGTAATGTTACAAATATTCCTGCCTGTCCTATTGGATTACCTGATGGTGAGACAGCAGTTGCCACAAAACAAGGAGACTTATGTCTACTGATGATTTGCAGATACAAGCATACTGCGATTCTGATTATAATGCATGTCCTATGACACGACGTTCCTTGACGGGTTTTATCCCATGTTAGGTGACTCCCCTCTTGCATGGAAGACCAAGAAGCAAGATACAGTCTCGTTTTCCTCGGCCGAAGCAGAGTATCGCGCAATGGCCTTTACTACTCGAGAACTCAAGTGGAATCGTGAACTGTTATCTTGTTTTGGCATATCACATCCACAGGCTATGCATCTCTATTGTGATAACAAAGCCGCATTGCACATTGCTGCTAATCCGGTATTCCATGAGCGCACAAAGCACATCGAAAGAGATTGCCACTATATTCGTGATGAAATTATCAAGGGCTCGCTGACTACCTCTCATGTTCGTACAACTGAGCAATTGGCGGACATTTTCACTAAAGCTTTGGGGTCTCAACAGTTTTCATATCTGAGGCGCAAGTTGGGCATTCGAGATCTACATGCTCCAACTTGAGGGGGAGTATTAGGGAGTCCGATGTAAATATATTAGACTATATCTTTGTATATGTTAATATTCCATAAGTAGAGTTGAGCCTAGGGTTTATGCCATGATGTAAGATGTATATATACTCTTTCGGGTATCATGAATAAGACAACTCTCTTATCCCTTTGACATATAAGAAGTTTAATCTCTATACATGTTTATATCTGAGGGATTTTTCGTAAAAAATTTAGATGCTGAAAATCGACACTGAGAAATCAGCTTGCGGGATTAGGCATGCCCATCTCCAAGTGATGTAGACATTATCATTGCACCCTTGCAAGGTGTACATAGTTTAAACAAAAGACTTATAGGATCAGATTACTCCAAAAAAATTGTGTGACCATTTTCTCTATTTATGTTGAACAACTTTTTCATCTTTACGTATCTATTGAACCATTAATAATAGCATTATTTATCATAGATATATTACATATCTTTGAGATTAAGAAGTCGGAAATTATTTAAACTTTTTTCAGTAAGTATTGATTAAGCCTTTTATACATGGGCTGAGAGAGAAGAATCAGAGTACAGATGATCCGAAAAACATGATCCGAAATTTACTTTTACATGTGCAGAAAGGTTACAATAATCGAGCAACGAGGAAAGGGAGAAACAAATGCAATACTTGTGGAAGATGATTCGACTCTTATCAAGCATATATCAATAAGCAAATAATCGATATACGTTTTCATTCAACTGCATGCATATGTCAATTGCATTTAACCGTCATTTTCACTTCTTTTAAAAAAAAAATATTGTATTGGTGCATGTTTGGGTACAATTGACAAATAACTAATAAGTAATCATCTATTGTTTTAATATATGATGTTTGATCACTAGACATAATAATCACCTTTTGCTTTTTTTTCCCTTATATTTTGCTTTTTTTTGTCAAATTTTTTTCCTTTTTTTCTATATCAAAATAATACTATGTTTTTCCATGCAAACTTATGTGAATATCAAATCATCCTGGATGTGGAGGCCTTATGCACATAAATGTCTATAGAACTTCCCTTGTATGTTATTTTAAGTGTATCAAAATACAATTCGTTTTTTTACTCAATATATTTTTTCTTTTGTGTATGTGTGTGCAAGATTCTCCATGTGTTGTTTAGTTACAAAACTGGCTCAAGGAAAATGAGGCTAAACAACTCGATATGTTGTTGGAGCTCTTTGAAGCACATAAGGCCATCAATTTATCGAGAGGTATCCCACAGCCTTGACATTGGAGAAGCTATGGTACTTAGTTCAACCACGTCCTTCTAGCGAGGCATTTTCCCATGCTGTACTTTCATGCATGCTTAATGTTTGGAGTGAAGAGGTGATTTGGGTTCTTACTTTGAGAAATATGAAGCAGTCCAGGCAAACTTTAATTAGATCAAACTAGGGAATGAAACCCCGCGCAAGCGCGAGGTTGTTGCAAAAACAATTGTGTATTTTTGTATTCGTCGATTTAAATTATGATGGTTTAATATTTAATTTTGGTGGTTACGTTTTGAGTTAATTCAATTATTCACATTAAGGATGTTCAATATGACTTTAAAAAATATTAACTCTATTCTTCATCTCTGGTTCTTTTTTCTAAAATTTAACATTTTCAATATTTCACTTATTGTATTCAGTTTCACTGGACTATAAGTTAACATTGAACTTGAAGAAAGAAGTTTGAATATGGTATAGAATCACATTTTGACTCAAAATATGGTAAAATACATATTTGTTTTTTCTGTGGATTAACATTTGATCAGGATGATCATTGATTCTTATATACAATTTTATATTTGTAAATTTAAATTATATTTTTAAAACAAACATGTCATAATCCTTAAATTTACAGTTCTTGCTTATAATTTTTTATTAGCTTTCTACTATATTATCTAAATGATATTCTATATTTTATAACTTTAAAACACTTTTATAATGTTTTACAAAAGATAATTCCTCTATATAAATTTTGATTAATAAGGTAACTATATACTATTTAGAGTAAAATATATCATTTTTCTTTCTCTAATTTATACTACAATTTTTATTAAATTTTGATACCAAATTCGTGGTATATCATGTATTAATGGTAGCATAATATAAACTCGTGTGAAGAGTATATAAGGAGGTTAATGCATGAAAAATTCGAACCAAGAGTAAAGAAAGTTAGGGGTCGGAGTACTTGCAGAAGCCGCTTGTACCATACCTGTGTATCTTTTGGATCTATCAAGACCAGCAAGCTTAGCACACAAGAGAAGCTGAATCTCCTTCACCAAGGATTGGGGGGCCTTAGGTGAAGAATTGTGAAGTCTAGAGTTTCTTTCTTTCCAAATAAAGTAGAACACTGCCTGGAAAAGTAGCTTGCAAATGAGTTTGATATTTGGGAGAGAGTGAGAAGAGGGGACCCAAGTTACCACCGAGTCAAAGTCCATAGGAGGAGACAGAGCTTGATGGGAGAAACAAGCAGTCCAAACTTGACCTGAAAAGGTACACGCGAAGAAGAGGTGATTCTTTGACTCTAAGTCCACCCCACAAAGAAGAAAAATATCCGGAACGTTAAGGCCCCATCTGCATAGACGGTGCCTAGTCGGGAGACGATCTTGTACTGTCACCCAAAGGTTAAATGCATGTTTCGGAACATGGTGAGTGAACCAGACAGACTTAAACCAGGCAACAAGAGGAGGAGAAGGATGCAGCGATTTCCAGATTTTTGTGGTAGAGAAGAAGGATCAGTCTTCGAAAGAAACTCGTCCGGCTTGGAGGAGTGTGTCGTGATAGGCACATCCGGCAGACAGTTCCGGAGAAGGAGCAGAATCGGGTGCCTTCCACTAAGGATGTATTTCGGTAATTCAAGGCCGATATTTAGTATATAAATAAAGGGTGCAAACATCTGCTTACTTTACTTGCTCCCAAGACCGACTAAATAAGTGTCTAAACTGGATATGTCACGACTGTGGTTGCTGGACCTCTTTCAAGTCTAGAAAGCCAAACATTTTTTAGAAGATCCACCTATTTGCTTGTGTGCTTTGGTGGAACAACTTGCGCTAGCTTATGTGTGCTTTAATTAATGTGGAACCATTAATAATTTAATATAATGATGTTATTAGGTTGAGTTAAGCTTTTAGTTGATATAATGCAGGACAAATATGTAAATTATCTATATCGTCCAACTAAAAGGTTGCGTTTAACAAAACAAAGTCCTTACAGTCAAAACGACGTTGTTCAATATAACAAAACTTTCCTCTTTCGCTTCGTTTGTCAAGGACAACAACAACAACAAAAAAACTTTATTACTAAAATGTGGTTGCACTCCAACTCCGAAGGATGTGACTAACCTTTTCTATTTACGATAAGAGATAAAAGAGATAAATGTGGAGTATTGATTGGTTTATAAAAGAAAAGAGATAAATGTGGAGTAGTAATTGGTTTTATCACCAAAGCAAAAAAAGGAAAAAAGAAAAAACGGAACTGATTAATAAGGACATTATTACTAGGAATAATAAACACATTGAGATTAGATGGTCCCAAATATTCAGCAAAGATTCGGTCTGATACGACCAACTGACTCCCCATTACATTCACGTTTCTCAAATCATATTATATCCTGCGACTTGATTCCCCCAATTTAAAAACTAAATTCATCCTTATCTCTCTTAAGCTCTTCAAGTGGATTCCATGATCTGAATCGGGAAAAAAAAGAAGAAAAAACAAATTAATGGCCATAACAGAAACATCGAGATCGAGCGACGAGCTCCCAGTAACAAACGCCGATTCCAGCGTCAACAACGCATCAACCGCGAAGAAACTGACTTTGGTCCCTTTGGTTTTCCTCATATACTTTGAAGTCGCCGGTGGTCCCTTTGGGGAAGAACCAGCTGTTCAAGCCGCTGGACCGCTTCTAGCGATTCTCGGTTTCCTCATCTTCCCTTTCATTTGGAGTGTCCCTGAAGCCCTTATCACCGCAGAGCTCTCCACCGCGTTTCCAGGTAATCATCACAAAACCAAACACCGAATGTGACAAAGATCTAAACTTTATTTAATCTATCTAAGAACAGAACGTGTATTGCGCTTTAATTAGATGAAAAGGAAGCTACTTGCTGATTCAATTGAGAATTGCTACACTTTCTGGATCTAAAGTTTGAACCTTTATGTGAATTTTGAGTTTGGTGAATCTGTGTCTTTCTCTCTCAGGCAACGGAGGGTTTGTGATATGGGCCCATCGGGCATTCGGGTCATTCGTAGGGTCGATGATGGGTTCGTTGAAGTTCCTGAGTGGTGTGATCAATGTTGCTTCGTTTCCTGTCCTCTGTGTCACTTACTTGGACAAGCTGTTCCCTGTTCTTGAATCCGGATGGCCTCGAAACGTCTGCATATTCGCATCAACGGTGGTCTTGTCTTTCCTGAACTACACTGGCCTAGCCATTGTGGGTTACGCAGCGGTTGTTCTCGGCTTGGTGTCTCTCTCACCTTTCCTTGTCATGTCTGCTATGGCAATCCCCAAGATCAAACCTCACCGTTGGGGTAGCTTAGGGAACAAGAAAAAGGACTGGAACCTCTACTTCAACACACTCTTCTGGAACTTGAACTTCTGGGACAATGTCAGTACTCTTGCAGGGGAAGTTGATAAGCCTCAAACGACGTTCCCTTTGGCGCTTCTCATCGCTGTCATATTCACTTGCGTAGCTTACTTGATTCCTCTCTTCGCTGTCACCGGTGCTGTCTCAGTAGATCAGAGCAGATGGGAGAATGGGTTCCACGCGGAAGCAGCTGAGATGATTGCTGGCAAATGGCTGAAGATATGGATCGAGATTGGCGCTGTGTTGTCAAGCATTGGGCTCTTCGAAGCTCAGCTAAGCAGCAGTGCTTATCAGCTTGAGGGGATGGCGGAGTTAGGGTTCTTGCCTAAGTTCTTCGGTGTGAGATCGAAATGGTTCAACACTCCTTGGGTTGGGATTCTGATCTCAGCTCTCATGTCGCTTGGATTGTCTTACATGGACTTCACAGACATCATCTCCTCTGCGAACTTCTTGTACACTTTAGGGATGTTTCTAGAGTTTGCGTCTTTCATTTGGTTGAGAAAGAAACTCCCTGAGCTGAAGAGACCTTACCGAGTTCCTCTGAGAATCCCAGGGCTGGTGATTCTGTGCTTGGTGCCTTCTGCGTTTCTGATGCTCATCATTGTGTTTGCTACCAAGATTGTGTACCTTGTTAGCGGTATAATGACCGTTGGAGCAATCGGTTGGTACTTCTTGATCAACTACTTCAGGAGGAAGAAGATCTTCGAATTCAACGAGGATACTTACGATCTTGACCATAATGTTAACGGAGGAGAACATCCAAAAGAAGATGATCATGACTCATGATAAGAGCTAAACAGAGGATCTTTATCAATTCAGTGTAAGTTCTTGCTTCTGTGCTACTTTAGTCTGATTAAAGAGAAATTGTATTTCACATCAGTGATTGTTTTACAATACAATATTGAACAGAGTAGTCTCAAGAAGACATCATATGTGTCTCTTCTTTCTTGTTTTTTATTCGCTTACACACAACAGAAACATGAAACAGAAAAACAAAAACAAGAAATCAAACTCGTTGATCATCATATCTTGGCGAAATCGACGGTTTTCTTTCCGTCGTGTGCCTTCTTGAAGAAGTACCTGACGTAATCAGAGTAGACGACATCTCTGTAAATGGGTTCCTCTCCGTTTGCGGTGACCTCAGGGAGAGGACCAATCACAGACTCCGGTTTAGGGTTGACAAAGATAGGAACAGAGATTCTGTTGTTGCTACCGTTGGCTAAGACACGATGCTCCACGCTCTTGTACCGACCGTTGCTCATGATCTGCATCGCGTCTCCGATGTTGATCACGAAAGATCCTGGGACCGGTGGCACGTGAACCCAGTTCCCTGAAGACAGAGAACGCACGTGGAGGCCGCCGATCTGGTCTTGCAAGAGAATGGTGAGTGCAGAGACGTCTGAGTGACGTCCAACTCCAACGGTTAGGTCCGGGTTAGGACAGATCGGGTAGTAGTTGAGGTTGACTCTGATCGAGCCCATGAAGAGTGACTCTTTCGTCTCGTCTAGCTCTTTCACATTCAGATTCTTCCCCAAATACTCCAAAAGCTTCCTCACCATTGTCTTTGACTTGTTCATATACTCCAACGCTTCATTCCTGAAAAAAAACAAAAAACAAAAACAAATCAGTGAGTAAAACAGAGGAAATGTTTGAGTTTTGATCAAAACAGAGGAAAGAATTGATTTTTGACCAAAACAGAGAAAAGTTTGATTTTTTATCAAAACAGAGGAAAGGTTTGATTTTTGATGAAAACAGAGGAAAGGTTTGATTTTTTGATTAAAACAGAGGAAAGTGAAACTCACCTGCAGATGTCAGGCCAAAACTGTTGAGCTTCAGCATCAGAGACGAAGAAGAGACTGAGATAATCTTTCCACTCGAGAGCTTTCTCAGCACGAGGGCTGAAACTTGTTCCAAACCTAACATTGGTGGACAAAGAGTTCTCCTTTGTGAATCTACTCTTCTCCTCCACAGGGAGATTGAAGAATCTGTGAGTCGCGGCTTTCACGTTGTCAAGAACTTCCAGTGGAACTCCGTGGTTGATGACCTGGAAGAAACCCCATTTCTCGGCGGCGTCGCAGATGGCTTCGGCGACTTTGTCCTCGTCAGGGTTCGACATGTCGATGACAGGAATGGCTTCGTCTGTTTCGTTGACGAATTTGTTGATGAGTCGTTCTTCGAATGGCTGAATGTATTGATCTGGAAGAGCTTTGATTCCTGTTTCTGATAAACCCTTGACGCCGTTGCCTTTGTTGACGACGAATTCTGTTACTTCAGCTGGGTTTGCGAATTGGACGGTGGAGAGTGTTGGAGCCATTTGGATCTAAAATGTGGAGTAAAAAGATTGGAGCTTTTTGTTTGGTTGAAGATTGAGATTGAGGATTTTGTTTGTGGAGATTAGTTGCAGAGAAGAGAGAGTATTTAAGAGAGAAGAGAATGAGCGAACAACCTCTATGGCTCTCGCCATGCTTCTTCTGCCGTTTTTCTTCTTCCCGCTTTCAATTTCTAAGAAATCCCATTTTAAAATTTCCATTTGTAATTAAACTAGTATTGGCTTCCAAATACTTGGTCAATAAGATAATTTTATTTTATTTGGATATGGTCAGCTCTCGGAAGTGGCATGTTTTTGCTAAATTTAGGCTCTAAATGTTAGAGGAGAAATTAGCACATTTCCCTGAGCCCGTCATCATTAGTAAAGTACAAAGCCCAATCCGATTTTAGGCCTAACATCTTCAAGAAAAAGGCAAGACTTGAAGAGAAAGGCACAATCCATGGAGAAATGTAAATAAATCTTCATGCCGACTTAAAGAATGGAGAAAGATCCAAAAACAAGAGGGATTTTCCATATCGCAAAAGAGGAAGTTTTCCATCTCGCCTGAAGGAGAATATTCATCATTCGGCCGACTTATCAACACTATATATTGAAGACCCCCCCATTGGGGAGAGGATCCGAAATCATCTAGAATCACTAGGCTTTCACATTAGCTTTTACTCTATCCTCTTGTTCATCATCATAATCTCGCTAGGCTTGTTAGCGAGATTGCTCTCTTGTAACCTTCTTGATAATCTAAGAGTCGAATTAAGCGTTCCAGTTTCCTAAACTCACATCTTAGATAGCCCGTCTTAACGAGTGCTATCTCGGATTCAACACTAAACTGTCATTAGCGGATAATAGTATCATAGAGTAATTGAAGTATACAGCACATTATTTTTTTGGCACAGAAAAAAAAAATAATAATAACACGCTAATTTACATTAACATTTGTGATTACACAAAAGATGTAGTACATTTATTCATAAACAACAAAAGTGTTACCAAAATCTCTTTTAGTTCAAAAACAAAAAACAAATTTAGTAATCAAAAGACACTAGGCGAAGAAAATTGTTTCAATCTCAATTACTGTTTGGATGAAAGACTCGATCCAATCAAAAATAATTTGGAGAAAGATGTAAAACTACGAAGATGAATTTACAAAGTTAACTATAACTAGTTGTTACGTGGTTAATGATTATTTTGATTTGATCATATATTATCAAATACTATACGTCTACAGTCTACTTAATGTCCTCAAAATTGTTCCAAATAATCGCCAAGATTTGGGGGCTTGTACGTGACAAAATAAAATAAAAATTTTGGTGCTTGTTCAGATACTTTAATGCATACAACAACCAAAACATTAATGTTTGGTCATTTGAACAAAGCGGACTATCGATTTTCACAATTTCACTAACAGCACATTCTTGCTTGTTATAATGGAGTTCATAATTTCTATGAACCCTAAACACTTTGACATGACATGCAAATCTAATATGCATGAACACTTTACTTAAATCCTAAGATCTTCAAACATTTTAATCAATCACATAAAAGAATCATAAAGAGATAAAGAGAGATTTAATGATACCTACATCCTCATTGTAAAGAAACTTCCTTGAATGGTTTCTTAGAAGTGAAGCTTTCTTGATTAATGTCTTCTTGACTTGAAATGAAGAAACCTTTTGATCTTTAGATAGAAGTTTAAGGTTTCTCTCCTCTTTTCTACAAACATCTTTTAGGTGTTGTGTTCTCTTATGTGTGTCTCTGAGATGGAGCAAAGACACCTATTGATATGAAAGGAGAGGACTTCATTCCTCTTTTGAAGTCCTCTTTAGTGTCTTCCTTGAATCAAAATCAACCATCCATTAAAGTAGAGACTGAATGCATTTAGTGACAAGTGTATTCCAATCTTTAATATGACATGTGTGACACCAACTTGGAAACTAAGGCATTCAAAGGAGATGAATGTCTAAGGGAGATATATCCTTAATACATAAGCAACATGTTGTATAACATCTCCAAATTATTAGTCTAAACATGATACATATCTCTTTTAAATCTTTACCACTTGTCCTTTTATGTTCATCACTACTTGTTTAAATTCATTAGGAACTTAAACTCCTTAACCAAATTCAATTGGTTACCAAATATTCTAATGTATAACATCCCAAAAAGAAAAGCATTTAATATAAGACAACATAATTAAGACATGGAAATATATTTTTTACATTGCAATGATAGTAACTATATAAGATTATGTTATTCTTGACTCAAAATGAATGAAAATTCATAGGACATTTGTTGATTTTAATTTTCTTTTGGATTGGTTTGGCTGGTGGGTTAATGAGTTGTTTAATCATGATATCTGCAAAATCAAATGTCATATTTTCTGATGTCACACGTTACAGTTATATTTTTGTGTACTTATCCCTCTCTATAGTCTTATCGACAACAATAAATGTATTTATGCATGGTCTCATCATCTAATAAATAACAAACGCTACGGCCGTACACATTACAGTCAGAAGAAAAAAGGGGAAAGAAACAAAGATTTTCTTGTGACATTAATACATCATAGCAAAAGCTTTACACATCAAACCACAAACTTTAGTTTTCATTTGATAAGTAGTTGGTGGAGAAGCATGGGACTAGGTGCTTGTTGCGGCTATCAATTTTACGGGCCCTATTCCTGACCAACTTAATGGGCCTTTAAAAGCCCAAAGTTGCACGCTCGCATCGCATCAATGGCGTTCGGATTTTGACTAACGTTTTCCTGAGAATGGAGGAGAAATTTCCAGGTAAGGTAAAAGTGAAGAACAGTATTATATTGTTTGAGTACCGAAAGAGATTATTAAATCACTTCTGTGTATAACAGGCTTTTGCCAAAATCAAAAAGCCTAGAAAAAGAATCTAACACTTTTTCTCTGTAATTTCTTGTTATCCAAGAAACCAAATAAACAAATGAAATGCTGTTTTGTTACAATAAAGAAAGAAAAAAAGAATACAAAAGAATTTCTAAGTCATCATCTTCTCTATTCACACAAAAAGAATAGAGAAGATCGAAAATAACTTAAATTGTGTAAGAATTTTTTTATCTAGTTATGACTGTGTGATATATTCAGGTAGTGACATTCCTCGCCATAACGGTGACATCTGAGGCGTATGCGTTTGCGATGACGACGAGAAACAGAGTCTTGAAACAGAAGCACTTCTCGGAGACAAGTTGACTTGTTCCAGTGCTTGGAACTGAAGCTCTGATGGATAATCTCTTACACAACCGATCCTTGGTCCTGCACCTGTTGTCCATTTGCATGACAATTGTTTCCCAAGTTGGAAAGACCTACTTTCCTTCTTTGAATTGATCCTTTTAAGGATTGATTCCATCTTTTTTGGTGTCTCGGGATAAGCCATCACCGGAGTTGTTTCTTCTTCTCTTGGGTCAGCTTTAGTTTGAAAGACAATGGTCTCTTCAGCTTCCAAATTGTCTTCCAATGAATGGTTTCTCATATGAGTGCTTCTCTGTTTGTAAATAGAGAATTCGTCTTCATCAGTAGGACTCATCTGAAACACAGCAAAAACACTATATAAGAACATAAACGAATGAGTCATTCAATCAAATTAATCTCTCTCTTTCTCTTACCTTAACATCAGTGATGTCGACATTGTTCTCTCGGAGGAAAGAGAGAAAGTCCATGAAATTCTCTTCTGTAGGTTGATAATGTCCACTGTGTGGCCAAACAGCCTTAAGAAGACCATCTTCAACAACTAATCTTCCTGCGGCAACAGTAGCTCCTCCAGCTAAGAAGCTTGAATGTTGAAACGTACCCTTCTTCTTCTTCCCAACATACAACACTTTCGATGTGCTCAGCACAAATATCCATTTAGAATCACTATCTTCCACAGCAGACGTTTCAAGAACTTCTCCGCTGTGCCTGTAGAAGAATCTCCCGTCTTCCACAACTACCTCATAAGCTTTTCTTTCCATCTACACAATAACCACCTCATGAATTTAATGTTTTTTCTTCTGTTTATTGGTATCAATGATATTGGAGTTTGATATGTACATTTGTTTTTCAGTTGTATAATTGAAAGAAAATAAGTCAAATAGTTTAGAAAGTTTTAGCGAGACAAGAACTGGTTACAATCGTTTTCTTATTGAACCTCAAGAAACATAGAAAATCATTGTTTATATATCATCATCATCATGATTTCATATATAACTCTGCACCTTGGAACATGATCACATTTGACAAAGAATTCAGAAAGAATAAGCTTGAAAAAGGACCAAGAATAACTGTGGAAAAAATCAATCATTTGGTGAACTAGATTCATCTTCAAAGAGAAAACAAATTTATGCGATCATAAAATAATTATTCAAGAGATTCCTTAAAAGCTATTTTACATATTAAATTTACACTTCTTGTTGAACAGCTGTGTAGTTTCATGAAGCAGCAACAAGAAGATCTTTGCCTCATCCCGGATTTTTGTTACCGTTGGAATATTTGTGCGGACACATTAACCCTTGGGAGCAAAAAACGGAAATAGCAGAATCTCTTTCTGGCGACGTCGTTTTAACGTATAACCTTTCTCCGATTCTCTACCTGATCCTAAGATTACAACAACGAACATTAAGTTACCGTTATAAATGCTTTTAAGGATAAAAGGAAATAACCAAAACAAAAAAAGGAAAGAGAACATTCCCATTACGCGTATAATCTTTTGACGCTTCACTTCTATAAATACATAACATCACCAACACACTTATCAATTCTCTCTCACTCACTCGCTCTGTTTAATTCTCTTACGGGGCGGCTCATCTGATTTTGTTTTAATTTTCTCTCTTCTTCAAAGGAAAGCGAACATGGCTCCACGAGTGAAGTCCTTGGCTGATGATCATCTGAAGAGCAAGAAGTCTGTTTTCAAACAGAGATTCCCCGGTTTCAAGAAGAAAGCGACAGAGCTCTCTGTTCTCTGCGGAAACTCCGTGCGATTCATCTGCTACGGTCCCGACGAAAAGGATCTCCATGTCTGGCCTGAGAACCCAAAAGCTATGCAACAGATCGTGGCCAGATTCAATGCGCAGAGCCATCTAAAGAGGAAGAAGAACGGCTGCGATCTCAAGCCCAAGATTGGTGAGAGTCGAAATTAGGGTTTCAGAGACTTGATAGCAAAGGCACGAGAGAAAGTAGAAGAAAAGAGAAAGATCGATCAGAGGAACACGGAGATCGCAAGACAGAGGTTAGCTTCTCGGCTAGCCCTAAATCAGGTGGTAGCAACCGTTGATTTCGACGATCATCTTAAATATCACACGGAGTTACAAGAGCTTGGGTGCGATTTCATTCGAGATCAAGTCAGTTGCTTGAACATGTTCAGTTTGTTGTCAAAAAGCGATTACTCTGTCTTGGAGAAGAAGTAATTACTATCAATTCCATGTTTCTTTTGTATTCGTATATTAGTTGTGGCGCGTAATAGAGTATGTACGTGTGTTTTTATCTGTGTCTCAAGTTTGTCTTATCAAAGTAAATATACCAAAATTTTCAGGTTTATTCTGGCTATAATATTTTGCTAAGTGTTTTTTTTTTTTTGCAGTCCACTGCTATTCGTTATCCTGATTAGGAAAGAAAAACTAATTGCTTCACAAAAGCAAGCTGTTTATTTTTCATTTTTGCTCAAACTGTCTCATTTAAATTTCGTGTCAAAACAAATTATTGTGTAGTTATGAACTTAAAGAAGTAATGTAATCTCAGAGGAAGAAACACCTAAAGTGGATGGACTGTGAGCAAGATTCTGTTCGAATTTAGCTACATGGATAACCTCAAGATTCTTGAGTGCGGTGTACAGATCTTGAGTGAGGAAACAGAGAGTAGTGGTGGTAGCGAAGTGGATTACTTTGAAGCTGGAGGCAGCAACGACGTCTACAAGGATGGGGATGAATACTATCAACCTGAAGAGATGACCTCTCATTATGATTCGAAGATGACGAAGGTGTTTGCGTTTAGTATGATTTTGCTTTTCAAATTGATAGAATGTCCAGTCTATCAATGCGTCCGTTGTCCAGACACTATGCAATCTCATTCTAAATGGTATATTCCAAATACCAAGACAATAAACTTCTTTTTTTGTCAAATATTTGGATCCACTTCTGAAGGATATTTCTGACAAACGCTAACATTATTTTCCATTTTGTATTTTCAGTTCATCGTGCACTTTTGCATGTCAGAGTAAAATCTCCAAGAAAATCCATGTGATATATCATTACAAGTCCACTGATGTATACGAATTCACCACCTGACATTATTTGTAAAGCATATTCCAGATTTTATTGAGACATAACACACACAAAATTAATTTAATATAGCTCGCTCCTAATTTTTTTATAAAAAAAAAGAATGAAAATAAAGAAACAGAAAAAAGTGCTAATTGTTATCGAGAGGATAAGGGTTCTTCGGATCATAAGGATCATAACGTATCCGTGTCAGGACAAGATCGTTTTAGGGTTTCACACCGATCAGAAATCCATCCCTAATTTGGTGTCGAAAGAAAATCTTCTTAAAGTTTCAGATCGGAATACGAAATTAGGGTTTGGTGGTGTGTTTGACGAACTAGGTTACGTGGCCAGTGGTGACACTTTGGGGGTTTCAAGCAATCCATCAACATAGACTACAAAAAGAAAAGCGAAATAAACTTTTTTTTCCAAAAACAAAACAAAAACATATGACTTCAAATCCCCAAAACATAAATAAACGAACACCAAAAAAAATTAATGCCCAAATATATCTATGCACTAGACAATATATATGGGCGCACCATAGGCCTGATTAGTAGTGAGTGAGGCTACTATATAACTAATTTACTTGATCCCAAAGACTTCTCAAAAAAAATAAAGTAAAATAAATTTGGAAAGTTAGATAATAACTACAATAAATCCAAAAAGAGGTAGAAAGACCTGTAAAATTTTGTAGAATCTTTTTATTACAGAATTGCCATTCCATTTCCTAAATTGATCGGAGGAGAAAGTGGTCTTGTTAAGCTCGCATGACTATGGTTATTTTGACTGACGTTTTCCTGAGAATGAAGCAGAAATCTGCTGGAAATGTAAAAGTGAAGAACAGTATTAGAATGTTTGAGCACCGAAAAAGAAGAAGATGAGAATATTAAATCACTTCTGTGTATAACAGGCTTTTGCAAAAACCAAAAAGCCTAGAAAAAGAAACTAACACTTTTTCTCTGTAATTTCTTGTTAACCAAGAAAGCCAAATAAACAAATGAAATGCTGCTCTGTTACAATAAAGTGGGAAAAAGAATACAAAAGAATTTCTAAGTCACCATCTTCTCTATTCATACAAAAAGAATAGATCGGATAGAAAATAACTTAAATTGTGTAACAAAAAAAATTATCTAGTCATAAATGTGCGATACTAATATCTGCAGGTAGTGACATTCCTCGCCATAACGGTGACATTTGAGGCGTTTGCGATGAGGACGAGAAACAGAGTCTTGAAACAGAAGCACTTCTCGGAGACAAATTGACTTGTTCAAGTGCTTGAAACTGAAGCTCTGATGGATAATCTCTTACACAACCGATCCTTGGTCCTGCACCTGTTGTCCATTTGCATGACAATTGTTTCCCAAGTTGGAAAGACCTACTTTCCTTCTTTGAATTGATCCTTTTCAGGATTGATTCTTCTGGAATCTCCACTCCTCTACTATCCTTGGTGTCTTCTTCTTCTCCTCCTCCTCTTCTGGGTGTGCTCTGCTCTGAAGGCATAGATTCTTGTTCTAAGTCAAACATCTCTTCCTCTTCCTCTTCCTCTTCCTCTTCCTCATCACCCGAGTCGTAGTCTTCAGATACTTTTGTAGACTTTGATCCCAATGATTGTGTTTCATCGCCAAATGTGCTAAAAGATTTCGGTGTCTCGGGATTAGCGATCACCTGAGTTGTTTCTTCTTCTATTGGATCAGCTTTAGCTTGAAAGACAAAGGTCTTCTCAGCCTCCAAATCGTCTTCCAAAGAATGGTTTCTCATATGAGTGCTTCTCTGTTTGTAAATAGAGAATTCGTCTTCATCTGTAGGACTCATCTGAAAACACACCAAAAAACACTTATAAGAACATACTCCTCAAGATATAACAATGAATAATGAATGATTCATTCAATCAAATCTCTGTCTCTTACCTTAACATCAGTGATGTCGACATTGTTCTCTCGGAGGAAAGAGAGAAAGTCCAAGAAATTCTCTTCTGTAGGTTGATAATGTCCACTGTGTGGCCAAACAGCCTTAAGAAGACCATCTTCAACAACTAATCTTCCTGCGGCAACAGTAGCTCCTCCAGCTAAGAAGCTTGAATGTTGAAACGTGCCCTTCTTCTTCTTCCCAACATACAACACTTTGGATGTGCTCAGCACAAATATCCATTTAGAATCACTATCTTCCACAGCAGACGTTTCAAGAACTTCTCCGCTGTGCCTGTAGAAGAATCTCCCGTCTTCCACAACCACCTCATAAGCTTTTCTTTCCATCTACACAAAAACATAAACATGACAAACAATTAGAGACAAGTTCGAAATTACTATTTGAGGTTTGAGCAGAGAGATAAAGAAGCGTATACTTACCGGACCAAGGTACTTAATGCACTGTTGTTGAAGTTTTAACCGTGGACATTTCTCCACAAGATTTACTTCTTTCCCTTCACCGATATCAAGCCTGTGTAACACATCATTCAAAACCATATCTAAGTTTAGTTTCTTGCTTTACGACATGAAAGATTTCAAGAATTGGGATAATGAGTAGGTGTGAAGGGAATTACCAGTAGAAGAAAGGTTCTCTGCTCTGACAATGGAGCCACTTGTTGTAGTAAAAGTGCAGGTTGTGTCCATACCGATGTCTCGGGTCAATCGCTTCAAGCCAGTGTTGTAAAGCAAGCTTTTGAGCCTTTCCATTCTTGGACAAGCCTTTACCAACTTTAGCTGCTCTAGTCCTCGCTCTAGACCACCTCGAGATCGCGGTTTCGTGCTTCTCTATATCAAAGAAAGATATTGAACTTCTCTTCAGCTCAGCGAAATCCAAAAGCTTCCACCTGGTGACAGAAACAGAACAACATTAGATCACGAAACACAAGACAAGAAGTTTCTTAAAATGGAATGTTTTTTCGAATTCAAGAAGACTAACCAGCTCTGCTCCACGAGCACGGCGCAATCGGCAAGCTTTCGTCTGGTACGGAAGCTTTTGTAAACTTTCTGTAACTTGATAGCAGCTTCGTGTTTGGGGTTGCTCGGATCAAGAACTGATAATTCTCTAGCGATCTCGGCGTTCTCCAGCTCGAAGCCAATCTCTTTCGTGTAATCTTCTTTCAAGAGAGAAGAAGACCTGTTGAGAGAGATCATTCTCTCCAGCTGCATCCCTTTGAAGCTAACGGATTTCTCAACAACCATTTTACCAGATCCCATAGACTTCAAGATGGTGGGCTCGAGAGTCCCGTCGTTGAAATTGACAGATCTCTTGGGAGTTCTGCATTCGTCGTCGTCACCACCGAAGCTTATGGACTTGACCGTGACGGAGTCTAGAGCAGCTGCTGCCTCCACGACGTCGTCTTGCTCGGCGAACGGACAGGAGAATGATACCCCCATTCAACAACTGAGATTCTGACCTGAGAAGTAAAACAGAAACATGACGACTCTGTTAGTCTGTTATGTCTTTTTCTTCGTATTAACAGAGAACAACGCGCATTATAACAAACACCTTCCGATCAATAAAATAGTTTTTTTTTGCCAACGAAGATATACACAAAATAAAATAAAAATCAGAACTTTTTCGGATCTGGAAAACAGAGCATCCCGGAATTAAATCAGAACCGATTATCGATTCGTTAACGAAACACATTTTCTCCGCAAAATCGTAACTTGGTAAACTAACAAGTATCCATTCACTGGAATTTTTTTACATATATAAAAACCGAATCAAGAAAAAAAACGATTTTTGGATGCACGACCAAATGCTGCCCAGAAATCATGGAAGATATAAAATAAAAATAACCCATCACCGATAATCTCTTCCAATGAAGTAATACTGAAAGATTGAACAAACCCATTTCGGTGTAACATTTATGAAAAATCTTCAAAAATAAAAAGAAACAAACAAAAAACAGCTTAGGCAAAAAAAGAAGAAGAAAGAATCAGTCGTGGTTTAGATAAAAAAGTACCTCGAATATACGGTCGGCACTTGATCGGGTTTATACCCAAGCAGAAAAAGGCTCTTTGAGGAATCTTGAAGCTTTCTCTTAGCTCTTCTTGAATCTTCTTTTGATTCTCTTATGTTCTTGAAACGAAGATTCCAAAAGGTTTTCTTTGTTCTTGGTTTTTTTGTTTTTTTTCTCTTGAACTGAGGGAGAAAATGGAGCTCGCAAATCGCAAGTTACAAACTCTTGAGCAATGGAGTTTATATATATAATATAGCGTCAACTACAGAGCGACAAGACAGGATAGAGAGAGAGAGAGAGTGTGTGTTTTAGAGAGAGAAAGAGAAGCGTCGATTTTTCCAACCACGTGTTTGTAGGTGCAGGATATTCATACGAGGTCAAAAGTTCAACCCTGAATTTTTACTTTTCTCATTTTATTATCCAAAAAAAGATAAACATTCATGTCTTTTTACAGTTTCAGAGTTTACATGCGAAATTGAAAAAGAATGGTAATAGCTCGGATGAGTTGTTGATTGACATTGACCCATCAAAAAGTTTACGACCGTAAAAAAACAATTACCATCTGATATATACAGTTTTAGAGAATTGCTCATACAGACTTTTGTAAATTTTCGTTTTTTTCTTCTATTGACTTAACTTTGTTATAACTATCTACAAGAACGCGTGACTTACAAGTTAATAACTTTCTTTGTTTGAGTTTTATATCTCCACGGAAAATTAGCCACCCGAAAATATAAAGAAAGTATATTTGACTCAATCCATTTAATTTTTTAACATCTGATTTTGACTTAATCCATTTTCTGGAGTATTTAACGCCAGTATAGTAAAGTGACGTAGATGCACACGTGGAAAACTTTTTTAGGTGAATACAGTTGTTGATATTTTTTGTTTTTTTGCCATATTATCCATATTTATTAAGAAAAAACAATTTCAATAAATAATTTGTCATTCAAATACAATTAAATGAAATTTCCTTCTTCCTTTCGTGGCGACCCGCAGATTACTACTATATTCAAATGAAAGGGTTTTGGTGGGCTAATAACAACAAAAATTATGTAATTAAATAAGCAGATAATGAGTGGTTTCAGTTTATATATTTTAACCATAACGTAACGAGGCAATGGAACATTCAAGCTTTGCATATAGCGACACTTTATTCCATAATTTAAAATTATATCTGTCGTTATAAATAATTTCTTTTGAAAAGCTATCGTCATCGATATTTGTACACGTATTGCCATAGATCATTGCAACATTTTGTTGTTACTAATTGTATCAATAACTACACGATGACGATCGAGGCTACCATGATAATTACGACTGTAACATAGTATATGATATACAAACTTTTGAAAGAACGGTCTATTTAGCATCGGCCAGACGATGTATAAAAAACCAATTAATAATTAAAAAAAAAAAAAAAAGAACGAGAGATAATCTTGGTAGGTCTATGATTTTGTAAACATCAACCAACAAAAACAAGTGATTTAATATATTTAAGAGGTGAGTACCACATAATACATGCATATGTACACTTTTTCTTGAAAATTTGTAGGTCGATAGCGACTTGTCTCCTTGTATGTCCCTCAAACAAACTCTAAACACATCAAAACTTTAAAATCGAAATGCACCTTTATTCAGCAACACTTTTAGTCAAAATATTGTTAAACCCAATATAGAATCAAGTGATCAACTATAAACAAACCAATATTAGCCTGGAAACGATTACACTAGTTACACCGGTGATAGCAAGACATTCCTAATAAATGCATTTTTGGCATAATCTATACTTGAAAGCTCGCGAAGGTAAGTATAAATATATGGACAAAGGTTCAGAATTGACTAGTTAACACAAATATACATTTGACATAATTAACCAAACCACTGCATATTCTTATTGTTTAAAATGAAAAGCTATAAGAAAACCTTTTGATATCCTCATGTTTATTTTAAAACATTACAAAAAGTGATACGATGAAGAAAAGTGAGTATGAGCAAGAGGTCATCTACGCGTAACTTTACACATCATACGTACGTAGTGAGATGCGTACTATAAGTCTATAATACAGAATAAAATGATATACGTATATACTTGATTCACTTTAATACTATTTTAACTGAAAGTTGCCTACGTACGCGTAAGAATACTAAGAAAACCACCGTGCACATGCGCGTATTGGACAGGCTAACTAAGTTCTTTTAAATTCCATAAACTCTTTCCCGTATTGTACTATTGCCAGTTTGATTGGTAGCACAGTTTGATACGATTAGCGATGAATGGAGGTCGAAGTAGTTTTCTAATCAGACAGATAATTGAAGATAGTAAACTGTTCAAATAAGGTATAACTTATATTCGATTAAAAGTTCAAACAAAATGATTCTAAACTGTCTGAATAAACAATCAATTACAACCCATTGTTTACCAAACACAATAACAACATGGTCGATTTTTTGTTATTCTATTTAACGTAACTTGTTTTTTTAATTAAATATGTAATTAGTCTTTTACTCTTTTTGTAAAAAAATAATTAATCAGGTTCTATTGTGCATCCATTTCAACTTAGCCGTCGCATTATCTACTTCATACTGTGTCAAACATTTCTTTTAACGGCATCAAAACTTTTAATCGCTTTCGTAAAATGATATTACTATCTGATCATAAATATATATACGCAAAAGACTTAAGAGAGAGAAAAAAACACAGTACCAAACGAACTCAAACTTCTGATACGATCGAAGGCTTTGGTCTTAATTCAATCAAACACACTTAACATAATTAATTGGGCACTTAATTTGTTATAAGAAATTAAATAATATTGGTAGTAGTCATGTCATAACTAATAATTCCAGCTAGACATAAATGATCGTAACTAAGTAGAATTGAGCTCTATCATCAACGAAGAAAGAAATGATTGGATCTATATATAAAAATTTAAACTAAATAAAATTGTGTAAGCTTTAGAAGTTTGTTGAATCCTTCGAAAACAATGAACCATAAAGATTTGATATTTGTGTCCGAATAACAAGTATCATAAAATCAATAGCTAGATTAAGCTTGGATCTCTTCGATTTTATTCCCTTGGTTGACCATTGGCATTAACATTTCGTATTTTGAAATAGTGCTAGTAAGTGAATACAACTGTCGGCTCAGATCTCAATGAATAAATGATGGTCATACTGTAATAAGTACTTGGTCCGATATGTACGGATTCTTTAAATTCACTATTTCATTCATCATAAAGATAATTGCATTGTTTCATTTATATATAGTTTTCCATTTGAAAAATACATATACATTTGCATACTAGTTTGTTTGAGAGAAGAGATGGTGTTTTTCACTTCTTTTTTTTTGTGACCGGAGAGAAGAGAACAAACTAATTGTTACAAATTTACTTTATGTCACCAGACCGGCTTTACATACTCAAGGAAATTGGTCATCCGGAAAATACCAGACCGGTTTCAGATACTGTATGGTTATTGTATTTTTCATACATATCGTGATTCTCGTCCATATGAAAATTGTTTGAATTAAAAACATTCAAACGAAAATATAGTTTCAGTAAAACATGGTTTCCAAATCATAAAATCGCGAACTTGGATTTCGTTCTCTTTATCTATACCTTAATTGCTCACGAAAGTATTAAAAGCCACGCATCTTAGATTTTGTTCTTACCATATAATGAAACTATTTAAAATTAATCATAGACTATATATTAGAAAAATGACATAGTTTGACGTAAACAAACTTCGGACCGTACATAAGATATTAAGACGCTCGTCACGTGTCGAGTTCACATTGTTCCACGAGGCTGATGTCTGCTTTCAAGTACCACACCGTACCTAACATGGAGACAGCCGTATCTCTTTGACGGCACCCAAATTTATGACACTTTTCTGTCTTCAAGAATCTCAAAATCTGTGAAATGGTAATTATATGCAGCTTTGATTTTCTTTTAACTTTACGACAGACCAATAATACAACCATATAACCGTTTAAATATGATTGATCTGATCTAATCAGAATGGGTTTCTGTAAAGTTTATTGGTCCCCAATTAAATGGATTCAATGATTATGTATTTATTAGTAGTAATATACCCAACTCGCATACAAAAAAGTGAAAAACAATCCTACCAAGTTGGCTAAAGTTTCTATTATTGAAATTATATGCCCAATTAAAACTAACACTTATGGAAGTATGGAACTCTACTAAATTAAAAATAACACCTAGATTAAAAGGTAAATACCGTTTATAATCAAAGAGATACACTATAGCCTATAGGATAGGGAGATATAAAGTCAAAGGGTGCAGAGACTGATAGCGTAACAGCCAAAAGCCAGCTGGGAAGCACAAGGACGAATTGAATAATGCCAGAGGGGATTCTCTGTAAGGTTAAAATCGTCTTAGTCACATTTATCCGAAAACCATTTTT